ATTATTTTAGAGTGAAAATACCTCAGCAATAACTTTTTATTTTAGGACCTTTTCTGTTTGTTTTTTTTGCGAGACACCAGCAGTCACTAAGTTGAGGGAAACCATAGCAACCAACTGGACAAGCGTATGTAAGTGTGGAGTGAGTTCCACTCGCTCAGGGCAAAGCTATGTAAGCAAACTGGCATGTGTCCATCTCAGACATACAGGAGCTGATGCACCGTTCAAACAGCTCTTCTCTGAACACAGTGGCAATAGAACATTTTAGTCATGTCTTCTCTGCAGCTGCAGCGATTTAATTTGTACCCGAAGGGAGAGAGCAAACACCCTGATCCAGCTACATGTTTTTATTTTTACGGAGCTCCAGATTAATGGTGGATAAACACAGACACTGAAGATGAGCCAAGGCTCCCATGTTAACATTGGGACTCTGTGTTTTCGCAGGCCGGTGCAGCTACTGAATTCTCTTTGTGTGTCTCTTTAAACAGAACATTGTGTCTTAATATGGCAGCGCAGCCGTGTGCGTATGAACCGTCTCGGCAGGAATCTGTTGGCTCGTCTCATTTTCTCTCATCCTTTTACCTCTGGCGGTGGATACACTGAAGGAACCACACTTGTCACCACGGCATAAATTGAGGGAATTGGTATTCAGTAAAGCTTGGGAACCTTCACTGTGATTGTAGGGGATGCAATGAGTCAATGCTGAGTCATAATTAATCATAATATAGCCGGTTTCTTTATCAAAGGGACAATGGCGAGCTTTTAAATTGCACCTTTGTGGTGTAATGTGCAGTAATGTTAATTATAGCTGAGGTTAGTTCATGAAAAAGCATTTAGGAAAATGTCATTCCTAAATTATTCACAAACATCCTCAAACAGGCGGTAAATTTCCTGCACAAGAACAATCTGAAATGTGTTAAAGGAAGATCTGTTTTGCCTTTTGAGCATACCTCTGTCGCACATGTGCTGACCTATTCAACAGTACTGTAATGCTTCCTAATTGAAACACATATTTCTATAATGCTGGAATAGTATACCATTTAGTTCAGGATTTTCTCTTTCTTTTTTTCTATTTGGTCTGGTAAAACAACATAGAGGACGTTTTTCATCATTTCTAATCTTGCCTTTCCCAAGACATAACAAGGGCCGTGCAGAGACTAAATAGATGTTCATTTGACTTCCTTAGCTCGGCTGCAGCCAACGCTTCCCTGTTACTTCTCAAAGTAGCACTGAAAACCTTCACTTTTTATGTGCAGTCCACCGGACCCCAAATAATCCAGCCTGTACTCATGAAAGATGCAGGATGCGTGGCAGACGGAGCCAAATTGCAGACCCACTGATGACTTGTGAAGTTCTATTTAGTTTGACTTCGGTATCCAGTTTTTTTTCGGGAGGCATTTGAGGAGATGTTTATTTGCTTTTAAAGATTTCAAGTTAATATATTATTTTGGTTAGAGTTCTCATTTCCTGTCATGTTGGAAGAGAACAAGATCTCTTTCACTGTGCTCCGCCGACGGTATCTACGCGTTTGTGTGAGCGATTCTCAACTCCTGGTTGTGTCAATATGAGACGTTTGTTTACTGTGGCACTCTGCCTAGACAACGTGGAGGTAGAAAACATGCATCGGCACCAATCGCATGCATGACTCACTAATACAGGTAGCATGTACATGCAAAAGAAGACGCTGATGAGATTGTAATACCGGCTGCACAACATAAACAAAACCGTTCCAGAGCCACAATCTTTTTCCAGCAGAAGATCATTGAGACAATCTGCAAAACCTCCCAAGAAGGATTTTAAACTCGTTCAGCTCTAATTGGACTTTGAAGAACAGGGACACGTCCATGTTCCAGGACGGCACACTCGAGGACGAAGACAAGCAAACAAATCCATTGGAGTTATTGTGTTGGCATCACATTCATTTCAGAACACCCAAAGCGCACATGCAAACAGATAATACGAATTCAAGCGGCCTAAAAAGTTATTATTTTATTTTTATTTTATATATTTATTTTTTCATGTCCAAAAATATGTGAAGATGAATGCGAGAATAAAGTAAAATGTTTTGTGACCCCGTACAGGAGACGATTTGATCCACCTAACAAGTTAAAGCCACAACTCTGACTTAAAGCTAACTAGAACAATGAAAGTTCAGTTACGAGTGAATAGAAACTGTCATTTCAGTTGGTGTTTCATTTAGTTTTCATTGCAGGGTCAATATCACCATCTTCATTTAACAGCATAGGTTCATACCAGCAACTAGCAGTTTTTCCAGTGAAGTAGAAACCAATAACATTTTCTTTAAATAAATATCTCATGAAGGATGAAATGCGAAAAAGGCAATATTTTGTGCTGAGTGTGTGTAAGTGAGACTGTACAGTGCCATGGGTCATTATGATCATTTCAGGCTGCGGAAAGTTATTATTTTCTGCTGAAGTGCAGATTCAGACACAAACTGGAAGACCATAACGAGATGTAATATTAAGGCATCTTCTTTCATTCTCAATATGAATAGGAATGCAAACGTTCTGCTATGATCGACAGTATTTTTTCCTCAGCCTGTCTGCATCCGCAGGAAACCAAAATGCAATCAACCCAAAACAAAGATCCAATATCTTTTCTATTAAAGTCAAATTGAATAACCACATATACATTACTCTGTCACTCCTGTGACCAAAAATAGATATTTCTGAGAATAGTTATGTCTGAGGTAAATACATACACATACTGTACAGATTACGTCTGACTTCTTTAATATCCTACAATGTCCTCCTTAGCCGTGCTGGCAGCTTGAACCAACAAACGTTGGTTCAATGATTTGGGAATAAACATATCTGAACAACTATTGGATGGATTGTACAAAATGGTGCACAGATATTTGTGGTACCTAGTGCTAAGATTCTAATGTCTTTGGTGACTTTAGTTTAGATTTGATGTCATGCTCAGACAAAGCAAGGAAAAGGTCAAAGTTCAACAGAACTAATAAACTCTTTAACAACGCCGACTGTGTGAATCTACTAAAAGAATCAGCAGAATTAGTGTTCAAATGAACAAAATCACTTACTACACGTTTAGCTTCATGTGACACGGACCTCTCGTGGTCATGTGAATTCTTGGTTTGTCTGACGTGAGCAACTGTTAATGTAACAAGACGTCTCACTGCTGTAAAACATGGGGGGGTAATAGAGGACAAATGGTCCAACACAGTGTGTGGCTTTCACATGTGACTCTACACATCCAGTAACATACCACAGCCTCATTCCCAGGGCTTATCAAACTGCTGCGAGGACGCAGACGGCCTTTAGAAAACTAAATCAAGTAGATCATCTTCGACAACCCTGAAGATGAAGATTTCCAAAACCCAAATAAAAAAACTTGTTGCCGGGATCAAAGTGGTGAAACATTCATTTCACAGCTATAGTGAAGTCCCACACAGTCCTGCCTGAATTAATCCACCTCTCAGCCTGTGCACCTGCTGACGTTATCGTTTTCCCGCTAGCGAGCCCCGGCGGCGCCAAACCAAAATCTGATGGTATGAAATCTGATTGGGTAAAAGCTGCAACATAACGGCGAGCCCTTTAAATCTAAACCTGAGGCTGGAAGCAGCTCAACCAAGAGAAAAGCTGTGAAATGAGAATAAATAAACTTATTGGGAATCATTTTATACATATTTGTGTAAATAATATACAGAAATTAAATGTATATATTGATGGCGTCCTCACCGCAGGAAGGCACTCTAGCATGTGATAAGAGCAGAATAGTTCATCTTAATTTACTCCACCAGGAGAGGCCACAACAACAACAACAACAACACACGGACTCTCCTCGCTCCTGCCACCAGGCAGACGCTACAGGAGCACACACACACACACACACACACACACACACACTGATCTATGACTGACTGCTGCTGTGACTTCATCTCCCCAATTCTACGTAGTTCACTTTAGCTGACTGAATTTGAGCGTCCTTGCCAGAAATGTGTTCACAGCATACCTCTGGGAATATGTAATCTAATGGCCGAGAAAGTGACAAATCTGAGGCCAAATTGATGGCAAACAATTGACAGAAAATAAGTTCAACCCAAAAATAGTTGAATCAACATGCTTTTCACCTATTTTTTTTATTGAATCATAGACATTTCCTCGTACTTTGGAGAACCATAAAGAACGCAAACTTTTATAGTCGCTGTCCTATTTCTTTTGGTCATGTTTGTGAATTTTAAGTGAACCTTGTTAAACATTCAAACCAGGTAAGACCTTGAACTGCTCATGAACTGGAAGAATTGTCCGTTCTTGAAATGGAAAAAGTGGCAGTATAGAACACCCAAGTGGGTTGTGATGAATAGTTGATATGAGCACTTTCCAATGGTGCATTAAACATATGGGCTACAGCATGAGTCACCAGCGTGACCACTTTGCACCATAACCAAAGGCTATTTGCTGCAGTACACTAAAGGATGGCTGCGCTGCAGTGATCAAAAAGGTTCAATTTGAATAAATGTAATCTTCTCTCTATGCTGTCAGTAACAAGTGATTAATGCTGATGGGTAAATGAACTGTGATATTTCCCAGGGGCGTTACATAATCACTAATCACATAATCACTCTTTGGTGTGCTAATTATGATCCGATAAGACATATCCGTTATCTCATAAGTACCAGTAGCACTTTTGTATTCTCCTTAAAGAGTTGTAAAAGCAACATAAAGCTACTGGCTATAATAAAGCTCAACTTGAATGGGCAATGCCGTCATCTCCTACCTTTGAGTGATTAAATGTGAGTTGTTATCGTTGTTTTTGTGTTAAGACCTGTGGATCCAAGACACTATATCTGAATTATCGATACTAAATGACATTATTGATTGATCCCACGGAAAGAAGCCCTGAATAAACACTTTTTGCGAAATTTGCGTTCTGAAAGACCTTAAAGACGGAATTCGACATCACTCTCTTCCGCTGCGATTACACTCGCTGGGTGCGCGCTCGGTCACGCGCGCGCGCGCCCGTGCTTCGGGTCCTCGTGCTTAAAGCCCTGTAGTCGCGTTGTCCCGCAGCGCGCGAGCAAACGGTTGTTGTCTCCAGCACGGGACCGATCCTGCAGCCACTCACTGCAATATGGCGACAGAGGTATGAATTCTCTCCCGCTGCCTTCTTCCTAGAAAGCAAAGCAAAGCCGAAAAATGATTCTGTACGTCCGGTTGTCGTTTATTTGTCTTCTAGGTGCAGCTTGTGAAGCGCATCTTGTAAACTATTTTGTTATTTTGTTATGATTGCTATGCCTTTCAATTCTCTGTTTTATTGTGATAAATGTTGAATCCTAATTCAATGACGTCTACATTGTGAATGTTCGGTGCTGTCACGTTACACGTGGATATATTTTCATCCAGTGACTTCAATTTGACTTTGTTTTCATCTCACTTTGTGAGCTCTGTAATTAAAGTCCATATCCTTAAAGATTTTTCCTTTTTCTTTTCTTTTTTACCATACATGATGCTTTTTAAATGCATTTTCTAGCAAGAAACACATTTCATTAATACCCGTTTAGTCTAAAAGCCTTGGAGGGATGGGGATGATGATGGTGATGATGATGGAGCTGTCAGCACCATGGACAGGGACAGTCCCTCTCACTAATTGAAATATGCACCAGAAAAGAAGTCCATGACTCCATGACTGGAATGGTGTTTCAGGTACTTTAGCCGATGTCACATGCTACCAAAAGCATCAAGAGTGTTTGCTGGTGTATTTTTAGCCTCAGTAATGCCTGGCAGCTCTCCGGTCAACCCTTTTCCTCCCCCTCTTTGTGTCCTTGATGATGTCACCATGATGCTGGAGACATTGCTGCCTTGGTTATCATAAATTTAATCTCTCTAGAGGAGACGGCCATTACTTGAGAATTTGAGCTATTTTACACCGCTGCGTGCAATACGTGCATAATGTGCATGCAGCAGAGTGTTTGTGTGTGTGTGTGTGTGTGTGTGTGTGTGTGTGTGTGTGTTTTATACCCCTCAGACAACAGGGGGTTCAATCTTAATGCTGCTGCAGGTAAAGGTGCAGACAAGCTGGGAATGATACATGATGGTGTCTGTCGGTGTGTATCCCTGTCCAAGCGCCATAAATCACACACACACACACACACACACACACATACATGTGGATGCACACAAAAGACAATAAACACACAAATATGCGGGTGTGTGCAGCGAGGACAGATTTTGTGTCCATGGCCCATCAATCATCTGAGACATGTTAAAAGTTTAGAGGCTGCTGCAGTGTTTGCAGTTTCAGATGAGCAGCACAGTTTACTTCCAATTCTTTTTCATCCACCTGCCTCTCTGTTTTATATCATATTATAATAATATATCGTATTACAGTAACGTCAGTAAACCAATATGCTAAGTAACACTCGATCATACTGCAGACTGTTTGTGCGTCACGGTTAAGTCCACTACTCTCGTGCTAGCACTGCCTCCAGCGTCACACCCGGGTACACTTTTGACAAATAACGCGCACAGTAATCGTCTCAGGGGCTGCAGCAGGTTTAGCTTCCCACTGTAATAATGCTTCACCTTTATCCAAAATAAATTTCCCAATCCGGCTTCGGCCTCACAGACGTGATCTGCCACGTATAGGTGTCGTGGAAATGTGACCGTTTTGTCACTTCCATGATTTATAGACCTGTGACTTACGCAGTTTGGCAGCAAGCATGAAAAATGTTACTCCCAATGGCAGGAACCTAGTGATGAAGAGATCAAGAACGACGACTGGAAGTAAGACAAATGCCGAAAGGGCTCTGAACTTAGTGTGCATGTGGTTGTGTGTGTGCCCCTGTGCACCGTCTGACTAGACTCATGAAACATGGCCGTGAGAGAAACACAAAGCCACTGATCCAAGCTGGAGGATCGACGGGAGGATGGCGGGGTGGGAATGACGAAGAAAACATGTCACAAGTAATAATATTGTTTTGTTTTCACTGTTGTTCACTAGAGGTTATTGATTGGTGGGTTTCTCTTCTGCTATGAGTTGAGGGAGGTTTTGGTTCGAAACCTTTTATCTGTCTGTCAGATATATCAGTGACCATTTGGACGGTTGCAAATTCTGTTGTATTCATTTGTTTCTAGTACATGCTATCAAGTCCTCCCGCTTTAACTCATTTCACTATTAAGGTGCAAAGAAAAAGAAAACCATGTGTGGGTGGAAGCAGAAGTCAGACAGTGACACAGGATGCAGAACTTTTTAATAGTGTCCCGTGTGATCAGTATGACATTTTAGCATTGCCGTCTGCTTGTGTAAACTATATTTAGATGCGGTAATAGACTGGTCACCCACGCAGAAAAGTACACATAACTGCCTCTGCCAGCAGAAAAACATTTATTTTAAAGACTAAAATGGACACAGACAAGTCCGCTCTGCCAGTAACATCAACGCTAGTGGGAAAATAAATATTTCATGAAGTCTTCTGGTATCAAAGTTGTGCATTTTGGCAGTTGTAAATAACTTGTAAGAGGGTAACAGGTCAGTCTCAAGCTCTGTTTCATTTTTGACCCTCCTACAACAACATCCCCATTTAATCAAACTCTGGACTCTGAAGTTCACTGAAACCAGAGGTGATGTTGGGACAAATAACTGGACTCGGTGTTTAGCTGCCACGGAGACACGTGACTGCTGCTTGCTTCGCTTTGATCACTGAGATGTGAGACAGAGGTCAGTAGGTCGACAACAAGCCAAAACACACCGTGACGTCCCGCTGGCCCGAATGCACCGCGTGTGACACTGAGATGCTTCTGAATTGGATTCTTTGCAACTAAAACCTTCCTCGTTCCCTTTCGTTATGTATTTTCCTCTTTATTTTTTTTCTTGTCCATTTCTTATTTCTTATTTCTGTCCTTATCCGTTTTAGTTATTAGATCTTTTCTTCATTGGTTACTTCCTTCACTCCTATTTCAGAAATTCCTTTTTTAACCTAAAATGAGGTTTAAATCAGGGTATACAATGTACATAGTGACCTACATACAGTCTCACAGTGACAAAGAACCTTAACGAATTTCTGCCAAACTGACGTGTAAATGTTCCTCGATTGTGTGCTGATAATTCTATTAATAGACTTACTCATTGTGCATCATGATGGTCCAAAGATAGAACAGGAGGAGCGAAGGCAAAAAGAACAATATTCAAATCTCTGCCAGGTGGAACGATCTTGTGGCTGTGAGGTGATTTGGACTTTTGGCTGATAAAAATAGCAGCTTGGATGCTATTCTTGGTTGCGAGTGATGTGCCCTGTATAGAGAAGAAAGCCTGGCTCTGTACCGTACCTCAATGCTTGGGGATTATTCTCTCAGGCTCATACAAGTAGAGATTCTTTTTGTTTTCAATTAAAAAAACTCTGCAGAATCGAGCCAAACTATCCATGTAAATGATGGTGTGGCGAGTACAACAAGGTAGATTATTGGAAACATGAGAGACACTCAAACAATAACATGCTTTTCCTTTCTGTTTCTCACTATATTTCCGCTCCCCCTCCCTTTGGAGTCCCTCTGTATCTCTAATTGCCGTCCTCTTGAGGGGTTATTTAGATCAGCAGGGCTTACAGCAAGTTGCTGCTGTATCCTTCTCAGCGGACCAACTGTTTAGTGTTTTTGTTGGTGGAGTTCTTTAGACCCAAAGTGCTGTACAGGGGTGTCTTTAAAACTGTTGGTTATTGCTGCGCTTATTGATGCTGGAGGGATGCAGCTGAAGAACCGCTCTCACTGCGCAGAACCGCCACACCTTAAACATACACCTCAGGCTTTTTCATCTTGTTTATATGATATATGAATTCACAAGGTACTGGGCCACGTGCTTAAACGTGTGCTTTCTGTGTGTTGTGTAACTGCTCAGTTCCATAACCTCCAGGAGTTGAGGCACAGCGCATCACTGGTCACGAAGGTGTTTGTGCAGAGAGACTACAGCGAAGGGACCGTGTGCCGCTTCCACAACAAGTTCCCCTCAGACCTCCACAACAGGGTGAGAGAAAACACACACTCACATGTATGCACATCCAGGCCAATGCAAATTGTTGATGGAATCCCAACTCGCCTGACGCAACGACAACTCGCTCCAACACAGCAGGAGTAATGGCTCAATAGGGAATACGGTTACAAAAAGGGTGCACCTTGGATGAGAAGACGTGTGAATGATGGATATGGACTTGTGCATTAAATTACTATTAGGTAAATACTTTTTAGGCCTCTTATATACGGTAGTTCTATCTCAAAAGAACAAATAATCATAATATCTTTTATTAAAACTGTTGTTTGTGCTCAGCAGCTGAAGCCAAAGACACATTAATGCTTTTATTTCCAAGCAGGATAATGACCATTGCTCTTTTTACCTTGATGTATTAGCATCTGCAAATTATTTTATGTTGGGGTGTCATTGCAGATGTTTCCCAGAATTATCACCTCAAGCAGGCAGTTCCCCCAAGAAAGAAAACCCACAGAGGACCATTAATACACATTTTGAATGAAAACATCCTGGGACAGATGTTCAAACCCTAACCCATTGCCGTCCCACCAATGACTCATTTTTCATTTTAGCCTCAAGTCTCTTCGTATTCGTCAAGCGAGGTGTGTTGATAAACCGTTTGACAAAGTAGGAGCACTTGAGCAAAATGCAGCTGGTGTGTTTGGCAGGCTGTTTGATGGCGGAACATCTTGCTCCCGTAGTTATGCCAGAACACTTTTCACTCGGGTTGTGGTCTTTATGTGTGTGTCTCCATATCTCTACCTAGATCTTTGTTTGTGTTCGTAAGTAGATTGAGCGAACGTTGCTTGAGGAGACAGTGAAGACACTCAACTCGTACTATTTGGAGGCCGAAAAAATTGGAGGTCAGTCGTACCTGGAAGGATGTCTGGCCTGTGCAACAGCGTACATCGTCTTCCTCTGCATGGAGACGCGCTACGAGAAGGTAAACGGAAATGGTGGATGATTCTTTTTATGGTTGTTTTTCTGTACTCTGGTTACTCTTTATTCTTTACGACTGAGACGGCCGTATCCTGTTGAGGCCGACGGGGGGCTGTGAGGTCTCTCCTTCCAGTGTGCATCCTTCTAGGAGTATTTCAACCTGGACATAATTCACAAACTGTGCAGCTTCCCGTCATAAACCTCTGGTTCTCTCTCTCAATGTCCGCCTCATCTGTCCGTCCACCATCTTTTTGCCACCAGACTTAAAGCCCACACCTGCGAGCCGGGTTGGCGAAGCGCGGCGGACGAACTGTAACGCAGATTTTACCTCCAGTAAGACCGAGGTGATCAAACGTGCGTGTGGCTCTGTCGCAGCTTGTCACTTCCTGCGAGGGAACAAGAGCGCGCACACGGCGGCCTCATGCAGCCGGTTTGGCGAATCCTCCGCTGACTGCGTGGGTGCCTGCCAGGCTTTTTTAGACGAAACCAGTGTGGCGTGAAGTCCCGCCATGCCTCCGTGTTCTGATCTCTGTCGCCCGCAGGATTCGTCTCCCCGGTCTTGTTCCGTTCTGAAAGCATTTTATTTTTATCGAAGCGGCGCAGGGCTGCTGCCGGGGGAGCTTGACCGAGAAGCACAAAAGGACTTACCGCCGCGTGGAAGCGCCGTGGTCTGGGGGCCGCTTTCATCTCCCTGTCAGCTGGGCGCCGCTCCGTTGAAATGCTCAGATGCTATCGCCCCCCCACCCACCACCGGAGGGTTATTTATTTACTTGTTTAACTCGATAATCTTGGTCGATCAAATGTACCCACCCAGGTTGATGTTGTTTGTGTACGTACGGTTGTGTGTTTGCTGATAAAGAGGCCACACACCAGTAAGCCTGGATCAGTGTGCAGATTCACCGGAGCTGCCAACGCTTACGTCTCTCCCCATCAAAAGACTGTGATTGCGGCCCAGCAAGTCAGAACAGATACATGTGTGAACAAGCGTGCCCTCCATCGCCGAATGTTTGTTCTTCCATTACGCACAATAATGTGCCTGCACATACGGGAGTCACACAGACGCACGTGCACGCACATATTTTCCTTTATATTGGTGCTTGGTAACATAAACACCATAAACAATAACTAAACACTCTGGCATGTGTGCGTGAATCAGACCGTGGCACCTTTGCTTCTTAGGCGTTGTGTACACACACTCAATAAGCTGAAGGGCCGTCACACAGGCGTGCCAGTACAACAGCTTGTGTACTCGACTGTCACATCGGGGCGCTGTAGAGGAGAGAGATGCGATGGCCTTTTCCCTGGACCCCGGTGACCCCTCTGGTCGGCACTCTGTGTGTGTCTCATCCTTCTTCTCTTTGATGGAGTCTGAAACAAAACGCGTTGTCTGTTTTGTTTGTGGCGGCCATTGCTCAAGGGCAAATGTTGATTGCGTTCTGCATACGTTTACTTTTTTAAAGCCGCTCAATGGAGCAAACCTTTGCCTTTTGATGGCTTTTCAATGAGGAATTCTTTGCCTATTTGCTCCCTAATAGTAACAGCATTCATGCGTCTGATCTGGAAAAGGATCTCCTCCTTCTCCTTCTCCTTCCAGTGGGCAACAGAAAGAAGTATTTGTCCGTGTTTCAGACTCCACTAGCAGGGGTCACTATATTAGCAGCTGTGCCTGCAGCTGTAACAGGCCTTTGACATCCCAGAGGAGCGCTGCTCAGTGTGTTGCTCAGCTCATGTTGTTTTGATCTCTCAAGGCTGAGTGCAGCGCTGACCTTCGGTTAACTCACAAAAGGGGAAGTGGATCTGTCATGTTTAATAAATCCAACAAAGCAGTGTCACATCTCAGTCCTGCAAACGTCTAATTAGCTGGTCTCTTTTTGGGTAAATGTTTGTAGTGTTAGTAATTCATCGCTGAAGAGAAGTCTGGCATAAGTTGTCATACAATCAGTCAGCTTTAAAACATAAAATAAACTAAGTAATGGCTTAATGTTTGCTTAGTTTCAAGCTCGACTGGCTTCGCCATGCTCCAGTATATCCCCACAATGATCATGGTGGCTACAAACGTACGTGGTAAAGCTGCCAAAATAAGACCAAAGTTGTCATAAACCGCCCCTTAAAAACATTAGAATATATATGATATTTTTCAGTGTTTGTTGAAGAATAGACAGACTAAAGATCGTACCTCCGCCTTAGGAGAGGCGACAGCTCTCTCCTTGTACTTGAGGCCCAGTGAAGCGCGGTTCAGCTGATTGACGCGGTTTGGCGGAGGCACGGCACATCAGCATTGTTGGTGTCCAAAGAAGCATAGCTGAGGCTGAATAAACTGCTCAAATGGAGACGCGTTAGCTAATATCCGTCTATTTAGCGTCACCGAGGGCATCCGTCAGCAGTCCTGTGGTTGCCATCACTGGCAAACATGGGACCTCGCTGCAGTGGTTGAACACCGAAGTGCATTTGTAATGCGTGGGAGAATGTATACAGGGCGTCCTTGTTTGACTTTGTTTGCCGAGGCATCGCCTGACCTCAGCGCTTAGCTTCACTCCACTGTTGCTTTTTGGTTTATAGCACATTTAATGCAAAACCGAGCAGTAAGTCCAGATCCAATGCAATCCAAATTTCACATTGTGTCCAAATTAGCGTGACACGTGACAAAGACGTGACATTTAGCCCGAAAGAGCCATCGTTTGGATTTAGGAACAAAACCATCCAAACAAAAAACTGTAAGACTAATGCGCGTCAATTTTAGTAATTAAATTCATACAACAACTGTTGTATGTGAGTGAACATATAACACGGTTATGACATTTAACACAGGGTGCACTTTGTAAAGTAATATGAAGGTAGTTCCCCAGTTGGAATCTCTCAGATTATCTTCTGCTGCTTCACATGTTTCGCTTGTGTTTTTAGGTTTTCTTTTTGCCTTGTCATCAAAATAAAAGTAGCATCAAATGAACCTCTTTCTAACCCCCCCCCCACCCCCCCCCAATTTTTGCTGCAGGTGCTGAAGAAGATTTCCAGCTACATCCAGGAACAGAATGAGAAGATCTACGCTCCGAGAGGTCTGCTGCTCACAGACCCCGTCGAGAGAGGAATGAGGGTCGTATCCTTCACTCATCTTCAGCTGTGCAACAGGGCAGCGAATGACACACAAAGTTCAGTCTGCTTTTTTGAAACAGTTAAGGTGTGCTATAAAATATAACCTCATCTCATAAACTCCCATCAAGGTACCTTTGAATCGGGCACTTAAACTCCAGCTGCTGCAGAGGAGCTGGTCACGGCCAACTGTCGTTCCCGAGGGTTCTTCTGAAGCGTGAGAGCGCTGAAAAGAATGAATGCACAGTCAAGCGTCCTTTGATAAGTAGAGGGGGGGACAGTAACCGGACGATGTAACATATCGGCAGATGAAGGTGTGGATGTTTTGTCTTGGTTTGCTCGTGCCATCTTGTCCTGTTGCTCCATTCCAAAACAAGGTCCAAATCAAGGTGCTCGCTCACAATCTTTTCAGATGTTTTTAACCAGAAGAGGCCATTTACATGTCTCCTTTGTAGTTAAAAGGCAGAGAGAGAGAATGTGTCCAGTAGACCATCACAGAACGAGCTGCAACTCACAGGACTGACCCATTACCGACATGCATTAGTTAATACAGACCCGTACAATGCGCTCTCTGTTTGCGAGCGCTGGTCAGAGGAGGAGGAGCAGCAAACCCTGTGACTCACTTCTATCACTTTGAGATCTTAGTAGCCAGGGAGATTTAGATACAAAATCACCACACGTAGTTACTCTGAGTGCTGGTGAGATATCTTCACCCTGTCATTTCACAATCCTTTTCAAGCAAAAAGAAGAAGCAATTGTCTTCACGGCACCTTGGCGATAAGACAGAGACAGCGGACGGGTGGGAAGCAGTGACGCGGAGAGAGGAGACACGCCGACTTCCAGTGTGTTTTTCTTTTATTTCGCTCATTCACGCCCGTCTCTCCCCGAGTAGGAAAATCTAGTGAGCGCATCTCCTCTGAGATCAGTTGTTCAGGCTGCGCACCCTGCGATTATTAACATGACATCACTCCGGGGATGAAAAACAAGTGCTCTTCTCTACCTTTAAGCTTATAAGTGAGCACAGGGTTTGTATATTACGAGATCCAGACTGTTGTCATGCATTGTGGAATGGCACCGCTCACTCTCTCTCTCGTGACGGTCCTTGACGTCCTCCCGTGTCCTCAGCTAGAGATCAGCGTGTTTGAGGACCGCGGCTCGGGCAGCTCCAGTCCCAGCAGCAGCACCACGTCGGCGGGCAGCAGCGCCCGGTGACTGGAGGGTCAGCGCCAGGCCTACGGGTACCACCGCGGGGGCAGCGGGACGCTTACCAACGTGCGCGCGCTGAAACACGAGAGCACCAGGTTCTGAGACCGGCGCCACGAAACAAAGGCGGCGAGCTTGCTGGAGCTCACGACGCGCCGCTTTGAGAACAGGAGCCGGGTTACACAAACAAACTGAATCACACAATAGACAAATACTCACACATAGGCAGTAGTCACACGTGCAAGCCAGAGTCTCTCTGAGGGAGCTTTTTTCAGCCAAATCCATTTTTTCTTCTTACCTTCTCTCACATTCCATTGTCTTCATGAGTTGACATTTCTCTTTTGTCTGTGCCAAAACTTCCGTAAGGAGATATCAAATGGCAAGGATCCGCGTCCCAAATGAGGACCGACCATGTGTGTAGGACGCGTGCTCAGAGGTCAATACCTCAATCAGAAAAAAATATTTTTTATTTGACAACACACGGCAGGGAAATTGAGAAATTCTAAATTGCAGAAGATTTAACTGTTGAGTTTTCCATATCGTGAAAGCCCCTTTATCATTATGCCGCCTGTCATTTGTCCGTTTTATATCATCAAACGTGTTGTAAAGGGGGGAGTTTTTTGCAGTAAAACACAGTTGTAGCTCCCTCTAGGGTCAGACAGAGAAACGTGTGAACATCTGAGAGCAAAAGCCTTAAAAAATGCTAAATGTAAAGATGAAGACTATTTAAACATCTCTACAGATCTTTAGCAAAACCTAATCACATTATCATACTGTACGATTATTAAGTAAACTCAGTAAATTCAGTCTCGCAAGTTGCACCCTGCCCGATGAGACAAAATGTCATCGTTATTTTGAAAAATATTTTGAAGCCACAGACCCACAAAGAGCAGAACGGAAAGCGCTAAACAACTGTTTTTGTAACTGCATATTTTATTTCTGTTCCCACAGTTTCTGTGTCCTTTATTTTTTTCAAATTCAAATTTGTTCTCTTCTCACCCACCTCGTCACATGATATTCACATCGGCTGTGGGGATGTGGCCTTCGGCCTCATCTTTAGCACACTGATAACTGTGAGCAAAACACTGCAGAGCCCCGGCCGTGATGTCATTTCAACTTTCTACTTCCTCGATAATTGGGACGACCTGACGGTGACCGCAGCGGTCGGGTTCAGTTTTGCTCGTGTTCAGCCTCCTGTTCTTTTTGATGCCTCCATGTTTCCTCCCAGTGGACATTGATACCCAGCCTGGAGCTGATGGACTGACCAATTAAAAACGTACTAGACGCTGCCAATTAGCTGGAAAAAGGAACTCATTGGACAATGTATAGAGAAAGAGAAGCGAGTGTGTAAAGAATTGTACTGCATAATGAGTGTGTGAATAATAAGAAGAGGATGGAACATGTGACAGAGCAGCTTACGCACATCATCTGTACAGCGGTGAGTTGCTGTGTACCGTCTGTAAAAAAGGTGATATCTTTAGTAATAATGACAGTCAGTTATAGGATGATGATGCTTGGTACAACTACAGGAGCATTGTTTACAACAAATAACCCTTCTAATGTATATAAGGGTGTGTAAGTAGTGCATTTACTGTAAATGGGTGAAAAGGAACCACTGCGTGTTATCAGGTGTTATGTAGCTTGTTCTTTCAAGAGCAACTTTGATTAATGAAGACAACCATGATTAAGATATTACAAATATTCTTATAAAAAAGATGTGAATTGAGATTTATGTACAGAAAAGATTACGCTCCACTGTTCTGACTACTAGAATAACCCCTGAGCCAACAGTTTAGAGGCAGAGATATATTGTATTTACAGGTCATTTCTCTATGTAAATCCCGTGCTTTCTATATTTATCTTGTACTGTATTTGAGAATGCAGCAACTCCGTTCAGACACTTAATCAGGACGTTACGTATGTATGGTGTGCGGTTTCAAGATAGAGATGGTTCATTGTGCAAAATGATATCTTCCTAAAAATGTATAAGATGATATGTAGAATCTTGATACAAGCATCTTTGAGTTGTTTCAAGTCCTTTCAACTGCATTAATGTGAAATGCTGCATGACGTGTTTGTAGACAAATGTCCGATGACAAGAAGCGGAATCCAAGATCAGCAAAGTCCTTCAGTCGTTAAGAGAGAGGACTTCATTTTATCATCCTGATGCTGTTTACGTGTTACCACTGGATCCTTTTAATTAGTATGTACGTTTTGCTTGTATCTGATTATTATTCACAGCATGTGGAGGTTTTCACCTCTGAGAGATGAATAAAGTGTGATGAAGTGGGGCAAAAGGGATTTATTGTGACTGCAGGCGGCTGCTGGTATCTAACAATGTTCAGCACATTGCACGTCTCCAGCCAATGCTCTCTCTCTCTCTCTCTCTCTCTCTCTCTCTGTGTCTCTCTCTCTCTCTCTCTGTGTCTCTCTCTCACTTCTCTGGAAGGAAGGAAATCCCACACCAAGTTATGTGACCTGAAGACGGGATCTCCTCGTGGTCGGGAGGTAAACTTCATTTTGAGGTATCTATCCATAGATTAAATTCATGAAAATCATTTTATTTTATTTATTTAATGAAATGCCATTTTTTTCTTTAAACACTTGACTTTGAACAAATAACATTACACCAGATGGATGACTAATACAAAATTGTACATTTGAATCAACCTGTATTCATCTTCACAATTATTTTTATGGCTCAGCATTAAAGCATCACATTAGTAATTAAATTAGCACATATTTGGACATTCATTAACCTGAGAGGTATATATTCTCAGAAAATGATTTTAAAAAGCGTGTTGTGCCCCACATACCTTCCTCTGCGCCGCCTCACAGTCGGTAAAACCTCCCTTTGTCTTCTGTTTGGTGCAGAGCAGTTAGTGGAGAGCACAGTTATAGACTAGCGCGGTAAAAAATGAGATTCATCCCACCGATCAAAGCCATCAGATCACAGTTGTGCAAACTGCATGCGGTTTTCTGTCAGTTTGCTGCCCCTGATATTAACACCTTTTCACAGCACATCATCCATAAACTCAAAGCTCGAAGTCACAACAATTGCATCCATCTACTTTGGATCGTGTTATTATGCTCGGTCACATATCATGTGTTTTGGGACAGCGTCAGTCTTTCATGCGATTCTAAAGTTGGATTTTGGGGGTTTTGTCGAGTAATATTGCTGTTCAATATGAGTGATTGCAACTCTACCACCCTGTTAACTTTATAGGGAGATAACATGTTAATGTCAGTGGCCAACAATTTATTAATTATAGTTCAACGAAACAAGTTAAACATTTTTTTGCAATGGCAACCTTCCTAGCTACACTTTGGACGTGTGTGTGTGTGTGTGTGTGTGTGTGTGTGTGTGTGTTGGGTAGATCCATCATAGCCCTCTCATAAGGCCAGAAATGAACGATAACATTCCAGCAGGTTTAGAGGCTCAGTGTTGACCAGGAGTGGAGAGACTTAACTGATATTTTCTCAGAGACAGCAGAGGAGTGAAGAAACATCTCAACACCTGTTCGAAAGGTCACTCCGGCGACAACGAGCTGCTCTCAGCACAGACGTCTGTTGTTATCACAAATCGGTTTTCCCCGACTTTCTACCGCAGGTTTTTGCGCCAAATGTTTTGAGTTTCCAAATTTTTTAATTCCTTGTTTTCTGGCTGCACAACACTTTTTCTGTCCGTTCTACTTCTTCCATACGTTTTCATTCCTTATTCTCTAAACATGGAATTGGACTGCTCCACCTCCTCCACCATATTCCTTTCAGTCTGAGCCACAGACGCCCAAGAAGGGAAATTGATTGAGTCAAATGTTTATTCCTGAAATGAAAGTTGAAGTATTTCTGGAACAGAGTCAGTGGCAAACATAGAGCAGTCATTGTAGTGAACTTTAAAAATTGTGTTATTGCATTTAATGCATTAAACGGGACGCTCGTCTGGAGGAGCCCTTGGTGTCAGAGAAAGGTCGGGCTTGTAGTGACGTAAGAGGAGGATGTTCATTCCTATATTCTGGAATCACAATCAAATACGCATTTAGTTCACTGCGCTCAACCAAAAACTAACACGACAAGAACTCAGTCACGTGGAGTGATTTGCTAACTCGTCTCATGAGGCATCAAAACTCTGACTGTGCTCACTCAGGCCCAACAAACATGTATCCACATCTGCCCAAATTCACAATGGTGCAGCAAACGGAAAGAATCATTCTGCTGCTCCCTTCCAAACAGTCGGCCTTTGCCAGAAACCCCACCCATGCATACACTTTTAAAAACACACATGTATTTCTGTTTAAAGAGAATATATACTATATATATATACTGTATATGTAGAGATGTGTTTAAATTCTGCAGTGAAATCTACTTAAAACAAAAAGGCAACACGTGGTGGAAACTCCACGATTTGTCTCTTTTTTTTCCGTATTGGATTTATTATGCTTTGCTAGGTTTGGAGACTCCTTTGAACCAATCTTTCCTCCTGCTTTACCGCTGCCCCCCCTGTTGGCTTTGACTCATCCTCTGCGTGACTGACAGCCCTTGTGTTTGCCACTTGACGTACCGGCGCAGAAATTCACCGCATCCAAACACAATGTGAAGCATCGTCCAGCGGTTCGCGTGGTTCCAGTTGAAACGTCACATGGGATCACCCTGTTAATGACAGAGGTCACCAAATGAACGGGGCTGTTAATCACTCCTGCTTCCCCATCCGGACGGACCCACGTGCCTGTGCAGAGTTGCATGTTCAGACAAGTGGATTGGACACGTTATTTATTTATTTTTTTAAAGATCCTCAATAATAACATTACAGCCACAGTTCAATGCTTGAATTAACAGTAATTACGTTCCACTAGAAACGACTTATCAGACAACTTACGTATTTCATGTTCAAGTGAAGTACCTACAGCTGTAATGTCATTTTTTTAGTTCCCGGGCAAAATGAAATGAGTCAAATGAATTCCAATCAAAGGACTTGATATGTGCCTAAGCAATTATAGGAATGAATAATGACGCGTTAATTTGATCACAGGCTACGACAAACCCAATGCATCACCAGAATTAGTGCTGCTTTGGCCTGAAGACACAGGAGACATGAGTTTGCACGCGGCCCCACTCCGTTACCAAACGCCTGCTCGCTAGTTTGCATCAGGGACGCGATCGTCCTCACAAAACTACAGATAAAGTAAACATACATACTCCTGGCTGCAGCTAAAGTATATATATTCACATTCATATTTTCTTCTTGTCTCCTCCTGCGCTTTCCCCCCTGGTAATTTCAACACCGTAAACACATACATTTGACATTTATATTTGATCTTTTTGTGTCATTTTGTGGAAAAGCTTTGCGGCGCATGAACATTGTGCAATTGCTACTTGTGGGACATTTTATGATTAGTGGTTTTAAGCTCGTCCGGAAAGAAAAGGCCTTTTGGGTTATTTTTTCCACATGGAGCACATGCTAACACACACACAGGTCCAAATCCCCCTGAAACCCACACATTGAGCATTGTGTTCCAGGTTTTATTTTTTACACAGCGATATCTCCCATTGCAATTACTTTTAGCAGAAAGAAACACATCTGGAGCGCAAACAATGCCGTGAAAATAACCATGACGCACGCGCGCACACACACACACACACGCACACACACACGCACACACACCCGCACACACACACACGCAACATCCATCCTGCACATCATTGGACATCAATCAGGGACATTGTTAAGGGTACATTTCAGTTTAAGAACCACAGAGCGAAAAGCTTACCTGTCTGAATTCTACTCTGTAGTTGTAGCTTCTAATTAATATGTCGTATTTCTACCTTTTGTAGTCACGTACATCCGCGTGTAACCCCAGCGTTAAGCATGCCGTAAGTGGTTCAGCAAAATGATCCGTCCCAGTGAATATTGTGCTTCGTATTTTAAACAAACTCCGGTTTTGCTGCACACGGAAAAGCTTCACGTCTTGAGTTGTATAATGACCTGTGATTTCAGAGATCACATGTTTGAATGACAAGACAGTGAATACTGCAAACAGTATGTTTGGTTGCATTTGGCATATACATGAAGGTAAGAGTTCTCAACCATAACCGGCAATTTTGATCAAGTGGAATCCTTTTTCTGCCGTTCAAACTTTTCCAGAATTCCAGAAACCATTTCAACACGTAAGGGAAAAGATAAAGACTGGATTTACACAACCGTTTCTTTGACAACATGTGATTAAATTGTTGTTGGATTGAGGAAATTAAGCACGAGAATGTAAGCAATAGAATTGAAAACACAGATATATGCTTTTAAAGCGTGCAATTTTGATAAAGACTCGTGAATCTTACTGGTCATGCAAACTCAGACCTGACATACAATAAGTTCAAGTCGGACCCAAGCGTGTGTAAAAAGGAAATGTTCTGCTCCTTCGTTACTATAACATCTTCACGGTCACCTCAGGTCAACCGATTAACAAACATTTCCGCGCAAACATTCAAAAATGAGGCAAAAACTTGATCCTGGCGTCACTCTCTCCCCCCCACGGAGCGTTTGGCTTACACCGAGACCATGAACACATCTTCAGCGCGGATCCAACAGAGATCCGTGGTGAGTCATTTCAACACGTCCATCATTGTTTGTTTAGTAGTTTTTCATGCTCTGATGTCTCTTGGTTTTCATTAAAAACGTCTCGGAGAGAAATGAGTTCAGTCTCTAAATCTTGACTGAAATGTTTGATATTTACAGGTGGCATCTGTGGTTTAGGTCCAACTCATTAGCAGGCTTTTGGGGACTGATGTCAGTCTGGTGCTGTTTCCTAAATGGAATGTGTGAGGTTTTTGGCCAAATATTTCCAAAATACACAACACTTGCCTCAGCGAGTGAATAGGTAGGAATCCATAAATCATCACACACACACTCAGTGCTCGGCCAACACTCAATGAATCTATCCGTGGCTGCAGTGTAACTCTGGTAGGATGATTGTGTTGTGCAGGCTCTGCAGTGCAGAGAGGCTCCTCTAGTTATCAATAGTATTATACATTGTTATCTGATGTTCGCTTATAATTTACACGTTATAGGATAAGGCTGGTGATCTATTACCTTGAATAAACAGATCATGAAGTATTTACTCTGCAAAAAAAGCATTCAGTCCTCTGTGCGTCTGTTGTTGTTGTGACATCGTTAAAAACACAGGAGTGCATGTTCCTCTCATGATGTACATAGCGCCCCAAATCTGAAAGTGTTTCTCAATAAGTGCACAATTTACTCCCGTTGGAGTAACGTTTGCTAAAAACTTTTAAAGGTATCTACATTTTTTATATATTTATATGAAGGTGGTGAAAGTAACATAATATTAATTATCACCAGCCTCATCCTTACAAATTAATATTAGGTCGGAAAAATTTCCATTATTTATATTTAAATGATGAATTTGGGTGTAATATTCACAATAAATATTATAAACCAATTGTCAGGAATTTGTGGCAAATAATTAAAAAATTGCAGAGTAAATTATGTTTCAAGTGCACCTTTCGGCTACCGTACTACACTTTAAATAAAATTGTACGTTCCTATTGTTGCACACACACACACACACACACACACACACACACACACACACACACACACACACGTTTATATTCTTCAGCGTGCTGCATTGACAAAGCGTTACCTACTATCAGAGACAGACGGTCCGGCATGTGCTCCTCTGCCCGACTGCCTCTTTGGGCGCAGCGCTCTGACGCCCACGCACAGGCCCGGGAGCGGGACGTGGTCAGGATTAGCATGGTGGCGTAGCGGGAAACAGTGTGAACGTGGTCTGTGGAGCCAGTAGCTCTGTCGGCTGCGCTGTATACGTGCGCTGTAGGGTTATACGCCACAGCTCCACTTGGTTGACTGTTCCCACTGAGAGAAGCGTCAGGTGATGACGTGAGGGCTCCGCGGGGGGTGTCGCACAGACAGTTCTGAACCCCGTGGCTTCCGGCGAGCATGCTCTTTGTGTGTTTCTTTATAGTCCACAGGGGGCCGGGACACATGGGGGTGACACGTGGCTGAGGTGGGCAAGGGGCAAAGCTGTAAATAACGGATGGAAAATCAATAGCAGAGATCCGCAAAGGAGAAGCAAACGGTTTGCGGTGAGTTTCTGTACATCCACCCCCCCATACGGCGGCGGAGGGAGAGTCAGGAAGTTGAGGACAGATTGAAGGCTACGGTCGTCCAGTCTGGAGATGGTTAGAGGTGAATAGCAGCACAGAGACGGGGAGTATCCAGAAAGAAAGGCCGGAACATTTGCGTTCACCAGAAGACCGCGTCCCCCCAAAGTAAGCCACCTGGGCTGCAGAGAGAGAGAGAGAAGCAAAGCGTAGGACAGGGAAAAGTGAGGCAACATGCGTATTCATGGCTGAATGAGAGCTCACCCACATGGGGGGAGGTAGTCATGCAAGACTGCAGGGGGGGGGAGCAGGGAGGGGGACACGGTCAGCAGGAATGCTAGCACCGCTAAGCCTTTACTGAAAGCCAGAGTAATTAAGGCAGCTTAAGGCATCTCATTCTCTGGAAGCGCTTGCTTTGTTCCCCTGATCTTTGCTGCGCCGGGACTCACCCACACAGGCTGACCCGTCGTCGTTGGGCTCGAAGCCCTGGTTGCATCTCCTCTTAGCGCGGCACTTGTAGCTGCCGTAGGTGTTGGTGCAGACGGGACGGTCGGAGGGGCACACAGTAGGGAACTGGGTACACTCATCTTTGTCTGAGGGAGAGGCAGGTGAGGGAGGGAGGGAGGGAAACACGCCTTTTTGTCTTAATGTAAAACAAGGACGCAAACGCAGGGCGGGAAACGTCTTTGTGTCTCACCTGTGCAACGGCCATTCTCGTTCAGTGCGAAGCCGTGTCCACACTGTAAGACACACACAGTCTAGTTAGAGGAACGTCTTTGAGTTAAAAAAAACAACAACAACGTGATCATCTACACGGGGGGCAGATTACGGGCTGATGAATGGGTGCAGAGACATACCTAATACACTGATGCCGTTAGAGAGACGGGTTACTGCTGATCAACGCAAAGTTACTGTGAGGCATCACCTTAATCCCACACAGACGGAGAGGAGAGTACTCTTCCACCACGAGAACGTCCTCAACATGAAGATAATTAAGTCCCATGAATCACGGCCGTACCTCTATTTCCACCGTAGGAGTGACTTCCTCCTCGTCTCTTGGATAGTGGATCTCAAGCACCCTGTTGATGTCTGAAGGCTCCAGGGGCCTCGCGGCTGAACGGCCATCGGGCCAGTACACCTCCACATTGGTGGCAACATCCTTACCTGCTCGGACGAACAGAACAGATGCAACCCACACACACACACACACACACACACACACGTCCTCTTTTCTCGAGGGCTCGTAAAGCTTCCTCTCTTTTTCACACCGACGCAAACACAGGGAGAGAAGAAGTGCCACTGTTCTCTCTCCATTAACCACTTTAATGAGGCACACAGACGGCCCCTCTCTGGAGGGCCCCTGCAACCCTTAATTAAAGTGGCATTTCTAATTCTCTGCCAGACAGCGATCTACTCAGCAGGTGTTCTGTCTGAGAGCCAAAGCATATTTCACCTGCCGCCGCGTGACACGCTGTCACTTGGTGGTGAGGGTTGTGTTTACCGGGAGGGATGTTTGGTCTGTCCGGAACGCTGCGCGGTTTGGAGCGTGTGTGTGTGTGTGTGTGTGTGTGTGTGTGTGTGTGTGTGTGTGTGTGTGTGTGTGTGTGTCATGTGACAGGGATCTGGTTTCTCCCGGGACGGCTTCCAGCTGCAGCACCTGTCCGCCAACTCTCGTGTCCTCTGAGCTTCTCTTAAGTCTCCCAAAGGTGTCCAGCCAGGCTGGAGGTATTGAAACAATGCTTTCCACCGGTAGCTTTCATTTTCCTTCTCACCAATCGTCTCTATTAATTGTGTCCATTTCCCTTTTCGGGTTCATCCCGTAACAAAGCAAAGAGCATTGCAACAGTCCGTTGCGCAAAAGTGGCAAACTCAAATTCACTGATATTTTGGGGTTTTAGACAAAAACAAAACAATACTGGCAATCTAAAGATGACTGATCTACAGTTTCAGGACAGCTGTGTGTCTAATTGAACACTTACCGAGGCCAAAGTGTGCGACGGGCTCCATCTCACACAGGTACCCCGAGCCTCCGTCGATGATCCGCGTGTGGGGGCCGCTCTTTTTAGTGTACAGCACCACTTTAGCGCCTCTGGCGAAAGCGCCAAACTTGGTCCTGGGAATCACTCGCAGCCAGGCGTTCGTGGTGCCCTGAGACACGGACGGCACGAGGGAAATGGAGGAGTACGGTTGAGATGGTGATTAAGTCTCACACTGATTTTGAGGCTTTCAGTACGTCTCGCACGCACACACACACACACGCACACACACACACTCACCTGGTTGACTCTGTAGACCGAGAGCGGCTGTGCTGCACTTTCACCGTGAGAAATCAGCAGCTCCAGACGGCCATCGCCGTCAAAATCCGTGGCTACGGCTCCTGTAACGATGCAGCTAAACACTTCAGGAAACGGCCGACGTGATATTTTATGATCATCACGCCAGGGGAGCATAAAATGTGAACAGTCATAGAGCTAATTATGTGGAATAATGTGGGGGTTTTATTTTATTTCACGAAGGCTATGAGGATCCCCAGTGGCGCTCTGGTGCCATCTGATGGAGAGGTGCTGGATGAGCAGGTGTGAGGATGTTCTTGTGCTGAAGAGGCTTTTCTGCCGCTCACCGGTTCCTCGTCCTTCAGGCTCTGAGGCCTCGCCGACGTTCAGCTCTTCTATTTGGGGGTCTCCGTGCTCTCTCCTGCTCACCCTGTCAAATCAATGTCACAGAAAAGACTCAACAACAAGCAACACCACATTGTTCCTTGAATGTTTTTGCATCAGTGATAATACTCAATAAAGGTCATTTATGATGATCATGTTACAAATATGATATAAACTATAATATTTGCAGGTATGCTGACTTTGACAATGGTTGACAAATGATGAGCGGATGACAAGTGCTTTCATTCCACTTCCCATCACATTCATTTTGTGTGTTTATTAGAATGTGTTTATTAGTATGTGTTGATACAGACTTAATCAAATATCCTATCCTAAATAAATAACTTTATTTTAATTTATATATATATATTATTTTATTTTTTTACTAATTGTTTTTTCAATATTATTTTTGGGGATTTTATTGGATTTTCATGGTCAAAAGTTGATGTTTTACAATAATCACCTGATTTAAATGTATTCCTAAAGAAAATAATTAATGCCCATTGACTTTAGTTCCTTTACCTTCAGTGACAAAGCGTTTAAGTTTCTTCAAGTTATCATTTAACTTCACAGGCCACTACTGATGATCCCACCTGCTGAACCCCTTCAATACATCCACTTCGATGCCGAAGGGCAGATTTATAAAAGCCGATTCATCTTCCCGTTGTGGAGCCACAGGCTGCCGTGCAGTGACCCGTGTCGGACATCACCGTGTCCAGAAAGACAAATGAACCGGCATATTCATATCCAGCACTGATCATTTATACTCCGTATGAATTGACCCACCACCTCCTGGTGATGACTTCTGCATCCTGTGTGCACATTCATATTCAGGTAGGATGGGTTTATTTACTAAGACTTAATACCGGGTATCTCATTCACTGTGTTGCATTTTGAAGGCTGAGTTCATTAATATTATCAAGAGAGGAAGACAAACTGTTGATCCAAAAGGAGACCTAAAGCTCTTAATGAGAGATTCATTCATGTGTGGAGGAGGAGGCAGGCCAGACTAGATAAGTATCCTTCGCTGGGAATTTATAATTCTCCAAGCTGTGTTTTAGAATATTAAATAAAGACACAGAAGTCCATTAAGCTCTCGATCAAAAAGCTGTTCAACCTCAGTACCATACTTTTTAACATGTGTATGTAAATATACGTGTGTGTCTTGTGTAATTTGCGTGTAGGGACCTGAAGAGCCTGTTGGCGGAGGGGCCCCTGTAGGCGATGTTGTTGAAGAAGACCTCCATCTCGTTGTCATTATCAAAGTCAGCGGCCATGACGGTGCGAACCGGTGACGGCATAGAAAACTTCTGGGACGCGATGTCCTGAGAAAGAAAGAAAACGCATATTACACCAGTGACGCGCGGACACGTTCTTTCATCATCATCATGTTTCTAAATCTGCTTTTGCCCCCTTTTGTTTTTGTTCCACTGTGTATCTTATTTATCTTTTTACCATGTAAAGTGTCTTTGAGTACCTAAAGCCCTCTAGAAAGAAAATGTATTATTAGCATTATCAGTTGACGCTTCACAGCATCAGCGGAGCGGTGAAGGTGATTTGAGACCAGCTCGACTTATTTTTTTAAGCGCATCAGTGACGTGTGGAGCGTCGGCCTGTTGATTCATGTCACCTTCATTGAAAATGACTTGTAGCCTGTTGATGCGTCGTTCAATCTTCTCAACGGGGCCATCAGTAATCAGGGTCCGGGCCTTGAGTTAGACGTTGATCTGTCATCTGCTCGCTCACTCGCTGTAACTTACCCTCGCTGCTGAGCATCATCTAAAGCCTAAAGATGAGAACAAACTCCTTATTTTTTCCGTATCTATGGGAAAAAGAAAGGCTATTGTCCCCCAAAAGGTCTCCCCAGCAGAGGGGTTTCTGCACGAGAAAGTAACGGATATCTTTCTGCTTCGGTGACGCGGTGATAAGTCGGGGCAGAGTTATAGAGCAGCCCTTCACTCCCTCCAGTATTTACTCCCCGTTTTAATTATAAGGCTCATAAAGCCGGGGCCGGCTCACAGTGACCTTCTGCTTCTCAGGTGAAGGAGAGGGGACGGCCGACTGAGGGCCACGAGGGAGGGCCCGCTCTGCACTTACTATATTACATGGTGAATGAATAGATATTCCATGAGGGGAGAGAGAGGAGACCCTCAGCAATCAAACACGGGGCACAGAAACATAAAAGCCCAAATGGTTTGAGAATTTCGTTTTAATTCATATTAATACAATACATTGGAAATGTTTATTCCAAAGAATTCGAATATAATATACATTATTTTATTACGCTTTGATTATTTTGAATAATATCATTAATTAATTACCATTACTGTGGGTGTGATTTGCATGTGTTTGCAACTCACTGCGAGGAAAACCTCGGCAATAGATTTTAATTAAAGCTCAAACAGGCGTAATCTGCACTTTCTGCTGCACAGTCGAGCTGCTGTTTCAGCCCAATTTAATTAGCGGTTTACTGGAGTGATACAACAGCTTCATTATACACGCCAAAGGTCAACACAGTTGGCAGGAGTGTCAGCATGTGTGTGTGTGTGTGAGGGGGGGTTGGGGGGTGGGGGGAGGGGCTCTTTAATGTGTTGTGAATATGTTATTTAACAATCTTGGTTTATAAAAAAATAAATAAAAAAAACGGCGAGATAATTCAATTTTCCTTTTGTGCGTTTGTGTGTGTGCGTCGTCTTTGTTTGCGTGTCTGTGTGTGTCACGCTGATGGAATGGACTCTGGGCTAAGCACCACACATTAACCCATTATTTGACCCCTATAAAACAGGTCTTGTGTGACACTTATCTCTTTTGGGAAAAGATGCAGTCGCAGCTGCTAACAGATAAATCAGGAAACCGCCGTGGATTTACGCGCGGCGCTGCTCGCCTGTCTGTGTTTACCGCGGTTAAACGTACGACGCAAACACGTGCACACTGCCGGCTGTCTATGATCGAGTTGATCGGCGCAACGGATCTTCGTTCGTCTTTAAATTCCACTCAAACCGACCTGAGCTAATTCACCAGCCTTTCTTTGGCATTGAAAGCTCTGGTGATTGAGAGTTAAAAGGTTGAACGGTCTCTGGATCCACACACACCCGCATTTGGAAATTTGGGTAAACTGCTATTAAAGTCAAATAACGTGCTTGTCGGTCTGTCTGGTGGCATTTCCAAAGCACACAATCAGAAATTTATGCCGAATCTAAGCAGCTTCTGGTTGTGCGACGGCGTGGACGTTATTACAAACTTTTCTCCAAATCCCTTCTTGTTAGATCAACTCTTTCTGTCCACTTTTTAGATGAGCAATGGAAACTTCCTTTTGGAATCCCGGCCTTGTCGCCCCCTCGCCCGCCCTTTGCCCCCTTTTAACGTGGATGTTTGGGACGGAAATACTCAGCGGTGACAAATCAAGCAGACTGAGGAGTATTGGCGGGGTTTTTTTAAACAGTAGGAGTTGTTAAATACCCAGCATGCACTGGGCCCACCTTAAACCTCTGTTTGCGGTTATTCAGCTGCATGTACAGGCGATGGGGTCCGTTCCAGTTCCCGTAGACGATGTCCGTCTTTCCGTCGCGGTTGAAGTCGGCCAGAGCGACTCCTCTGCCGTGCTGCATCGGGTCCTCGACGCCTGCAAGCGTTACGGCGCTCTGTGATCAACTCGTGCGACTCGCCGCGATTGGTCAAAGCGCTCACGGTCCTCTTACCAGCCAGCTGCGCCACGTCGGTGAAGGTTCCGTCCCCGTTGTTCTTGAACAGGAAGTTGGGGCCGTACTCGTTGACGCAGAACACGTCGGACAGGGTCTGGCTGACGACGGGCCCCACCACGACGCCTCGCCCTCCTTGCCAACGGGAGACAGAGGGACAGGGCGGAGACGGTGAGACTCAGAGAACAGAGTCGAGCGGAGGCGGGATCGGCACAATAAAAGTGAAACCGACGGAAAATCATTACTGTCTTTCCGGACCATTTCCCCCCCACGGCGCGGCACATCTCCGCTGATACACACACACACACACACAACTAGCACAAACAAATCAAAATAACCAAAAGACGCATGCTAAGAATCGTTTGCGTTTACCAAAAACAACAGTCATGTTCTTATGAAAAGATCTGTGTGACTGTTCCACACACGGTTAATATCACCTGAGAATCATCCTGCAGAGGGAAGCGTCTCCTTAAAGTGTCTCATCTGAGACCTGCGGCCTAATTACGGAGTCGAAAGGGCTTCCGCCGCCCTTCCAGTACGCGCAGTCGGCACCGTGAGGCGGGACTCGCTGCCGACTTACCGGCCCGCTCCATCAGCCCAGACGAATATCACTCGTCCCCTATTGTCATAAAGCACTAATGTCCCTCCCGAGATGTGTGACCATTAGATACGCGACTTGGCTGCCTGTCCCTCTGCTCGGATTAACGGCGGTTTGATGACAAAGTACATCATCCACAGCGATGCCGGGCCGGTTCACGATGCCCCTCCGCAGGCTTGGACGACATCGTGAATGTGAAGAAATCCACCGACGATGGAGATTTATTCTGTTATTTTCAAAAACAAAAAGGCGTCTCCCGTTTCCAAAATTTAATTGGATATCCGCGTCAAGGACTTTTCAATGGTTTCAATAAAGTATCGAAGAGGCAGCGCTATTATCAAAGAAACAAATCACAGGGAAATCATTCATCTTGGCATTTATTGTCGTCTCTTTGATACCAAAACAGGCATCCGTCACATGGTTAAGGGACATGTTGATGCAAGTGGGCAGGGAGGCGGTGATGAATTGCAATGCTTCTAGTGATCTATTGCAAGGTCATCCATTCAGTTTCAAGAGTATTTAAGACAATAGTAGCTTGGTGATGAAATCCACACTCCAAAATTCAACAAATGATCAATGAGATAAATGAAAGTGCTCGGTTTTTGTCTGAGAGGCAGTTTACAGTGTGTGTGCAAATGACATAAACGATAACCGAGAGAATTAAATTAAACCTCTAAAACGCATTTGGCTTTTTGGGGGAAGTGTTAACTGGAAAAGCTTTGACAGGGAAGGATGTTTCACTCCACTGATTTCAATTCCCCTAATCACTAAGAGCGATCATTTGACCAATCCCTAAAAAAAAAACCATCGGCAACGTCCTGTCCCGATGACGGCATTTCACCTCTTCTCAAACACTTTTAAACTGACTGAGCTGATGAACGACAAGTAAAACCGTCCGCGCCGTGGTGACGTACGTAGTTGCATCCACACCTTCAGAGGTCTGAGGTGAGTGGCGCCGCCCGTGATGGATGCCATCTCTGCGCCGTGCAGCGGCTCTGATGTACGAGTGTGTCGCCCTTCGCCTCCGCTTCCCCTCGGCAGCAAACAGCTGACGGGGCCAAAAGATCCATTTAACAATTTTTCTCTCTTTCTCTTTCCTTTCTCACGGTTACACTCATCTAGTTCGCTTTTATATTAGTCCTTTTTTTCCCCACCTGGCACCTTCCCCCCACCTCTATGTACTGAATTCCTATATATCAGATTCCATGTGAGTACAGCCGCCACATGCTCATAGAATCCTCTACAGATGTCTGTGTGAATCAGACTGAAAGTCCAGACACACACACACACACACACACACACACACACACACACACACACACACACACACACACACACACACACACACACACACACAATTTCATTTCAGCATACCTACCAGTGAACTTGTTGACCCCGGCCTGCTCGGCCACGTTGGAGAGGACAATCACGCCCTGTGAGAGATTGCTGGCCGCCTCGTCCATTTCAATGAGAGCGTGAGGACCCACGCTGCCACTTGCATAGTTGGCGATGTAGATGGCGTACCGTCCCGTGCCCTGGAGGGAACAAAAAGGTTCACTTTTCGATTAAAGAAATCGAGGTTTTGAAGACACCCGCGACCTTTCTGTCCTTCGGTCCTCCTGTCAAACAGCGATATGCACACGCTTCATACAGAAACCCGGCTTTGTAAGAGTTTGTGTTACAAACTCTTGGTGTGAGCCCCCCCTCGCCTTCTTTTTCCCTCCCTCAGTATGTAAATCTAGAAGATACTATTTCACTCAACAATATCTTCTACATTCTCAATAGTCGCTTTAAATAAGCCCAATGAAAACTTTTACGCAAATCTAAAACATATTCCAAGTGTTATTTCTTTATGTGCTATTTCTGCAAATATTATGCTGTTCACCTTTACCTAATCAACACTTTCCCTTTTATCTCCCTTCACCCAGTTTCATACCTTTCACACTCTCTCTCAGCCTCTCTCCCTACTCCTTCCTCTGCCTCCCTTTGGAGATTAATTTCACACTCCATTATCAGTCAGAGTCCCTGCAGACACAAACTCACAGACGGAACCACACTAATAGACTACACGCTGGATTCCAATGAGCTTTCCCACGAGGCCTAACGTATTTCAATCAATACAAACACATGCGCATATGCAAACACACGCACACATGCATACGCGTTTCACTGGTAACTTTGCTATATTTTTTTCAAGACAACAAAAGTAAATGAGTCTAGTTGATGTAAATGTCATGAGGCGTCACATTATGGCCATTATGGAGCACACGCGCACACTTGCAAACACACTCGCACAAGAAGGCCCACAAAGTCATGCGCTTGACGGAATTAGAATGAACTACGATGAAAGACCTGAAGGCCACTGGCAGTTACTTAACGAACTTAAAAGTCAACGATTTTTCAATAAATGTTCACCCGAGGTGAATTTCGCTCCCTGGAATTGGCATTTTGAATAGTGTGACATGCATGAATGTAAAGTGCATGCAGGTGCAGGGATACGATACTGTGTGTCTTTACAGCTATTACTGACAAGTCTGAATGAGCTCCCACCTCTCGTGTTGCATTTCAATTCTTTTGTTTTGAAAGGTGCTTCTTCTGGAGCTCATTTCAATTATTCTGGCATTTAGAATACACTTATTACCAGAATCCTGCTACTGCCAGTGCAAAAAAGTGAACTTATTCGTAATGATAACACACTATTCATGAGCAAGACCAATCTCATCGCCGATCACATGTTCAGGTTTCGGGAATGCAGATTTGGACCTCCGCCGTCGTTCCAAATCTCCGGTAATAAAACTTGCCCAGCAATAGGAAAATGTATTCTCTGCCTCCGTCTGCATGGAAGAACACACATCAGGGGTTTGGCTTCGTCTAAAAGCATTATGCCATTAAAAGCAAATATCTTTCCAGTCTGGCAGCTGCACAACCTATTCGTGTTCAGTGAGATGGGACTGTGGTTAAAAAAAAAAAAAAAAATCTATTGTAATCCCTACTGTCCTCTTCCCACTATCGCTTTATTTATCCGTCCCCTGATTGCAAGTGAGAACTGTACGCGTGCGTGTGTGCGAGATAAGAGACAAAGACAGAGTGCGTCAGTCGGAGGGAGAAAAAGGGGGAAGTGAAGAAAAGGGGAAAAGAGGGAAGAAAACAATGGAAAAGAGACTGAGAGAAAACGCTACGGGCAGAAAGCAGTAGTGTGCAGTCATCACTCCTCCCCTCGTACGCTGTTCTATAAAACAAACGAGCCCTGGCTTCTGTAATTACACTGGTGCGATGGACAGAAGAGAGAAAATGGCTCACCATTCCCCCAAATGAACTGTCATAGAACATGCAGAGAAGGGCGGCGCAGGCCGGGCGTGAGTTATCACTGGTAAACAAACAGAAGCAACCATGCATGTACACAGAAGACACTCTGGGGAGTGTGTGTGTGTGTGTGTGTGCGTGTGTGTGGTGAATCTGCATACACGCCACTTTTCTTGTGTGTTTTTGTCCATGTATAAGTGTGTGTGTGTGTGTGTGTGTGTGTGCGCGTGCATGTGCTACCTTTCTGTCCACACAGGCCACTGAGCGCCCGGCCATTCGGTTGGCCACATCTCTGTGTTCGTTTACGTCGTCGTTCAGCAGATCTTCAAAGCGTCCATTGCGGAACTTAAACAGCTTGTCAGAGTACGTCGCCCGACCTTGACGGGGGAGAGACGCAGAGTTTGAGGAGAGGCGAAGATTGTTGGGAGGGTAAAGAGGCGTTATTGCGCCCGCCGGGTGATTGGAAACGCGAGAGCTTGTTGGCGCCGGAAAGTGACCTCTATCATTTTTTTTTTTGGTGAGGTTTTGTAGTTTTGACAGTGTGCACTTTGTAGCTCTCCAACTGATTAATAGCAGCACAAAGCGTGTGTGTTATCTGATGAAGATAAGCTTAATATCTGCATAATGATTCTCCTCTTTTGTCTGCGTACAAGACAAGAGGCTCAACGATCGTGACCGTGTGTGTGTGTGTGTGTGTGTTTTGTGAACGTGCACCAGCGTGTGTGAAAGGCCGCACTGTACCAGAGAAGGCGTTATTGGTGTTCAGAACATAAATCTCCTCCCGACCGTCTCCGTCGATGTCGCACGCCGTCACTCCGATGGCGTTGCCTTGGCGGTCTCTCAGGGCGTAGAACGGGGAGCTACGGTTGTCAACAGCGATGTTGAGGAGCCTTTTCTGCTGCTTGTTGTATTTCAGCACCAGGTTCGGCCCGTTGTAGCTGTCGACAGGCAGCAACGGGACAGCGGTTACAGTCGCATTACTTTTTGAGGGATCGTGGAGACTAAATCATGCAGTGTGATTTCATTTGCAGGACAAGATGACCAGACTGGTCAGCGTGATGGTCCCTGCTGCTGCAGGCTACTTTAGCCACTGCTAACAACCTCCGACCAAGCGTCAGCCTGTAATGGAACTCAGGGAAGTTGCATTATGGGCTGTGTGTATTTTTGAATAGACAAATCCCTGCGATGAAAAAAAATGGGATATCTCTGTTTCTGTGCATCAATTTGAAAACAGGTTTTAAAATGAATGACGCCATAACAGCAATGTTAGCAACAGAGGTGAAATTATTAAAATTGTGATTTACAATTTGCAGGTTTAAGGTTTAAAAGTCCGACATGCATATTATTATAGTATATCAAATAGATAGAAAGACTGAAAACTAGTCCTCACACTACATTTTTGTGTCGCAAAAAACAAATTCCACTGTTCTAAAGTCACTGTACCATCGATATTCTAAATGTTATCCTTTTACTTTGTTACTTTCATTTATTGTGATTATTTTTATTATCCTAATCAAATAACTAACACATACATAATTTATTCTGATATTATGGCTTGAATTAAAAAAACATGCTTATTAATATGAATTAAACATATAAATGTTTTAGTTATATATTATCAACTACTTCTCGCTTGTGTTCTAAACAATTCTAAAATCAAACAGAACATAAGTGCCTCTGTATTATCTATTAAATCTTGAAAGGACAATTTGCGGTCTGAGCTGCTGTGTATAGACCTCAAAGCCGGTCAGTCAGTACATCTCTAGTTTGAAGAGTACAATGCGACTCGATGAAGTTCTTCTCTAGAACTAGAACTTAGTCTATTGTGAAAATGTAAAAGGTGCAGAATCTTTAAGGGCCCTGGGAAGCCGTTTGCGCATCGTATCTCGATGCAGAAGATTCACGCATGGCCATAGGTTGTAACGTGTGGTAAAGGTTGTGAGATTTAGGCCACATATCCTCTAAAAATCTAAAAAGATCAAGATTTGGGTTAAAATAAGTATATCCGTCAGCAATTAAATGTGACTCACTGATCTTTCAAGACATTAAACACCTTTATCTCTGTTTGTGGTTTTAAGAGAATTGTAAACAAAAGTGGGACCACAGTGACTTTGCGTGACTTTGCGTGACTTTGCGTGACTTTGCGTGACTTTGCGTGACTTTGCGTGACTCCTCCTCTGTCTGTGTGGTAAAAAGTGAAAGGGCAACATCAAGTGAAACACTTTGATTCAGCTAATCCCATTGAAATTGCATCCATTCCGAGGTTTATCCTGTCCGGGGTACCGGCTGAATGGAGTATCTGGGCTAAATTACATTTACTAAGCAGGCTCGTTTTGGTCCATCTATATTCTGTTAAGCATTGGGAAATTCATTGCCGCTTCACTGGATGAGGCTGACTTGCCAAACTGTTCCCATCAATGACGCTCCATCCAATCACATCAATTTTCATCAGCCGAGTGAGCCGCAGGGCACACTAGCATCTCTTTTGCCTTTGTCTTCAACCTTTAGCTGTGAAAACGACAATGCACTTTTATTTCAGTCTCTGATTTAGAGTCAGATATGACTCATCTCTTAATTCTTTGTCTCTTATTAAAGGATTTTGGTTTCACTAAGCCTGAATAAAAGAAAAAGGCTGTTGCGTACAACCTGCCTCCCCCCCTTTTCTCACCCGGCTACAAACATCTCCAGGTCTCCGTCCCCGTCCACGTCAGTGACGGCCACGCCGTAGTTGAGCTGGGTGGGGTTGTTGTCGTAGTCGGGGGGAAGGACAGTCTTGGTTATCGCTGAGAACATGGGCTCTGACCGCTGGGCCGAGGAGATGACAGGCAGGAACATGAGCAGCCGCAGCAACATCCTCACCTTGGGGGAGAACACAGCAGAGACATGATGAACACTAGGATGGCTACTGTCGTGCCCTTATTGCTTCGGCAATATTGCTGCACTTAAGGCTGGACAAGCTGGACAAGCCTTAAGTGCAGCAATAATGCTGAACATCACAGCTCACTTCCAACAAATTCACAGTATCACTCCTCGACCGAAATACGGCGCACTGTTTTCCGGGCCGTTGAGGCAAAATGAGAATCAAATAAAAACTAAGTTGCACTCTTGCAAACTGCAGCAGATGCTTTGGTCGCCAATTCTCCACATTCATTGTCAGGCAAACACCGGCTCCCTCCTACACTCAGACATGAGGATGGAGATATACCAGCACAATGAGCAGCGCTCTGCAGGGTTAGATCTGAACAACCCGTCACAGGCAGACAGGCTGAGGAATTATTGGACGGAAAATCCATACATGAAGCCAGAGGCCAAAGTGATCACAGGGGAAACCAATGATGTGATAGAACAGCACCAAGGTGCCACTTCCTTTACAGACAGCGACCGAGTCTAAACTGGGGAGGCTTTTTTTTGGGATGAAAGGGCCGTGTGATGTGTAAGTGTCCTTTTAGCGGTCAGCAGATGAAAGGCGAACACGGAGGGAATCGATCCGATCGACTTGTGAAGTGCAGGCAGGTAGAGGGGAGCTTTCTGATGCTGGGACTGAAAGGAGAGAGCAGAAACTTGACTGTGAGGGAGAAAGGTCACCTCATTAAGACTAAAATAAAACGCTCATCGCCAACTGCGCTGCAAACACACACTTAATGGCATTTACGAGCTGACGGCTTGATTTGCTCTGCCGATGGATTTACGTGCGCAGCCCTCGTCACAGTGCTCATTGTGTGCCATTGAGCCGTTCCCATCTCTGCTCCAATACTGCTGCAGATTTCCCCCCTTTTTCTTCTCTATGTGTCCGGGTGATGTATGGCTCTTTAACATCTCCCTCCACAATTCAATTTAAGATAAAACCGCATTGCCGTTTGAGTAATACTCTCAAAAGCACGTCTGCAAGGGAGAGGAAGCACCTCCGCTGACACCTGCAGAAATATGGCCAGTGCGAATGGCGGTTCTGCTGGCGCGCCGCGCCGCGATAACGCCGGCCGGGGAGCTGGTAGCGATGTGTGTAGACTGTGGCGGTTAGCAACAAGGGTTAATTAACAACACTGGGAGCTCAAGATGAGGCGATTTCCCGCTATTAGGGCAGGATGTAATGACAAATGGGCCGAGAAGTCCCAGACTAAAGAGGGCAGCTTTACAGACTGTCTCCTATACCACATGTCAGAATGGGGCCGATAGCCATTAATTAAAAGAGAAGGAAAAGGAAAGTTTGAAAAGCAACAAGAAAAGTGTGGTGCAAAAGGCTTCACTCTTTAAGTATTTTTTGGATGTGAGGCTGCGTTTGGACAAAGCTTTTAAGATTAACATAGACGGACAAACAACTAAATAATAGTTACCTGTGGGTAGCTGAATTATAATCTCAATAGAAAATAATGATATAATTAATGACTGGGCTGTTTTCCTGTGGTGGATAGATAGATAGATGATGGATAGATAGATAGATAAATGATGGATGTGTCACCACCGCTTAATGTGGCTCAGCTCCTCACACTAAGAGATTACGATATTTTTTACCGATGATTTTCATTGCAGTCTGAAGCAAATGTGATACTTCATATTTAATATTTCAACAATTCATGAAGGATCCCAAACATTGCAGTTGTTCCAATTCTAAATACATTCTGCAGAAAACCTTGATGAAACAGAAATAATCCGTATGGACAAATGCCTTCTCTGGAGCAACAAAATACTTACATCGGAAGGAACTTGTGTAATATATAACCACCGACTTCAACTGGAGCATATTTCAGTTTGACACCTATTCAGCCATACAAAGTAGTAAATAAAGAGAGGACGATATGGAAAAAGGGCACACGGGAACCATTGGGTAACGGCCGGACAAAATGCTGGGCTACTATATCATCCATTCAAGGACATACATTCGCCTTTTCCCACTTGCACTGCGGTAACGGAAGGACAACCCACTTGAATCACCAAGTTGTAATGTGACTTTCCAACAATTGATGCATTTGTAGGATGTTTTCTCTGCGGGATCCACAACAGTCACACTATGAGAACAGGAAGCCTCAAATAAAGTAATTTGAAGTAAAAGAGCCATGAAATAGACTTGAGAAAAAAGATTTCTGTTTGAGGCAGAGAAATGTTTGCGATTTGATCATTTATGTTGGCATTGAGAGGCCATTACCAAAGCGCGCAACATCAGCATGTGCTTCCTGGAGCGTTCAAGCCCAGCGCCGATCCTGATAACACTGCGACAAAGAGGCGCCAACATCTTCCACCTCAAACACGCGCTTCTCAGGGAAGGACCCCATCACTGCAGGACACACACACACACACACACACACAAAGTGCTGCACCAGTCCCAGTGAATTACACTTAGCCGTCAACAATTGCCATTACTGTTAAGCTCCAATTCATCCATCCTTTAACGCAGCGGATAAGAGACAATAAAACACCTCATTCCAGGGAAGACAGTGCAGCAACTCACAAAGAGTCTAAACTGCTTCACGACCAAACACAGGTAACATCCTTTAAAACACTTTATATGCAATGGAAAAACTGATTATTCAGTTTTCAGAATTTCTATTAAAAAGTTGAACTTTCTCCCCAATGTGATACATTTTCAATATAAAGATGAATTATTAGTAATAAACAATAAACATAAACAATATATTTCAATATATTATATATTTTTTAAATATAAAATATTTAAATGTATCTATTAAATAGATTCACAAATTCACAATTTGAAATAAATAAAAGTATGAGAGCATAAAGCAACCAAATGAAAAAGGAACCTTTTAGAGGAAAAATCCCCGCTGGTTGAAGCAGCAATAGATGATAATAAAATACACCCAGCTATTTGAATTAAAACTGACACTCTCTCAATCTGCTGAATTACTATCGGCTCCGCGCAGGAAGTTGAAGTGGATTCCGGACGGTGATGAACTTTCTATCGGCTCCTCTGCAGCAGATCCCTGCGGAGCCTCTTACACACCTCCTGGAACCAGAGGAACCAGAGAAACCAGAGAAACCAGGAGCTTCAGCAGCGCGCAAACTCAGCTACTCACAGATGCAGAGACGCTCGGAAACTCCCGACAAATCCTCCGGCGACTGACAGCGGCCGGCACACGGTGTCGTATTCGGTTAATTCTGCGGTGGGTGCCGCGGTTATCTCGAGGGTTTTCCCCACTTATTCCCCTTCACACAACTTCCAAAAGATTTGCTTTATGAAATGACTTGTGTGATATTTGAGCCAATCGTCGGACAGCTTGTGAAATATTCAACCACGCAGCCAATAAGGAGGCTGGGTAGCAGCGAGTGGGCGTGTCCCCGAGTGCTCATTAGGGTGACGCAGCTGAGACGGGATGCTGACCAGCTACCGTAGATCGACCAACTAAGGATTATATTATATATTCATATCTGATAAAATGATGCCCGGAAGTTTATTGATCCCCTCTCTCTCTGTCTCTCTCTCTCTCTCTCTCTCTCTCTCTCTCTCTCTCTCTCTCTCTCTCTCTCTCTCTCTGTCTCTCTCTGTCTGTCTCTGTCTCTCTCTCTCTCTTTTATTTACAAAATTAATATTAAACATACAAGAAATAATGTAGTGTGAGCTCATCACTGTGACTTCAGTCAAAAAACAGTATTACTTGGTAAACAAAGCATTGCTAAGAACATGTTACTAATGGAAACTATATAAACTCTTACGTTATCTAAGCAGAACCAGATATTTTTTTTTCCTATATTAATGAATGGTTCTCAAAAATCAAAAAGTCATTCTTTGTTATATGTACAAAAAGTTAGTCTTATATCTCATCACCACAAGTGTATGTGAGTGTGTGTGTGTGTGTGTGTGTGAGTGTGTGTGTGTGTGTGTGTGTGTGTGTGTGTGTGTGTGTGTGTGTGTGTGTGTGTGTGTGTGTGTGTGTGTGTGTGTGTGTTAAAAGAGAGAGAGTAAGAGTTTGCAGGTTTACTGCTGTCAGATCCTTATGTCATGCTCCACTGAGTCCAGCCTCCCAAAGACCCCCAATGAAATAGGTTGTGTGTGTGTGTGTGTGTGTGTGTGTGTGACTGTGTGCGTGTGGTTGTGCACAGCCTGGTGAAATGAGATGTTCACATCCCAAGGACGTCTCCTACCATAATTTAAACTCACTGGTGCTGGAAGACTTCAAACTGAAAGTGCTGAAGTCATAAACCAGCGCACTTCTGTTTTTACTGTTATTGTCAGTGATCTACTGGCGTAAATCCACCGGCAGGTGGCTGTGACTCAAACAATGCAAATACTACAACAGACATGTTAAATGTCTCTTTATTGTGATTACTCCGAATTTGCTCCGGGCTATAAAATTAAGTCAATGGCCCCAAAGTGAACACTGCTTTTGCTTGTTTTCACTGCGCCTGTGTTACGGTTTATCACTGTAATTTACCGGTCGCAGGTATCTGTCACGGTAGCAAAATGTAAAGAGTCAAGAGGAAAAAAAAGAAAATGCTCTGAGCTTGACGTACGGCAGCGCATGATACCTTCAGCTATTTACACCCTGATGTACAATCTCTCACGGCGGAGACAAGAGTGTTTTTATTTATGAGGGGACAAAGAGACATCAATCAGCACTGAGCTGCAGCCGGCGACAGTGTGGAGTGTGACTTTGAGGCAGAGAGTGAATTGTATTCCTTCCCCATGGGGCAGATGTTGTGGTTTGTGTCTCTACCCACACTCGTCCAGGGCTTCCCACCGACCCGATTCCACCCGCGCCCGTCGCCAAGGTCACGCCGCCCCGCCCTCCTCAGGCGCAAGCACCTTAAAATAGAGCGTGTTTAAGTGAAGATGAGGGATGAAGAAAGCTCAAGGGAAGAATGGTGGGGGAGGGAAAAAAAATTCCCATTTTCTCTTTAAGAGCTGCTGAAAGATGTATAGTGCTACAGCGTCGTGATGAATCCCCTCCGTGGTGGATCGGGGAACACTTCTCATATCATTAAGCCTTAGTAATGGTCCCGGTGCCGTGTCCCCTCTGGCAGGGTTGCCCTGCATTTACTCCACGGAGTACTACAGTACAGAGACCTCAGTCTGCCTCCTCGAGGGAACCTGCTCCGTCCACAGTTTGAGATTATAAGTGAAAGGTCCCGCAAAGAAATGCAAGGAATATCTACTTCGATACTCTGAGGTAGGACAACGTTTAAAGGTGTGAAGAAGAGGGGGCGAGCATTTGGTTGACAAAACACACACACACAAACATAGAGGACTTTTTAGCAGAAGGGATATAACCTGCATAATTTGTCTCTTTGATTTTAAAGCGTTTGGAAATTAGGGGAGCGCCCTTTAAATAAAGGTGCACTCTAAAAAAGAGGTATTCCACTTTCTAGCTATTTGAGGTTGTCAGAATGAAAAGTGTGACATATTTGGTGAGCTGTTCGCTGTGGCAGAAGTGGAAAGTGAGTCGAATTTTCTATTGTATTAGAAGTGTACTTTGTTCAGAAAAAAGTTTTGTACACACAATAGTCCGATATCAATAGTTACGTAATTGATGTGTTTGCATTGATAACCACATCGTGGATGTTTCTGGATGTGGTTCATCATTTTGTTCAACAATTTGTCAAAACAATAATGATACATAGAAACGGAGAATATTTTTTTCTGTTGAACCTTTCACCTCCCTTTTCCCCCCCTTTTTTTTACATTTTTGTACTACTATACTTTCATTTCATGCTCTGAATACATTTGAAAACATTAGATTTTCTGTGCGGATGCTTTCCATCTCTGACCTTTGAACCTGTGGACAGAGACCTCTCTACTATACTCACCCTCCAGGGCACGAGCGCATGTGTTACCGCTGCTCGTATGCACTTTCTATAGCACACACACACACACACACACACACACACACACACACGTACCCTCACTATAGGTCTGCCAAGAGGGTCCTTCATAGATCAGCCTCCTCTGACAGCTCCCTTAAATGTCCTTGGCAGCGTCCCAAACCTCAGCCCTCGTCCCCTCTCTGTTCCTGCAGCTTTTCCTCTCTGGTCGAGGCTTTGATGGATGCTGCCATATTTTTTCTGCTCCTCTCCTCCGGAATGCTCCCATAACCACCGGGCCCTGTAATGCATGACGCAATCTGTATATATCCCATTAAGTGTCACTTTGAGAATGAACCTGTTTCTCCAGGCGCAGCTCGCCTTGCAGAGCGACATGCGAGAGGATAGAAGCTGGAACCTGACCAGCTCCTCTAAGGTCGAGATGAATGTCCCTCACACCCACAGTTAGCCGCTTAGCTCTTCTTGCAGCTGAAGTTTCCATTGTAAAAACTTTCAAGTGGAAACATTTCATATTTGAGTTATTATGAGGATACTTATTTGGATGATCTGCTTCTGTCACTACAATATCCTGAAAGACTGTCAAGAAATACGTCTCAAAAACTGTGTTTTCTCTTCGTTCTCTGCAGCGGCCAAATAATATATATATTTTTTTTATATCATGAGGTTTTGTTGCTATCAATCCTGTTTTTAATTTAATTTATGAATATGTGATTTATGTTGCTCAGGCAGAAGATATAAATCTATTTTGCGAGGCGGCGGGTGGGGGGGGGTTAAGAGCGCTGATGTTCCCTTATTGATTGGCTGGCTTAATAGTGTTTGTTCTTTATAGCTGATCTCAGGAAATAAAGCAAATAAATAGTTGAGAATCAGTTCAGTCACCCCAAGGCCCCCGAGGACGGGAGAGAGACGGAGTGAAAAGAAAGAACCGGAATGTAATATGAGGACAATGAAACAGCAGCTGTCCTCATGAGAATTTAAAAAAGCAAAAAAAAACAATTAATGTGCATGTTGTGAAATTATAGGAGCTTAATTCATTTAATGCACCCATTAAGACATGATAACTTATTTAGCTTTTTTCGTTGGGCTCCACTAAGTCTAGAACCAGGCCACATGTCAAATGATGTTTTCATCACTTTTGGAAGAAGCTGGTGCATTGATATTACACGCTGCTTGCAGGTATATTACTTAGTGTGTTATTAACATCTCACCACAACTTCATAAGAGACAGAACACGATGCTTCTCTGTAAACCCAGAAGCCACATGGGTAGATGTCACTCTGCAGTCTCATCTTTTCTGCTAACAAAGAGTGTCAGGCCATTATTTGCTCCGACTGTTTCGCAATTCTCAACTGGGATTTGTCAAATTGATGTGAAAACACAACTGTGGTTTTTCCCCAGCACTAGGCTCCCCGGAGGGAGTGATGGATAGAATTTGTCTTGACATGTCAAGTTAAAGTAAAACACCGGAAATAGTTTTAGGTTATGAACACTTTATGTTACGTAAAAAAAAAGTCATAGCTGTGCACGGATATATCAGATCAGAATACACACGTTATCAAAGGAACAAATCATGAATTTTAGTATTTCTCTTCCCTACACCATCATGCAACAGCAAACCTTGGAAGCAAAACTCTCAGATCTCAGATTAGTGATTCTTTTTCTAGCCTGAGAGGAGGAGAGGACGGCATAAATCCAGCCCATTAGCCCCGAGGTCTGTCGGTGACAGTTCCCGCCCCTCGGCTGATGTAAACCAAACTTCCTGTCCGGAGATGAAGAAGCCTGTCAAAGCAGCTGTAGCCACCTCGACCCTTGTCACCCTCCCTCTGTGATGCCCCAGGCATTAATAGCAAATCAATCCTAAGTGAGGGACAAGGGAAACGAGAAAGAAACAAAAGGAAGCGTCCATCTCCGGTGGAGGGATGTGCAGCGGCGGAGATGCGGTTAGACGCGCTGTTCGAAGAGAGCTACACAAAGCATTGTGAAAGCACGAAAACACCTCCCCTGACAACCCTGTCTCCTGTCTCCTTAGCCCCAATGTGTCCCGCCGAGGAAAAATAACAGGTCCTGGTGTGGACAAGGAAGATCACTAAGTCAAAAACAAGGTGAGCTGCAGGTTTCATATGCTTTTGATTGTTGCTTTATAAAAAGGCTGCAGCTGACTGTAAAACCGATCATAACATAACCACTGAATACAGGATGCAACTTTTGTAAAAAACCCTTCCCTTTTCTACAACGCTCTTCCTCTTTTTATTAGATGTCTCATGCCTGGTTGTATTTTTCATCACCGGAAGGTTTTGCTATTTGAACAGAGTCTATCAGTCGGCAGGCTTCTCCAAATGACCAGGCGAATGGAGTAGGGGGTTATTTTTTATCTCATCATGCCTATTAGTGTATTGATCTAAGCCTGGAAAAAATGACTACATCATGTCCTCAGCTGGCCTGGTCGTCATGAGCAACCAGGACACGTTACATTACAGACATTTATTACTAGATAAAAGCAAAAAGGCCCTCGACCTGGTGGAGCTTTAATATGGGATAATAGAATCCCACCTATTATGATTAGACGGTGGAATGCGGCCAATTCATCCCAGATGAGAATACTGATGATTTTGAATTTAGATTGTAGTGGGGAAGCTTGGTTGAACACGGTTTCAACATGCATGCGTTGCATGTGTTGAAAAGCTGTAAAACTGTCCTTCCAGTCGCAGTCAAGCACTGTTCCTCCCCGTGTGTTTCTGTCACTGTCTCTTCAGAGGTATAATCAGCCATTCTCCTGCAAGGTAATTCCTGCTCAGGAGTGCATGTGGCCAACGCTGCGGAAATTCATTTTTTGGTTTAATTTCAGGCCTATTGATCGTGGAGCGCTTTACGACTGCATGACATCCATAATCACAACAACGGTGTGACAGCGGAGATAAATAATGTGGCCAAGGCACAGAGAGAAGGAGGGATGCAGGAATGAAGGGGGAAGCAAATTGAAAAAACAAGGAAGAGCCGGCTTCCATCTCTTACTGCGTTCTGTATTAATTACCGAACCTCACCCTATTACACCCTCCCAGCCACAACCCTTTCACCTGATTGATCTGCCCTCAGAGGCCCCAGATTAGTTTTCAACCCAAACTTGTCTGAAATCTGTTTGTTTAAGCATCCATTAAAAGATAGGACCCAGTGCTCCACAGTAATTACGAGGGGTAGCGTTGTATCTGTAATTATTATGAGTAGTGAAGCAGAATTAAGTCACTGCTGTAGGAACCACAGGGGGCCGAAGCCACAGCATGATTATGAGGTTTTGCATACACTAATGCTGCACTTGAGTGTAAGCTGGGGCGATGTTGCTGAAATTAATACTAGTTGATCCGGGCAACATTGAATGCATACTGAAAAGCAAAAATAATCAAACATTCTCAATCTAAATTGTATGAGCATGACATTAATTGGTCCCGTTGGAGAATGTTGACCAATGAACAACAAGTCCCTGCCTCACGCCTTCAAAATTAGATACTTTCGCATTACTTGACTTTTTTTATATATTATATGTTTGCAAAATGCAAACATTCCCGGCACGTTATAGAGCAATTTCCTCCTCAGCGGGCAATAAACGGCTCGGCGGTGTGGTCAGTGTTTGTGTGGGCAGGAGCTTTGAGCCGGTTTAGACCGGCAGCAGAGGCCACAGAGGGTCTCCTGCTTCAACATGACCCTGTTTATGTGTCACTCCACCAACATTGCCCAGTTTTACCCGCCCGCAGCTGCAGAACGGCTTTAGAGCCACTTTATAAATATATCATGTAATGAAGTCCAAATTGTGACCTTTTGGTAGCGTACGTGAAGTAAAGCGATAGTGGTGGCCAGTAAACAGCGGTGCTAGCGATGCAGCGGTGCATAAAGCGTGCCTCTGCTTGTCGCCGGAGGCTGAAGGCTCCCGCTCATAAAATGTCTCAAGTCAGAAAGAGGATAAGGATGGAGAGTTAATGCGACTTGGCACACGCTTTTATTTGTGCGAAGGCGGAGAAATCCCGCTTCTGGAGAGGCGTGTACAGCGGAGTGGAGGCTGTTGCAGGACGGGAGGCAGTGGGGCGACGGACGATGCTCAGCTGATGCTCAGCTGAGGCTGAGCAAGCAGGCGGGAGAAAGAGGAACAGGCCATTTTTATTACGGCCTTATGAGGAGTTCTACACAGGCATTAATCGATGTATTACCCAGAACTGGTCAAAAATACAATATTATATGATCACCTTTTACAAAAGAAGTTCTCCAATCTCACAAAATCAGTTACTAAAGTGTTTGCTTCATGTTTCATAGATATTATCTGACATTTTGTGAAGCTATTATTTTAATCCATTATATTTTTCTGATTACGCACTTATATTAAATTGTGAAAATTATTTTTTTCTTTAAATGTCGCCCAAACCTGATGAAACAGGACGAACCAACGCTGCACTCACACATGACCGAGCTCTCATTGGTGTAGCGGGACGAGAAGCGGTGAGTGTCGCAGCGATTCATTGCTCATCCGAATTGATTTCCAGTCATATCGCATGGAGTCACTGAAAAAAGTATCATCGCCTGTTTTCTTTACGCTGAGCTGCAGGAATTCTCCGCTGCCATACACGCGTAAATAATCAAACACGTCTTGGGAACAAAACAGTTTGTCGCTGAGTTGGAGACGAGCGCCGGGTGAATTGAACGCTGTGTAGCAGCTGTAGCTATTTGTATGTGAGTCAACACCTGGCCTGCTGTCTTTTCAGGGAGGGCCAGTGACCCTATCATGGACACGACCTGTTAAGAGAAGCAGGCTTTTCTTATCTGCATGCCCTTGGAGCACACGCCCATTGATATGCCACCTTGACTCTATCTTCATGCAGAGATGCTTCCAATTATGCGGGTCGCTGGAGTGAGGCAGAGCGTGGGGTTTCTGTACGGTGAAAACCGGTCCATGGGTAATGTGATCACGCTATTTCCTCCCCGCGGGGATGCTTGCTGCTCGTGGAACAGCGTGGTTAGAAAGAACAGGCAATTCTCCGCTCAACGTATCCCAGTTCGCCACTTCCCCCGTAATCTCATGACCCCGTCGGGTCGACTGATCTTATTTAATAAATGGTTCACCAGAAGAGGCCACAGCTCTGCAGCAACCTCAACATCATTTGTAGGGATTCTTGTTGTTTAATTAAATTTTTCTGTATCTGTTTTTCAGGCGGCCTGATGCGGATGCAGAAGAGGTATTGGGACCGACTGTTCATAGCCTGTGAAGGTCTCTCTGTGTTAGACATTATTCGCTTCTTTCATGTCGGATTTTTTGTTCAGGTTTCCAGTTATCGGGACGCTTTCAGTCAAAAAAGTCTCCTCTTGTCACATTATTTTTCAATTTTATTATTTTTCTCCATATTCCATTTTCATTTCCTCACTTCCAGTAGAGGGCAGCATTTCTTTACTGGACGCGGCGGTTGACCTGTGCCATGCGCAGTTGTCTGGCATTTGAAGCTCTCCTGTGTAATTTATCGAGGAGGAGTACGCAGGCTACGGTCATCGTCGTCAACGTCGAGAAGATGCTGCTCATTCCCTGCAAGCTTCTCATCACTTCGGTCTCATCTCTCCCACCTCACAATGTTGCAAAAGGAAAGCTACGCAGAATAAACTGTGGTGTCGTCACGTGGACTGTGATTTAGGAAAAGTGCACAATGCAATTTACGGCAGACTTCACTTCCACTTGCATTGTCTGATGCCGTCTCGCTCTTCTTCTTGCCTAACTTTTTCGTTTCCCCCCTGTCCCTCTGTGCTCTACTCCACCCTGTAATCACGCTGGTTCATGGCTCTCATTTGGAGCGGTATATATAGCAGTAATTGTCAGGGTGCAGTACAGAGACTGGGCAGGCCGTGTGTACTCTCTCACAGGGCTGTTTTGCAATAAATCTCATTGTGGAGAGGAGAGGATCGGTGTGGTGGTGGGGCAATTTGTGCACAAACACTTGCGTGCATACAAAGACAAGTTCACTTCCCTGCTAAAGCAATACACAGTACGCACAGAGAAGTGTATAACAAAGGAAAGGCATTGCCCTAATTTGCTAGTGTTCTCTCAGCGACCGTTCATTTACTCTCCCGATGGGCCTGACATGGCAAGTGAATGTGTCCCATAATGTGTTTTTCACTTGACAGGGTGAAATAATTATGCTAATTCATTCATTAATCATGAGACTATCAGTAAATATTAACAATCCCAGGCGATGGGTTCATCGGGTGGTCTGCTTACGAATCACAAGCACCTAGAAACTAATTTACATTCTGTGCAAGTGGAAATGATAATTGTTTGAAAGTGTAAGAAAACACTAATGAGCATTTATCCGTTTCTCCGATATTACACGTCATAATGAAGGCAGCACAAAACCAGACAGATCCAACAGGTTTCCTCATTGAAGCAACCACGAGGCTTTTAGCAAAGACATTTCTACTAAATAATAAAGTTCGATCACCAGAAAAAAACTCACCCTGTCAGTCGCTCCCAAAAGAGATGACGCCACAACCTGTTATGCACTCAAGTGTTACGTGTGTGTGTGTGTGTGTGTGTGTGTGTGTGTGTGAATGGGTGGGGGCTTTGGTTTGTTGTAGCTTGTACGGACAGGTCTGTCATTCAGAGAGCGTACACAGTCTTCATTGTGGAGCTGTCTGTGGTCCCCATCAGGTCGGGGTGGGGTGGCGAAAGGGGGCCTCCCGAATAACACCACGTGCAGCAAACAGGAAGCGGGCCGGCAAGGATAGAACGAGAACTGCGCCGGGGAGCGTGCGTGAGTGGAGGTGGCTCGTATGTTTCGTTTTCACCTCAGATTCATTTATTTTTCCTCCTCTGATTGATCTCGATCGATGGTCCACACTTAAAGGCGACCCCTGACGCTGGTACAGTCACAGTCATATCTAAGTGACTTGTTAAATAGAAGAAGTGAAAGTGGATTAATCTCCAGCCTTTATTTTCTTCTTATAAAAGTGCACAGTGTAAATATTCATATGATCTGTGAAGCCCAAACTAGTGTGTGTGCCCTTGCATGTGTGTTTACCGGAATAGGCTGAGAGTTCATGAAAGGAAGATGGATGTGTGTGAGGCCTCTCTATGAACCCAGGTGCTCTGCCTTCAAATATCCCTTTCCTGTTTGCCCAGCAGCTGTTTCATCTCAGCAAGTGACCACTTCACGGCTCCACTTGTTTTCTTTCTGGGCGGACATGTCAGCTGTGATCAAATCAGACTTTTGTTAAGAGTAAATGTCCTTTCCACACACACAGACGATTACTCCACCCACTTTGATATGCTTGAAGTTGCCTGTTAATTCTTGGACACGTTTGTGTATTTTTGTCTGATATTTTCTCAGTTCCCACGAGGAGCAGTGTTTGCAAAAGATTAAATAACGGAAAATCTAACATCTTTGAAGGACTGGCTTGGGGCGGCATCATCTTTTTAGGGGAAGCCTTTTAAAATGAATTCTTTAAGCATCAGAAAACCAGCGCAGAGTGCTTGAGTAACCAGTTTGAACAGGTCAGATCACAAACCACAGAACGTATCCGTCTTCTGGATGCCGAGGAATCATAATTCTACCCACTTTCTCCTCCACAAATATTCCAGATATTCCAAGTTCTAGCAGTAAGAAGGCAAGAAGCAGCGGCGAGCTAGTATGTGATAAAGTTTTATTGATTCACAGTAATGAATGAATGAATGGATTGCGATTTTGTCTTTACGCCAGTGTCTATCCAAAGTTATCCTCGCGTTCCTCCATACGCATGTAGGCACAGATTACTTGTTGTATGAGTGTATGCATCACAGCTAAGAGCACATGACATTAATATTATTTGTTTTTCTCTTTAAAATGAGGTTAAAGTCCCTGAGAGCACAGCTTTCTACGAATTATGGTTGTAGATAAGCGCCGCGTAGCTCACACTCTCAGCTTTAAAGACAAAATAAAACACAACTGGCCACGGAAATGTCGCAGTGCTACGCCTGTAGCACGGGTACAATACAGTAATGTGATGAGAGTGGTTAATATGAACCAACCCATATGAAATGGCATATCATCTTAAATAACACAGAACAGGACCCTATTTATGTCAGGAGGAACTGTACACAAGCAAAGATAAATAGAAAATCATTTCAACAAACACTTATTTTAGACTCAGATTTATCTCGGTGTGTCAGTGTCCAACAGCTTTGAGTATTTGTGCGGGATTATAAAAAGTTATTATGAGAAGTAACCAATTCTTTGGAGGCTCTCTTCGTGGAGTCATCACGGCCCAGCGAGGAGGAAGACAATGTGCTGAAGTATTTCAGTCTGCAGTTGTCTTTATGACTTGGTGACTTGTCCTTTCCACATCTTGTCCTGGAAACTGGCCGTTAGAAAGCCGCCTTAAAAGGGTTCAGCCGCTAAGGCGTTAAGCCAAACGCATCAAAGACTAATGGGGTAAAAACAACATGATTAACAGCAGTCCCATGTGGTGAAGACAATGGAGTCGAATCATTGTTAAGTGTGGAGTTAACAAGTTAGCAAAGAAAGTGTGGAGCGATGCAGCGCATTTTGTGAAAATATGTTGTTTACTGTGTACTGATTTAGGAGTTTCTGTTTCTTCTCGCAGACAAACATGTTGTTCTGGTTGTGGAGCTTCAGATGTCGGCTTGTGGTCTCTGTACGGCTGCCTACAAAAAAAAACACGCTACTCTGCTCGTAAAAAGTGTCTGTCTGTATAATTCTTCTCAAAAAATTCTCACACGTCCGTTTCTGTTTGACTTTTTCAAACGTTCTTTGATCCACCGTCTCCTTCACTGCATCCCTCAAAAGATTTATTGTAGTTTGTGTAAAGACGGATGTCCAGATTCTTGCTTTTTCTGTGATTCGGTTGCGTTCCGCTCCCTTTAGTGCGTAACAGGTTACGTAAGAATTCCCTCTGTTTGTTTATGAAGCACATACGGGAGCTCAGAAGGTTTGAAAACCCAGCGCGCCTTCCCGTCACCATACTGTGGTTTTGTCGGGACGTTTTTTGCTCCCACCAAAGAAAAGCTAAAAGTAAAACTGTACAGTTAGAGTTGTTTGATAAATGAAATAAATCATGTGAACACTATATCATCATGTAATATAATTTTCCCTGTCTGATTAGTAACATCTCAAAAAACTAAAAATATTCAGTATTATTAAATAAACGCTAACAAACTTTTTACTGAGCATGCTGTGAATGCGTTAAGTCCTTGAATAAATACGGTTGCAGCATAAATATTAAATTGAATATGAAAACAAAATAGCAATAATTCAAACTCTAATTGGTGGCAAAAATAGTTATGGTGGCAAAACTAGAATACTGATGTTTAAAGGATAAAGTGCTCTTTTACAAAAAATGATTTGACCTTTTCTTTTCTTTCTTTTCTTAATCTAGATTAGAAGCAAATTATCATAGGAAAACTACACTTTTTTTTAACCAATGCTTTTAAAAAAAAACAATGCAATGATAAAATATCAAATTAACTGTGTGAGAAAACTACCCAAATGCATTGCACAGTACTGTTCACCTAAAATGTAGTGAGGTTAATATTGCGAAGTACACTACTGTTAAAGAGCACCGATACAGTAATGTAAAAAGCGCAACAACTACAAAATTCAACAATTTCAATGAAATAATGCCAAAAGAGCAAATTATTAAATTATAGTAATGTCGCTACAATGTTGCATTAAATCCACCTCACAATATTATTATTAATTCTTTCTCTGAATCAGGAATGAGGTTCCCCAGCAGCACCATCTTCCCCGTTGTCTTTGTGAAGGATTAGTCATCGCAACATTAAGGTCGTTCATGCGGAAACAACCTGAATAACTAACTTAAATTCCTGTTCTTCCACATTCACAAAAATCTGTGTAGTATGAATCAATATCTTCTTACTTAACTAGAGTACAAAACACGTTGGACTGTTCCACTCTTGTTGTCGATGGAGTCTCTGCAATGATCGCTGCTGTGATATGATGCGCTCACGAATGTCTTCGCCACGTCTGTGAAAAAGATGATCAGGCGCCATTTTGTAGGTTGTCTGTTATTTTGGGTCCTCTGTTCCCAAAGGGGCCCGGGGGCCATCGACCTCCCACCCTGGGTGGTCTCCGGGGGCCCCATTGGAAGGCCTTTGCACCGGTCCCTGGGATGGGCTACACAAAGTTGTTGGTGATTTGCCTCTGGTGCTCAAACAGGTCCTCAATCTCTGCACTGTATGCATCGCCTGTAACGGAACAGAAAAGAGCATAACAATCAGGGGACAGAGGACGAAGGGAGAAGAGAGGATGAAGTGAGGGAGATGCAAAGGCCTTTCACCTGCGTGACATCCATACATGTAGGCTCTGTGTCCGTCGTATTTACAGCGACATCTCATGACATTGTTCATAAAGTCAGACTCAGCCATGTCCATCGCCGGATTTACTTCCACCTGCAGGATGACCGGATACAAACAATTTAACGACACACAGTTTCTCCCCTGATGACTTTAACGGGGACTAAGTGGCCCCTCGCTGCACGACCAGAAAGCCATTTGAGAAAAGAAAAAAAAAGAGCAGTTGGACGTAAAACTGTGAGGCCTGTTATTAAAACGTACTCATGGCTGGTATTGTTTTTATATTCAACCCCTTTCTCATCTATAAAAAGCTGGATGACTTTTCCCATACAGTATTTATATTTTAAAAAGATAAATACACTGAATAATGTTCACTTGGCAGCCTTACAGCGTAGCACATGGACTGAATAACATGTGGAGGTAAAACCCCAGCATTTACCATGCAAAGCAAAACACACACGGGTGGATATTTAGAGAAAACTCAGCATAAAATGATTTCGAACTAAACATTTAACAAAGATAGTTCCGCCCACACAAAACTTGACAGCTGGCCGTATATTGAGTGTCCTGTGCACAGGCTGTAAAGCCCGCTGAGCCTGTGATATTGGGCCATAGAAAATTAAATGAATTGAAGTGAAATTGAATTTAAAAAAGATCTTCATTAAATGTGGTTGCTCGTCACACCAACATGAGTTGCACTGAACAGAAATTGAAGTCTTTTGCAACTGAACCATTATACAAAAGCATGTTTATAAGTGTGGAATACTGTGAGTGCTGGCGTGCACAATGCTAATAGTCTGTCATTTGCAGAGCAGCTCCGTGACTGCTGATACAACCGTCCTGTTAGTCTGGTGATAATACTGAGCAGCCTTTTTACTCTAATAGCTGCTCTGTAAACTGCTACACCCGCTTTAAGTACACGTTGCTAAACAGCTACAGGGAGAAGGAACGCAAAATACACACATACAAAAAAAAGTTAGTCCCAAAAAAAACTTGGTCGATGCACAAAAGCTGCCTCTTAATGTTTTAGGGTAGATTACAGCGTTGGACCCGGTTCAGGCGTAGAGCGTGTTGCTCGGTGAGAAAGTGGCAATAAAAATAAAAACAGGGCAGGAGGAATTCCTCGGTGGCAAATTAGGCGTTGCTAATGGAAGGGGGCACTCGCCGCTGTTTGCCCTAAGAGAGGCATAAGTTAATTTGGGAAATTGGGGTTTCGTTGGCGGTGGCTGGTTCAAGGGAAGGTCTGCTGAACCCTTCTGTAAATCCAAGTGAAATGGAGAAGTGAGGCGTCATCTGCTCTTTACTAGATAAATGAAAGATCGCAGTATGAGAGTTGAAAATGTTGAATAAGTCACTCCCTGCATGACTTTTCTTCTTCTTCTGTTTTATCGCTGTTCTTCTCAGTTACATTTGTTTTGTTTTTCTACTGAGTGCTTTTTCTCCTCAAATGACTTCACAGTTTTTGTTCTCCCATTCTGTCCTCTGCCCATCATTCCTTCCTTCGCATTGTGTGTCACGTCTCTATAGTTATACCCGGTTGTACCTGCTCAAAATATATCTAGTCAGCACATGAATTTATGCGCAAATATGTGTCACGTATGTTGCCGGTAAATTAAATAAATCCTTCTTCAATAGAAAGTAGAAGAGTGTAATTACGAAGGCTCAGAGTGACCAATCAGACCAACCGGGTGGCAGCAGCAATAATCAGACAGACAATTACACTGTAACTAATCTGCCACACTGGGAGGTAATTTCGTCAGCGTGAGATCTGAGAGTCCGCGTACACGGTGGGACCAGTAGTTTGAACTGGAACTGGATGATAATGGATGATGATGGATGATGATGGGAGATGGAGCCCTTGATGTGTTTTAGTTGAGCAGCCACAATGACTCGACCGATCGACCTGGGTCAAAGTAATGACAGACACAGGCGTGGTTGAGGTGATGACTGTGATGATGGCGGTCGAGAGGTTTTACTGAAATAGACGGAAGTCCACCTTCACATCCTGAGAACCTCTTTGTCATTAACTAAATCTTCATCATTAAAGCCTGGGCTGGGAATCTTTTATCGCAAATGTAATGATTGGACGGGATTACAGTATTGCTACAGGTTGGGGGTTTCTTTCATAAAAACTGTCGGGTGTAATGATACTTTAAGAAAAATATCTTTTAAATGGATTAACACCGTGGGCTTTAAGTTAATTGTTCAATATTTTGTGGAATATTGCATATATCAGTACATTCAGTTAGATGAGAAGATTGATACCACTCTCATACGTGCACGCCTCATATAAAGATACAGCCAGCAGCCAGTTAGCTTAGCTTAGCTTAGCACTAGATTGGAGCTGCTTATTATGCTTATTATAAGTATAAAAATAATGGTAAAGGGTGGATACTTCCTGTCACGGTTTGACGGTCTGATGGAAGTTATTTGTTGAGCTAAGACACTAGTTTCCTATTTACCATACAGATACAGATGTAAGATCTGACTCTTTGCCAGAGATATATTCGCATATATTATATATAATATTCGCACATTTCCCAAAATGTTTGAGCCATTGCTTCGGGCAAAAGATACTCCTAGAAATACGAAGTGACTTGTGACCTGGAAGATGTAATCTCCTGGCCGTACGTCCGTAACGTCCACCCACTGACAGTCAATGTCGTGGCGATACGTATCCCAGCATCCCACAGAGATGCCCTGTTCACCCATATTATAGCAGGAGAACCGCTTCTGGAGTCCTAACAAACACACACACACACACACACACACACACACACACACACACACACACACACACAAAACAACAGCATTATGACTCACAACATCAAAGCTCATTTAATGCCCAGCACTCCCTGTTATTTCTAAGAGCCTTTAGCTTTCTAAATTGCGTCAGACTACATATGGACTCATCTTTTTCATAAGCGCTATTTCATCCATGATGTAACGAGCAAATGGAGGGTGAAAAAACAACAACAACAGCAGCGATATAAAACATTAACCACAAAGTAAAAAATCTAAATGGCAGTAGCTGAGATATTGATATTAATTTCCTGTCACCAATGGGAGAGGCTTTTTTTCACTGGGAATCATGAATGGTGGTGAACATTACCATCGGGGCAATACGTATCCTCCAGACAGAAACTGGCCTTGTGTCCCTCTGCAACCCTCGTTCCATTCAGAGTCAGCAGGTCGTAATGTGTGAACACCTCGATGCTGTGGTAGTGCCTGCGATGACAGAAGGGAAAGCCCAGGTGAGAGTGTGTGTGTGTGTGTGTGTGTGCGTGCGTGTCTGCACGTCCATGCGTGTGTGCATTCACGCAAGCTGAACACTGGCTCCCTATGGCAGGCATGCCGGTGACCTCACCCCATGAACATGACCGTGGGTGTCACCGTGGAAACCTTTCACAGAGGCTTGTTTTAGCGCCCTGCTAGGGTGAGCTGTTTACTCGTGTCGAGTGAATAGAGGGCTTTGAAGCACACAGCTACAGCTCCGATGAGTTGTTGTAACAAGCCGAAATGGACCCGATTGTGTGTGCGCTACCCTGCCCTTTGTATTACGCGGACCTGCGGTAACTGGATTGGTGCAGCCATCGTTTGTAAGGACCCGAGCTGCAGGGCGGACGAGGAATCTGTCTCAGGCCACCGGTAGCTTACAGACACACGCGTCACATGTGGGCCAGAAATGGCTCCTTCTTCTTCCCCCCGTGACTACAGGCCTCAAAGTGTTTGCGTCATCTGACAAGAAACTAACTTACTGAGGGGAACACGTGGAGAGGAAGTAGATCTGAGGACAAAAAGGTTGTCTATTTATATGTAACGGAGCAAAATGCACCGAGGCCCTGGCCACGGAAAAAGGCTCTTGTGTTTTTAATGGCAGCGTTAAAACCGCTGCAGCCGCCTCGTCTATCATACGTGCTCCGGCACAGAGCTCACACTTCAACTTGTTTTCTTTCCTGCTAGCAATTTAATGCAATTAAACTAAATATAATGCAAATTACGCTACGTGGAGTAATTTGCACGTAAGACCAAATTTGTAGGAGGAACAGGTGTCACTATACTTTTCTTCTAAAAATCAGAGCTCACCTGTATCTAAATTTTGGATACCTATTTCCAGGTTTACCACGAGGGCAACCACCACATGCCACTTAGAGTAAGTACTTAAATAGTTCTTTCCAACCTCAGCGGTGTAGCACCCATTAACTCTGGTGGGACGCTCTACCTGTGACACTGGTGCCATGTCCAGCTCTCTCTCGTCGCTTTGGGCCTGAAGTCGGAGCGGCCCAGGTTCATAATGCGGGAGGAGAAGCGCAGCAGGCGTCGGTGGCCGTAAGGCCAGTTCATCCTGGCGGCGGACGAGGACAGGCAGTTCTCCTCGTTGGCACAGCTCAGCAGGTGGAGGGGTCGGTCCTCCAGGTAGGCGGTCTCCTGGACCAGCTGGGCATCCAGAACCAGGTCGGGTGCCGCTGAAGCAGGTCGGATTGTGAAGGGGCCGTGTTAGGACTTTACCAGGCGTAGAAAGCCGAGGAGAATTCAGGAGGACGGCTCGACTTACTGTCTGAACAGGTGACCCCGGCAGCCTTCGTTCCACCCCCTCGAGGACAATGGACATGGCTGTTGCGGCGACAGTGTTGAATGGAAAACTCCGTGCCCACACAGTGAGTTCCACTGAGGATGACGTCTGCTGCATTTGACTCACCGGGCCAGTACCAGGTCTCCTGTCGGAGGAAGGTCGTGGGGGGGCGGGGCCACATCACACGGACAGCTTGTCAGGTTTTCCATCATTGAGCAGTATCACAGATCATTGTCCACCACAGTGAACACAGGGGCTGTGACTATGGATTGTTTCATCAATATCGCAGACAGTGCTGATGGGATTTTGACAAATCTTGGATGAATAATAACTCAAATAACACTCAAATCGGACTTTTTCAAAATTAATCAAATTAGCTCAGAAATGGCATCATTGCATGTTTTGTTCATTCAAAACATCAAGCCCGTCCGTTTGGATTCTGGTTATCAGACTTCAATAAAAAGTCATTCCGAATGACACAGATTAAGGAGTGGAACTACAGTCAGAAATCAAAGTGACATCCTTGCTGCCACCTTGTCAGTTATGAATGTCGGCCCCGGTTACCTGATGAGCACTGGCAGCGAAGCCCAGGCCGAGCTGTCTGCATAGCACCATGGCCTCGTTGATGCCCCAGTTCTCACTGCAGACGGAGCCCCAGCGCTTACGGCCTCCGACCTCCATCAACACCTCCACGCGACCCTCTGACGGGACTCTACCGCCAACAAGTCGCACCTGGACACCCATTAAGGATTAACTGGGTGACCCTCTATCGGTGTATATCATGTGATGTTTTTCATTAGATTTCATACCGTGTTCTCCACTCCGGTCTTTGGGACGTTGCAGCGCACTGAGGCGTCCTGACTGTGTTTGAATGTCCACGGTTGGACTTCCTGGAAGTAGCAGTCTAGGATGGAGCGCTCTGACCCCCGACACTGGACACTGTTCATATGGATTGGACCCGTACCTGGAGGGGGAAGAGGAGCACAGTTTGATTTTAAAACTATATTTGTACAAAAATAAAGCGGGGAAATACAGAAGCAAGATGGTTGTGGCTGTAGAGCAATATTTCTTGTGCATAGTTTGACGCCACCCAACATAGACACAAAGCGATAGCAGATTTTATCACACACACACACACACACACACACACACGTGCAAAGCTCTATATTTCAAATAAATGTGCTTTCTCTATGTAAGCGCCACGCCGACAATGAAAAGCTTCAATCTGTCGCGACACAATGCTCCTGAAAGCCAAGCAGCAGCACCAGCAACGGCTATTTAAGGGGTCTGTCACACCTCATTACCACCGTTGTGTTGCCTCAGGCACAACAACAACGACGTGGTGTGTAGTCCAGCACGCAGGGTGAGCAAACAAGGTGAAATCTGCGGCAACTAAACAAAAGTCACTCGTAGTCGTTTGCCATATAAAACCAGATCATCTCTAAACAATATAGACGATGGTGGAAATAAAAAGCAAACAGCTGCTGCCACACTGAACACACCAAGGCAGCATTGAAATAAACACAACCCAAACCTCAAAAAACAAGAGAGAAGGAAGCGCGGGAAGGAAGATGACAGTAATGGTAGCGACGAGAGTGCCGCCTAAGCCAAACGGTCTGTGTGGTGGTTTGGTAGATTGTGGGCCTGCTTCCATACCGGTCGCCATGCGTGAGTCCATGTGCATGAAAAGGACACATCTAAACCGCTTCCACCTCTATCTGCATTGTAAAGGCCACAAACTACATCCAACGCCCCCCCAATGTTTAGTTTATCGCGGCAAACACAGGGCACACTTAGGGATCCTCAAATTAAGCAGCGAAGAGTTACGGAAATCCACAAAAACCAGAAATAAAATTCCAGGAAACTGGTCGCAAAGACACAAACACACACACAGACACACACAGAGGCCCGTTGTTTCACTCCACTATGTATGTAAAGTACTCAATGTGAACTTCACAAGCAACTTTTCAAAGTAAAAGAACGATGTTGATCAAGGAAGGAGGTCCTTGTAATATAACTTTACAGTCTTGTCATTTCATACATTTAATGAACATGGGAGTAAGGGAGTTGTCTGACATTTCACAAAAGATCAAATTATGAAGTTGATCATAAAATCTTAAAGATTGACAGACGGATTTAGCCATGAGAGCAACATTTAAGGATAAAATGAATGTGGTAGCTTAAATGTAGTATTTTTTTTTTAATTGAATTTAATTACCATATAATTTCAATTGGCAGATGCCACAGATCATTTGGACAAATTAGAAAATTGACTGAAGGGGATAGAAGCATAAGTCACATTCTTGTTCAGAATAGTATAAATAGTTTGTTGGTGGTTATAAAGGAACACTGTTCTCTTCCACTCTGAAATTACACTCTGTTTTCGGCACATTAATGTAGTCTTAGAAGTTTTTATTTTCATGGAACGTGAACATAAAAAAACTGTGTCAGTAATTAGATCTGTTTCTCAGCCAAGTGCTAAAATCATCTAAGTTTAAATAGATGAGGCGGCCTTTGGGCTTTCAGCATCGGCACAATGTTTCCTATTCCTCTGCCAACAGGAGCTGCACAACACGGAGACAACGTTGCTTACACCAGACGGGGACAGCGTGTGCCTTTGAGCAGCTGCATACCGACTGCATTGTGAATGGTAAGTGCATTTGTGCGAGCAAGTGTTTCAACAAATCTGATAAATGAGACCACATCCAAAGCAACAATCCCTCACCAGCCAAACAGCCAGTCGACCAAAACCGTTATCACATGTAGTCATCATAAATAATGAAATGAGCCTCTGTGGGATCTCGTTGCCGGGCTGACAGAAGGAAATATGTTTATCTGGCAGTTGTGTTTGAGTTTAATTCAGAATGCATTCATCATTTTTTCAGATTAAACAAAACTCAACTGACTCTTTCAGGAAGTCTCTCTCAGTGAGGGTTTGTTCTATCAAAGAGTCTATTTTTGACCTTTTCCATATAGCCCTGTGTTTATGTGGCCTTCGAGCACATGGGAAATTATATGTCAGTAAAATGTCTAACAGGGTGCATGCTATAGAAAGGACGCCATAAGGACTTTGAAGTCCAATCATCCCCCAATAGTGTAAGACAGAGACGGAGGAAAAGAGAGAGCGCTGTGTGTCTGTGCGTGTGTATGTGTGTAAATGTGTGTTCGCTACGTACGTGAAGTGGTTGATGGAGCCTTTTATTTGCACAACGAGAAACGCGAAGCGGTAGGTTTTGGGCGTAAAGACGTCTCCGAGCGTACCTGCTATTTTGGTTTATGCACGTGTGCGGTGCAAATGGGCTGAGTGAGGGTGAAGATGGATCAGAAGGGTCACATGACTCGACTGAGACACCGCTCTGCAAATCACAGGCACAACGTGAACACACAGCACCACAAATCTGCAGCCAGAGTACAATAAGCTCAACGATGGCAGAAGCAAATAACTCAACCTTTGTTGAAGAGCTTAATAAGATTGAGGGTTGAGAATAAGATGTTGGGTTGTGACGTCCAGGATTAATAAAGCAGCAGCCTGTGTGGTTTGTTTCTTATCGGGGTATTGCAGCACTTCAACAACTGCCTGTTGCGGATTTACAAACATATTTATGATGGCTGAAGGGATGAAACTAACCGAAAGAACAGCTTTTCAAACAGTATCCTTATGTGCAAGACTCTTTAGATAAATGGATGAATGCAGATGGCTTAATAATGTTCCTGGTTTATGCATATTAGATGTCATTTTTGTATTCAGACCTAAACACAACTAATCTAACTAATCTTCACATTTACAGGATCAGGACAGGAAAACCGTCTGGTAAAAGTAACAAGTAAAAGTCTAGTCTTGTTACAGAGACTGATTTACACATAAGTAGCTTTGTGGTTTGATCACGGAAAAACTCTTTTTGTAGCTTCCCGACACCTCAAACTGCTGGAACCATGATGAACCTGAGCTCCGGCCCGACGGACATAAAAGTGCTGACTTAGACCAAAGTGCAGAGGGGCGTTGAGCCTGATGCAATAAAAGTCTCCCACGATTAACCAACCAGACCAGATGTTGGTCTTGTTAGACTCATCAAAAAGAAGGTAGCATAACATACATCATCCCTGGAAAACCCAATTGAACTAATCTAACTCAAACAAAAATACCCTGTGATCCAGAGAACAACTAAACCAGCAGGCTGTCATTCCACCTTTCATCTCAATAAGCATGATTAGAGACTACACCCAATCCTGAGGAGCTGTTCTCACATCTCATAAGGGTGGGGACACCACTGGCGCAGCTGGACAGTGACTTCTCGGTCTGTTCATCACCAAATAGGAAAAAAATTGAAATTGAAGGAAAAAGACCACAGAACTCAGGGAGTGAATAAAAAGCTTGCTTAAAGCCAGCAAGATTATCTCCGTGGCTTTAATAACCAAATGCCAACCACCATGGCTTATAGTGTCACATTTTGTGAGTGTGTGTGTGTGTGTGTGTGTGTGTGTTTTTGTGCAAATGTGCAAGGTGTTTGGGCAGCTGGTGCCCCTGGAACAGGACTCGTTTAACACAGCCGGCGATGTTGCAATCAACACGTCTGTTGCTTCATTCGCAGACACGCAGACAAACACACGAGCCCGTGTATTATCTGATCTGTGAGGGCAGACGGGTGCAGCACCTTAGATAAGCAAAAGACTGAAAAAAACGTCTCCCCGTCTTCTCCGGAATGCCATGACGCACGATAAACACACTCAAACACCCAAATTGCAGACTCAAAGGACCCAGATTAAATGCGTAATTCTCCAGAGTTTCCAGTCTGTTTCATCTGAAAGCGTTTCGCTCTGAACTCCAGCAGATTTCTCTCTCTCACCTTGACCCATAAAGGCTCCATTCAGGGCATCCTTTGCACTGCCGAAGCCCAGTTCTCTGCACACCACACTGGCTGCGGGTCTTTCCCACATGTGGTCCACGATGGTCCCCCACTTTCCGTCTCGGAGCACCTCCACGCGACCCTCGCCCAGCCTGGGGCCGGCCTTCAGTCGCACAGGCTGCAAAGGGGCAACAATGGTGGAAATAAGCCATCGGATCCTCATGTGAAGGTCATGAACACGTGTGTATGATTGTGCCTGCGTAGACGTGACTGAATGTATCTTACCACAGCTGGATGGGGGGCCTGGGGTCTTCCTGAGGAGATGCGAGCAAACTGAGGTCCCGGCACACACTTCACTACTGCATGTCTCCCGTTCTTACAAGGACTGGGACTACGCGGGATGGACAGCTGAGCAAGGCACTCTGACAGGCAGTTCTCAGTACCCAGACAGTGAACCTTTTCTACCCAGAATCCCTTTTTCTTTGACATGAGGCTCAATCTGGAAAGAAGACAAACGTTTGTTGTGATATATTCTTAAAGCACCCGGTAACTTGCTTTTAAATCTTGAGTAACTCTCAATAACATGAAATGTTCATTGCATTGGCATCAATCAAAACTAAAAGTTAAGAAATTAAACGTGTTATTTAAGAGTTCAGCATTCAAAAACAAATAACGGCCAATCTGCTTCGTTAAAACTGTCTGGCTTTGGTTTAATCAAATGGGATTGAACAACAACCAACCCTTTGAATCACATTTGAATCCAAGCCTAGCGCACAGAATATTGTGCTCATTGTAAGAAACTGAGGATTTTAGATGAAGCTCAACTGACTGAGGTTAAAAATAGAAAAAAATAATTTATTACCTTGTTAAAGGATCTGCAACCTTGGTATCCCATATTTTCCTGTAAAGGAAGCAAAGAACAGATGTTAGCTTTCTATGTTTGTTGAAGTTGAACAGACACACGTTCTGTATCACCCTGTGAGGCGACCTGGCTCACTGCTGTAGCATCTGCTGTTTGTTTTACATGTAACCCGGCCACACAGGAGGGATTTAGTAGTGGCACAAACACGTACACATCAACTTGCTTATTACTGGAAGAGTCTTCTTGCTGGGCCACTTGATGACTTCAAATAGTTACGGCTCGGACGTAGGCCTTATCAAAGGGATGAATCATACAGCTCCATGCATATATATATATATATATTTATACATGTTGTGTATGAAACCAGGAGGAGCTATGAGTGTGGCTTTGTGGTGTGTAAAATTAGATGTTCGTGTTCTCTTTTAGCAACTTCACTTCCTGTCTCCCTTTCTTGCTCTATTGGTGCAGCAGCATACTTCCATCTGGCCTGCTTGCTATTTACTATGTTGAGTATAAGTGGTACGATACTTCCTGTCACCAATATAAGGATACGTGTTAAACAGGGTTGTGCTGGCGGGTAGGTTTAATCTAAATTATACTTTCATTTAAATAGACCCTTTGAATATACGACTCCAGCATTTAAATTGCAATATTACAGAGCTTTGCAACGACAGGATAAAGGAACTAAGAGGAGACTAAAAACAGACATCTTGAACCCCCAAAGGACAAGTCCAAAAAATATTGACATTCAACTTCAGTGATGTAAAACATTTCTGGGAAAACCAACAAGGTTTGACTAAGCATCGTGTACAAACATAACTCTGGCATGTCTGAGCAATGCCAGCAGCAGATTCATGCCCCGCGTGCACTGGCTGCCTCGCCGAGCTGTGGAGAGGAAAGCCTTCTGTTCTCTTGGCAGACAAGCAGAGCAGACGTGCCGCACAGCCCGAGCCAGTACATCCTCAAACCACTGCATAGTGCAGACACCATCCCACACAGTCACGTCTATTACACCAGAACACCACATGCACCAAACATGACTCACTGACCGACTGATGCTTTAAAAGGGATTTTACTATCGGGCCTTTATTGATCACAGATAAAACGATGAAACAAGGATGTCAGCATTAGGTGCGTTAGAGACAAACAGTCGGGGCTGTTACCTTTGAATAAAGAAATATGCATAAATAAAACACATTTATCCACAACGCTAATTACAGTACTCATTCAACACAAGAAAGCTTCTCTGATCATTTGGGGGAAATTTGGGGTTTAGCATCTTGAAAGTGATCACTTGACAACACTCTCTATCTCCTGAGCTACAGCTGCCATGTTGTCCAAACCCTCACTGTCCATCTCGATGTAAACTATTCCCATGGCAACCCCTTTAAGTACACCAACATGTCTCAGGATATTTGGATGAAAGCACAAGTAGAGCAATCTTTGATCTTCAGGTAAGAACTCCAGACATTCCCATGAAGCTAAAGTTAAAAATAATATTTAAAACAAACTGAGGATGTTGGAATAAAAAGCAGCGTTTATGTTGTGTAAGACGTTTGTGTCAAGTTATGGAATGATTACTTAACACTTAAATAGTCACACAACAACCTTTGCTACAAGAAGTCAATAAGCCAAAAGAGACCTTGCATCAAAAATATTAGCATTTGGTCAGGAAGAATACTTTAAAATGTAGTTTAGCCAATTGTGCAAATTACACATGCTATTTTGGAACAACACCTTAAAATGGACTTTAGGTTGTTTTACAGGAATTTAACACTTATTCGTTGCTGTGTCTTAAATTACACTAAGAAATACACAGAAAATACATCTTAAATGTGTCCACCATATGGCTCTGCAGTAACACGCCATCAGGGATAGACAGCGAGGAGCGTGCACATGCACACGCACACACACACACACACACACACACACACACACACACACGTGACTCACCACAGACCAATCAGCTGACCATTACCCCTCCTCAGAAACCACCAGGATGACTACAACCTATGAATGATTCCTTCAGCCAACAGGCTTTACATTTGTCCAAGGCCAGTATTCACTAATGTCGAACTTCATTCAATAGAGATAAATACATGTAACTGCAACGGGTCACATGAGCGGCGGGACGTCGTTTCTCTACATGCTGTGTGCTGATGCAATGAGTTGTGTATTAGTTTGTTTTCCACGTTGCATTCTTAAACGTGGCTGATGAAGGCTAACAGAGAACAGAGGCTAATGATAGGCAGTCCCACCCGCCTGTTAAAGGACAAGCATTACACTGTTTGGGTTGCATCACCCGGAAACTGCGCCAATATTTATAAGTTGTCTGGTTTTAATGTAAAAGATAAAACCCAATAAATTCAGTTTTAAAAAAAAATCAACAATATAAAAACAGGGTGCGAATCCGTTTTAAATAGTTGCCATTAATCTATTTACAGCTGAAAAAAATGCCTATAACTAAAAATATTGACCTTTTTATACACTAGGCCATGAGTTCTAAGAACGCTACATTATACGACCATTATACTTTTACAGGCTCCTTATTCAGCTCATTAGGTATTAAGACGCCATAAAATATTTTTTGCCGTGCTCATCAAGACATTATCGTAACCTTGGACTTTACGCTCAGCTAAATAAAAAGAAAAAAAAGACCAAAGAAGAAATACATTTTGCTGAGTAACCAATTGCCATAATAAATATCTTTGACTGTGCTTACTTTTGAGAATGATTTTGTATCCTAAACAGTTGATAAATATTCCCATGCAGACCAGCATGAGAACTACAAGTGCTTCACGTCAGTTTTGAAGGGCGCTTTTCAAACCTCTCCAGATCAGGAAAATAACCACCGACACACGCATTCAAAAATAAAAAAAGATCCTGGATTAATCAGAGAGAAGGTCACTGAGGAGGATCACACGGACATCAGACAGCGGAGCCAGAATCAGTCACTCAAAATGTCACATAAAAGCCTGAAAATGATACCTTCATCATAAGGGAATTTCAGCTGAAACACAATTTAAAAAATAAAACACCGGTTAAGTCCCCAAATCACCACGGTGACAGAGGAAGACAGACAGCTGCTGACACAGCGGCCCGCGCTGCAAACTGCGGCTGTAATTGAACATATTTCACACGAGCAAGCGAAAATCCGGGTTGTCTGACTGCTGCTCGTGTGCTCTCTCTCCATCTCCTCTTTCTCTTGGTACTCGCTTCCTCCTCCGTTGTATGCTTTACTCTCACACTCACACACACACACACACACACACACACACACACACACACACACACACACACACACACACACAGATATAATTGGGGGTGTATTTTTTTTTCACCCTCAGCTGAAACCAAGGGGAGCCTCATCTGGACCAACCTGTAATTACAGCATCTTTAGAGTCTCGTCCAAGAGACACAGGGAGGCGAGAGACGCGGCCCGGTCCGGGATGGAGAGACTGGGAAGGAGGGTCACTGGCTAAGTTTGGCCAAACCATACGATACAATCCCAAACTTCTCTGGCAACTGTTTGAGTGGAATATCTTACATAAAAACTGAACATCGTTTCTCCTTAACTTTGCTCGTGTTTTCTACGCTCATTATAATTACAGTGGCAATTTCAGTCACAGGGCAATCCTCACAATTACCCATAAGTAAAGGCTAAAACAGCCTTCTCTGCATTTCAGGTATTCTCCGGTTGTAACTGTAAGTTGTACGTAAACGTCCCGATAAAACAACAATTTCTATCCTTAAAACCGAAAACTGTAAGATAACTTGAGTTACACAAAATGCACTTTTCACTAGCAGCTCAGACGTCCATGATGCACCACGAAGCAGTCTGAGGTCAAACACACATTTAGAGAGACAACACGTATCTGCGGAGACGGAGAACAGGTACGGATTTGGAAACAAACACATCATCGCGGTTCCAGCAGCAGCAGGACGCGCAGACCAAGATGTATCGAGTCACAACCGCTTCCACGCCAAAGCCTTGTAATTTACGCGCCCAGTAAAGAAAATCCTCATAATGACACACGCCCAAAACCTTTCGCTGTACATTTAGAAGCAGATACGTCGAGTAAGCACTTTGTTGCGGCTTCAGTCAGAGGCTAAAAGAGTCCGCGTGGTGCTATTGTTTAAGTTTTTTCTTGACCTTAGGAGAAGATTTTAAAAACAACGGCGAGTAGGTTCCCCGCGGGCTTCAGTCCAAGTCCTTCAAGCTACAGCGGCCCTGTCCTCCTCGGTCATATCTCCCTTCCTGGTGAGCAGCCAAATCTTTTATGTGACGTCCATACAAATCCGCCCGTCTAACCCTCACTCGACTACGACTCGTGATTCTCATCTCCCATTGTTTGCATCGGGTGGTGAATCTCCGCTGCGATAGAAAATCCCACCTGCAATGCGGGAAATAAATGAGTGCTAATAAATGAGTGGGGCCACTTTGTTTGACCGCAGCTGATCCTGAGGACTTTATAGCTGAAGATATGATTCCCAGGCAGAATCCCAGTAACAGCGTTCAGGGGAGATGGCTCCACTGGTGGGGAAATTGTGTCTTTCCAGGGTTTTTTGTAAAGTGATTAACAAAGTCTAAGCTTTTGGTGGAAAGAGCAACTTCAAAACGGAGCAGATGTTGTGGTCTGTTGCCAGTTGGGTCAGAATAGGAGGGAAGGAAACAGCTAACTGCGAGTCGCTGGTCCGACTGCGCTGCAGGAACCAGATCTCCACTGAGGACAGCAAATGGTCAGACACTATTCATTCTCATAATAGCAGTGGAGTAATGATCTGCCATTGTGTGGTGGAAGAGAAGTGTAACTCTAACGTCGGAGAGGACGTATAGAAGGAGACACCTAAATACGATGCATTTAAGTCAATGACTCATTGGAGAAGCGTTTCCGTGCACGTGTCCAGGTGGTGGCTGGGAATCAACCTCAACACTTCAACGGATGAATGGTTTGACATTTTTTTAAGAGTTAAAGAAGATTGATAGCACACATCTGTCAGTTAAATGTAGCTGGACCCAGCAGGACATTAGCTTCGATTAGCATAAAGACTGAAAAGGAGGAAACAGCTATCCTGGTTTAGTTTAAATTATCTGCCTACCAAAGACCCCTGTGAAGTGTTGCTTTTTTTGCAGGCTTATTAAACAAAATATGCTGTTTTAAATTGTCAACGTCCTTTGTTTGGGCGGATGATTTTGTGACATTTGGAAAGAGCAGAGCTGGATGTTTCCTCCTTTCAAATCTTTATGCTGGACCAAATTCTGATTTAACTCATTGCAAATCAGTTTGTTTTCTAAAATGACAAAGTATTGAATGTTTTAAAAGTCATAAAACCTTGAATCAAATACTAAAATTATTTAATAGTTATTTCTTGGTTTTGAATTCTACTTATACCTGATTTAAAGGTGTCTTTTTTTCTCTGGGCACTTTATCTTAAAGCCAAGTTGAACACTAGTTCATTTCAAAACTGAAAAACTGAGCAGTTAAGCTTGTGAAAAAAAAACATGAACCCATTTCTATGTTCCTTTTAGTAACCTATCGAAAGAGGTTTTGCTATTGGTACCAAGTGTTACATTGGCAACACTTTTATGACATCCGGCCCTAACATCAAACCCACTGACAGCGTGTCACACACACACACACACACACTGCTGAAGTGGGATGTAAAGGTGAAGAGGGGGCTGACCTATGCTCTGCCAACAGGACACCCTCATCCCACTTCCCAACAGCCACCTCTGTCCCACACGCGGCATCGATGGGACGGTTAACGTGCAATCAGCCGGGACGTTACACCCCAGCTTTGGAATCTAGAAGTTAAAGTACGGACTGTTTGTCTGGGAGCTGCGAGGTGAAGATCAGGAGGCCATGTGCCTCGGGAGAGATGTGGAGAAAGGGCAGTAGGGAACGGACAGGTATTCCTTAATCATCCTCCTGAGGCGACGGTGAGCAGTGGGGAGGAGAGGGGGACACGGGGCAGAAGTGGCTGGGGGAGGAAGATAAGCCCAACAAAAAGGTTTTTACCTCTAAATGGAATGCTATATTGTTTATTTCCTACTCTACGGGATGAGTTTTTGTCTTCTCAACAATGGGATGAACGGCAAGCGCGTTGCCCTTCCTGAACTACGGCCGACGGCGTGGAGCATAATCCAATAACCCAAGTTCATAGAGAGGAAATGTACTGCTCTCTGGTTACCTGACAGGAAATAAATATATATACACTCACTTGTACAACTTGATGTTGTGCTGCGTAGCCTCTGGAAAGCCGAGCATCCCGCACACAACTCGGCTGCTGTTGACGCTCCAACCGAGGTCACAAACCTGCCTCCATCTTCCAGCATGCTTCACTTCTACCACACCCTCTGTGATCAGGGTCTTCCGCTTGGTCGCCATGAGGATGGGACGAAGACGCACCTCCTCGATTTGCACCTTACTGTGACCCTTTTGGGAAGATGCACATCACATTCAGTGTTAAAGACCTTTTTTTTCGAGAATAAAATAGCCACGTATGAGAATTAGGCTGCCATACCTGGTGGTGTCTTTGGAACCTGGGGGTCTCGTCTTGATGTCCGTTTCCATAGTAGCCATACCCCGGCTGCCTGCGGGTGGCCACCAGGCCCTGCCACTGAGGCGCAGGGCTGCCGTTGGGCCTGGCAGCAGCGGGGGCGTGACCTCTTCCGGCTGTCGGGTCCGGCCTCTGCTCCGGGGTGCACACCACCCCCAAGTCCTCGCCGTGTTTGCAGTCATTCACCCCCCAACCGTTGTGTTTGCAGTCTTTCAAAGACTGCTCTGTGCCGTCGCAGCGTACGTTATCCATCCATATTGGGCCTTGTGTGAGAATAAACATGTGTTACTTCATTCAGTGAGAGCAGACAGACTGGATGCAACCGATCAGGTCCTAAACACATAACACTTGACTTTTACTGGCACTCTTGTTTAAGGTTGCACCTTAGCGGTGTGTTTAGCGCTAGATACATAGTATTTAACGAGGCTGTAGATCCTTGGATCCACTCAACCGTCTCTTTAATTTGGATTTAAAAGAAGCACTAAAGCGTGACCATAAACCACAGCAAGTGTTGTGCACAACTCTGCTAAACAAATGCCCATTTTGTCACATATTATTCGCTCTGCCAGCCTGCCAGGCGACCTTAACGAGACGTAGGCTCCAATCCCACTACAAGTTTTCTTTGTCACTTTATGATGTTAGTTATTTTGGATGTCTTAATTGGAGGTCTTTCCATGCAGCCCTCCATTTAGTGTGTAGTGGGGGTTACACACTGTAGCATTGAAGCTTTACAAGGTACAGGTTGTCATAAACTGGTCTGAAATGGAAGCCAGCCATTGAGTCCAAGGTATCTCAAACATTATAAATGCCAGTCCCTAATTATACAACGGGCCTTTTTCAGGGCAGCCATTTTTGACCGTGTTAAGGTCATAGTTTACACCTGTGATTTCCCTGCTCATGTCAAAGGCCAATCACAGCCTGTCTCACACTCACAAGATCGGCTTGGCTTTGACCAACGGGGAAAATGTTGACCTCCGACCTTTCGTCAGTAAAACGTCTCCCCGCCGCGGTGGAAGTGCTCTCACCTGCTCCCTCTCCATACTGCGCGCTGTGCGCCCACGTCACGGCGCTCCTGAAGCCCAGCTCTCGGCACACCACGTTGGCCATCTTGATGTCCACTTCATCGTCGCAGACGGTCCCCCAGGTGTTGTTGTGCAGCACCTCCACGCGCCCTTCGTGCGGCCCTTGTGCATTGCCGCCCGCCAAGCGCACCTTGGCGGCGGGTGCGCGGGCCGCCCTGCGCTGAGAGGAGGTGGTCCGCCGGGGTTCAGCACGGGCGGGACAGGAAAGGGACGACAGCAGCAGCAGCAGCAGCAGAGGGAAGCTCAAGCAGAGGGTGCGGGTCATCGTGACTGAGGGGAAGAATGGAAACACTGCATGATTCAATCTGTTTCTCTTCTCTTCCTTTAATGCAGTAGTCATTCTAATCATTTGTGTGAAATTGACCAGTGGAGTGATTTAACTTTCTTGTCAATTAAGCAGTCAGTTTAAGCGCAGGCTCATTTTCTCTGTAATAAGAAACATCTATCACTCCTTTTAGATATGTCGCTCCCCGGGATAAAGACTTAGTTAATTCCCTTCATTTAAACAGAAGGGATCCTGCCAGGAGGTCGTTCAATGGACTAACGGTGACATCCTCTGGACGAAATAGTTCAGGTAGTTTATTCAATGTGAGAATACTTTTTTACAGGGAGTGAGATGAAACTTAAGTGGTTCTGTAGTCCCACATTTGATTTAACTCACTAGTACAGCAGCCAAAACGCATAAAATGAAAAGTCTCCCTTCTTACTCACGTCAAACTTGGGTATATAATTAAAGACACATCAGCGCACCTCAGTGTCACAATTAAAGTGAAAAAACATCCCTTGAGCCTTACTAACCAGACAGAAACGGAGGCAGGTTTTAACTGGAGGTTAACAAGTGTCACAAACAAAAGTAAAACACACATGAAACATTAAATCCCTGCACACTATAAACACTAAGCACAAAATACACAAAACCAGTTTATTTACTGTGACGAGAACAAACAAACAGACTTTACAAACTGGCCTCAGTAAATCATATTTAGGTTGGTCTTGTTACTGTTTCACTCAACGAGACACAATAAACAATAAATAGTTATTCTAGATGTTTGAACTTTGGCCTTTTTTTAAATTCATCTAACTGAATGAAAGAATCCAGAAAGGCAACAAAGCATCTCTACACCTGTTACACTCCAAACTGATTTGAAAAATCAAGCAACAGAATTAATTTAACCAAGAAATGAAGTGAAAACAAGTAAATAACCGTTACCAGGAAAGAAGCGTGGAAGGTAAGGTGAAAGTTCACTCACCTGGCAAGCAGCAGATGCTTGGAGTGGTGAAAGTCACTGGCCAGGGGAGAGTGACTGAGTGAAGGAGGGTGGCTCCTAAATGCTCTCCCTAGCCAATCCTCCCTTCTGCCCTCCTTCTCCCTCCTTCTCCCTACATCCCTCCCTCCTGCATGTGCTCTCTTCCCCTCTGGGTATCTGCTGCTGACATTAAAGCGCTAAAATGTATAAGATTGTAACCCGATGGCCTGCAAGACGTTCAAACCGGTTTCTTGTCAAATCTAAAAACGTCAGAGCATCGGGTTCCCTCCGCTGACGGAGGATTGACATTTTAACTTCTTTACTCACATTTGTATGAATTGGGATGAATGCATTTATGCGCCGCTGAATGAGCTCAGCTTTTCTCACAGATAAGTGAATCTGATGATGAATGAAACTCCAGCAACCAGAGGACTCATCACTTTTAGGACGCAGTGTTCAGCACCTCAGCAGGAATGGACTTAATACATTATTAAACTCATTTCATTACCATGTTTGAGTTTTTCTGGCCTCTCTACACCTCTCTTCTCGGATACGGCCGGAGGTAGTTTACGCAACTGCACTCTGGCAGCGTTATAAAACCCTATGGGGAATGTGTGTAAATGTACCAACAGGAAGGAATCTGGTTCCAGAATAGTTTCAAACATCAAGCTCCAAGTGTCTTAAAGAAGCTCCCTGCACCACAGGGTAGATATTTCCTTGTTGAGATGGCCACAAACCACCAAGTCTAAAATGGGCCAGGCCTCACCGTAGCCGTAATGCACGTGACTGATGAGAATATGCCAAACACCACCGCCGCCCGGGGACTATGCTCGAAGGTCTAACCTATCATCATGGTACAGAATGCAGAAAGCTTTTAGTCATCATTGTAGATCCAGATACAAAATTAGGAGAACCTTGTTTATGCCTTTCTAACCGAGATCACTTCAGTGCTCGGTCCTGTTCCCAAATAGGTTTCCCCGAGATGTGTTCTGGGGCCTTTTCGGCGTGTTTTAATCTTGTTTGTTTATTTTAGGAGTCATTTTGGGACGATCTGGGGGCATATTTAGCTACATGCCCATTTTGGGCCTCAGGGTGTTTTGTTGATAAACTGTATTCCCGTTTTTCGACCTCAGTGGGCGCAGTGTATTCATAGACATGACAAATTACAATCGTGACGGAAGGTAGGAACTGGAACATAAACCAAGACCGTAATATTACTTGTATATTGTGTTCTTAAAGTGGGGGGGGGATTCACATGGTACATATGTGTGTATTTCTGTGCACAACGTGTAAGCTTTGAAGCTGTAATTGAGATATTTGTGTATGCGACTGATGGTGCGACTGGGTGGCAGGATGGTGGTCCCTCCCTGACTGGTTAACCCCAACAGGAAGCGCAGACCCCCTATTAGCGGCGCCAAATCAGAGGGATCTACAAGGCCGGCAAGGGGAAGAAAGGGAGATGTTTAATTTTTTTTTAAAAGAGGGAAAGGAAGGGTGCAAAGGTCAAAATATAACTCATTTCCATGTGTGTGACGTTATTTCATCATACCTTCTGATTCACTGTAGCAAATCAGACTACTTAAACTAGACCAGACAGGTGTCCTGTGTGCCAATACTGAACAGCTCCGGGTGTGCGCGCTAGTGAAAGTGCATCGCAGGGCTCTCGGGGGGCCGAAGAGTACGGCAGCGAGGCAGCGCTCGGTGGCAAAACCTTCTCACTCTCCACCTCTAATTACGCCGCCCCAAGCGGCTCTGCCCTTTCCCACAATCTGTGGAGGCATGAAATAAATACATGCTCTCCAACAATAAACAAGGGCCCTTTCAAACTACGGCACCACCTCGCTTTCGTAATGCTTTTACGTGCAGCATGTAGGCGCACACTCTATAGAAGATGTGCTGTACTGCTTACAGGGGTCAGACCTCCGAAAGCAGCACAGAGCTTGATCTCATGAGCTCAAAGGCCGGAGCCTCAGAGATGTGCCAAATCAGGAGGTAAACGTTTTTTTGTTAGGTTGCAACATAAAAGGTTACCTTCAAACATCCATCTACATTTAATCCTTAGACACCATCCATTTTCCATTTATTAAAAGAAAAAAAAAAAAAAAAGGAAATGCATGCTATTAAAAAGGGGCACCACCAATTTCAAGGTACTGATTGTAGTACCTGTGAAGGATCAAGACAAGGCAAATATTTCAAGCCCAAACAAATCTTTTTTTACTGTAGCCTGATGCATTAAATTGCATTATTTACTCATTTTTTAAAAAGGCATTACACAAGTATTTCCTCAGCTAAAGTTAAATTAGCTACATCTTAAGCTCCTACACTTGCATGGACCACATGCATTCACAGCTCAATTTGAAATGTCACATGGTGATGATGGTTGCTTTGGTCCATAGTGCCAGTCACGTCTCCATCTTCCCCACTGTCTGGGTGCTTGCAGATTCCCTAATGTGTCCTATCCCTGTCACCATGTACTCGGGTATGACAGAGGGGAACGACTTGGTTCCTGGAGATCACAGAAGACAAATGCGTATGCATGGATGTGCATGGATGGGTTTGTTAAGTTGGTTAAACATTTCATTGCAAACCTTTTAAGTACATCAACGCCACCTTGTGGAAGGCGGGAGAACCACAGACACACCTGGAACATACCAGTGTATGTATGACACTAGAACAATTGCATTACTCGGACATTTCTTTCCAAGATTGTGCCAATCAATCATGTAAAAACACTGAAATAGGTGGTTTCAAATACATTTATTAAATATAAAATACTCTTTGCAGTGCAGTAACAATAATACAAAATGTTTGAAAGCAGGTTTGCAGTGCTGTGGTTATCATATTTAAAAATGCCTTTTCCAACAAGGTAGAAACATGTAAAAACAACGGCCCAAATAGTTCAAATAAAACCCAGAGATTTCTTTTGTCCAAATCGGAGATATTCATAAGTAAATGAAATGTGGCTATGGTAACATCCAATGCATTTTAGTAGTCTGCTAAGAAACGCACTGCCATAAACGATCAAGACAGAAACAAGCAAGTTCAACAAGTGCAGTCCTCAAAGTTTGGTGTCCATAATACTTTCACAAGTTTTTGCCACAAGACAGAAAGCCAACACGAGAAAAGCGAGAGTGCAGCATGTGAAAGTGCTTGCACCAAATGGCTCTTAATGCAGTGCTCTTTCAGCCAGAAAGAAACAGACGAAGAGGTTTAGCGAAACCCCAAAAGGCCAGAGAATTAAAAACTATTTTCAGCTCTTAAGTTCTGTTGTGAAAACGAAATGGAAAAAAGTAGCAATAAAAAAGGAAATAAATACTTTCATCTACTCTGCATAGTTTACTGGTGAATGTAGTGAGGATCGTAACCAGGTGCTGCTGCTCAGTCTAGTGGACGATACAGGCAGATGCCAATGGGGTTAAATTAACTACCTAGTGTTGAAACTTCTTAAGAAACAAGGCGGTTTTTAATGCAGAGTCAGCAGATGAAGCATTCTTTGGTATACTGAAATACTGAAATGGAGGTCCTAAAAGTTAAAAATACTGTTTCACATGGCCACGTGAATGTCTGTCGGCACATGGCTGAATATTATTTTTTTAGTCCTGTAGAATGAACTGGTTTAGGCATTAAGTAGTTAGGTGTTATTGCCTTGCATGGCAATAAAGCAGGTCAGATGTTTCCATTACGACCTCCATGCTGTGCAAGTAGGGCCGTGAAGACGTCCTCCATAACAGGCATGCAGCGTTTCTATGCAAAATTCCAACTGAGGGGGCAGCCAATAGATCAAAAGGGAAACGTATGGCCAGTTCATGCCTTCATACGTACAAGTACAGCGTAAAGGCATTGATCTGGGTCTGTGTAGCTTATTCTCTAAAAATGACCTCATGTGCTTAAAGAGGGAGGGAGAGGGGGGAAAGTGAAACGGGATGCATGTTTGTAATTAAGTCTTTGGTCTGGTGGACAATGTGCTGTTATCAAAAACAGGAACAACAAATGGAAAAACGAGCAGCAGACCAATCAGGGTGGAAAAACCATAACGGTTACAAAAAAGAAAAAAAAATCAGCTTCCGAAACCGGAAGTTGGAGTTACTATTTTATATAAACAGAGAGGAACACCGAGTTGTGATGGAATATCTAAAGAAGGAAAGGTCCCACTGGATCATCACCGGAGAACCTGAAAAAAACCCAACATACTGCGCTCTTTAATTATTGCCTTACTTTTCCCCCCATAGCAGGCTGAGCATTTCCTCCTTAGGGGGCACATCTGTAAGGCGAAGTTGTGTCTCCTAAAGCTGGTGTAGGTCACCATGTGTTATCAAAACGAAGAATACCTCTGTTCATTATGTTGCTGCCCTCCAGCGAACGTTGTTCTACAGAGCATTCTCGTTGAGCAAAGGCTTTAGTTAGAAATAAACATCTTTTTCCCTCCAATCCATTGTGGCACATGTGTGACCCTCCCTGCCTTAGAGCCAGCCACATCTGGCTCTGACCCTTTGGACTATTCCAGTCAGTCCTGCAAACGGTTAATATGAAATCGGCCAGCACGCAACTGAGGCAGAGTGTAAACCGAGTTCAGGGCTGCCACGGCTTCCTGTCCTTGCCCTTCTGATCGGGAATGTGTTTGTATCGACATTTGTCCCCAAAGTGGCAGCCGGTGGTTCTCCAGAAGTAACACTGGTCTCCGTTCACCGGGCCGCATTGTCGGGGTCTTCAAAAAGAGAGGAAGGGTAACAATTCAAAACGGCGTTCCCAATTCGAGGCGCGGAGCGTTCTAAAGTGATGCTGAGGTGCTTCTCACCCGGCGGCTGCCCCTGCCTGCTGCGTGACGGGCAGACAGGTCCTGAGCGGGAAGGGGAGGACCCTCTGCGGGCGGCGGTCCGGGTAGCGCACCACCAGACGCGTGTTTTCAATACAATAACCCTGCGGTAGGAAGCACACGCACACCTCTAAGTCCAGGGGAATATTTCTTCAGAACCGGACAGCGGACGGGAGGAGGAGTGAGTACTCACGTTTAGTCGCTCCATGGCATGAGCAGCCATGTTTGCGTCCTTGAAGTTGATGAAGGCACAAAATCGCTCGTGCAGAACGCGGACACTCTCTATCTCGCCATACCTAACATGCAAAGCATTGCAAAGCAAACACCGCCGTGGTAAAATAAAGGAGACACACAAAAAATTGTTCGCTGAAATGTCTTTCTAATTATTCAATTGGCAAGAGTATAGTGTTAATATAGACTCATTTCATATATTTAGTTAGCTAGTAACAGACTACGGTCTTACATTTTAAAAAGGTCCAAAAGGTGTTTCTCAGTTAACTCAGTTGTCACGTTTCCCACCCAGAGCGATGGGCAAGGACTTCTGAGGAAAGAAAGACAAGGAATGTCACAGAAAGCAATGCAATCACCGCTCAGACGGACGACTCGTTGAAAGCCGTCTAAGCCCGTGGCTTTAATTGAACAAACCAATGGTCACCTACCCGGGTTGCACAGCTGACGGATCCTGGCTTCCAGCTGCAGAGCAAAAGGAAAAGGCTGTAGTGCTTGGAACACATAGGGGCTGACTTGTTGCTGCTCACACTCCCCTTCAGCACTAACAAACGGCAAGAAACAATACGCTGGCCTTATTTAATGTACATGCGATCTTACCCCTGGCAGCGTCGGAACAAGCTGTCAGAACAGCCTGCACAGTGGAATACTTCTCCAGCAGCGAGACACTCTGCACTTCTTCAAAACCAAGCTCCTGAGGAAAGAAAAATAATGGATGACTGGCCGTACAAAATAGAATTAAAAGTTTAAATTTGCCAAAAAAGCTCAAAAAGGAGGCTGTGGTTCATTTACAGCTACCAAGCGATCATAGAGACGCCTTGGCACCTTGTTTGAGGGTGTATTTACCATTAACTGCAGCGCTTTGCAGTCGAACAGGTCATTGACAGCCTCCTCACAGTCTGGGTCAAGTTTTAGCACCTGCTCCATGGCCTTCTCTGCCTCACTGTACCGCTGCAACACACATAAAGACCCACAAAAAATGAGTGATCCCATCACACCATGAGGGTAAAGCCATTCAGTCGATACTTAGTTACATGTCAAGTTCCCACCTTCATGCCCATGAGAGAGCTGCCCTTGCGAAAGTGTCCTTTGGGCCAGTCTGGGGCCATCTGAATGGAGCGCTCGGCATCTGCCAGGGCCTGAGGGTACTGCTCCAAACAGTAATAGCAATAGGAACGATTCCCAAAGAACCTTCGGGACACAGTCAAATGCAAGAAATGTTTCACATGGGAAATGAATATCGATGGGTCTCCTTTGGGGTGTTTAATGGCCACAACGTACCTGTAATCCTTTGGATCATATTTGATGGCTTCTGTAAACATACAGGCAGCTTGTGCGTACTGCCCTTCTTGCACCAGCTTTATACCCTTTTCTGCTCAAGAAGAAGAAATAAAGAAGAAGAAACAAATGCCCGTCATTAATTCTCCAGTGAGGCGGCGGCCCGAGGGCTCAACTGACCGCAGTCCTGCATGCTGACATGCTTGCACAAAGGAAATGTGAAATCAATAATTTCCTCTCAGGCGAAGGTTATTTTGTCAATAAATCAGTCATTAAAAAGGCTGGTTTTGTGCCGGTTATGCAAAAAACAATTCTTACCTGTCAGTGAGGCGCTTTTCTTGGTCATGGTGTCAGTTCCATTAGTCTTTAAAACAAATACATCATTTTTTCAGTGTTGTTCATAGTCGAGTTTAGACTTAACTTTTCAAATGAGATGCATATAATATTCATGTATACGGTGAACCGCTGAAAAACACAAATACATTCAGGACATTAAGTCAATTCTAAAAAACAGAAGCATCTACTTTGTTCTGATTAGGGTTACATATTTTAATCACTAAGCTTCCTCCCATAGCGAAGATACACGTTGTCAAAATACACACCCACACATTTTATGACAACTGTTGTTAAGGGTGCCATCGTCCAAAGTCCACTTGTACGCACATGAGACTTTGGAACAGAAAGTAATGCACAGTTCTAATGGGAGGTGTCGCTATACCGTTCTCTCCTCTCATAGGGCCTCTTTGCATCCACTCACCTCTCTCTTGGCCTCGTTCTCCTTGTTTTCTTTGGACTTGCGACCGGATCCTTTGGGTTTGATATGGCTAGCAGCATTAGCAAAGAAGGCGCTGCTCACATCCCACTCTGGCTCCTGTGGGACACAGAAAGTTTTACATTCTCCCCTCACTCCCTCACTGGCTAAAGACCAGGGAAGTAAAAAGGTGATATTTTTCCACTGTGGCCTTTTTAAACCAACACAAGGACTCTTAAACGCCGACGGTTCATAACGTGCATGCGCAATACTCTGGTACGCTTCCTCTACCTCTTCGGCGGATCTGGTTTGGCCTTTCTGATGACCTCTGAGGCCCTCGGGAGCCATGACTGGTGGAGCGGCGACGCAGGTGCGTGAGGCGGTTGCCTCCTTTTTCTCCCCTTTCTGCTGCTCTTCAGCACCAACTTCCGCTTCGGACTCGCTCTCATCCAGCTCAGACTCTCCACCCGCATCCTCCTCTTCCTCATCCTAATGTGTAGGACAGTATAAATGAGCAGTTACTCAGACCAAAAGGCAAACGTGGAGTGGATTGCTAGAAGGAGTGCTGTGATTATTACCCGTTCGCCGCTGTCGTTTTGCTTAACCTGCTCCTGCTTCTTACGTTTTCGACGGCGCTGAAACAGACGACTCGATACAGTCAGACAGTGCATGACTTCAACAGACTTTACTTACAATAAGTTGGATCTTAAAGAGGCGTAAGGACGCATTTGCGGACCTTCCTCTTGGCTTTGCGTCGCTCTGCCCTTCGTCGGACCTTCTCCTCTTCACTCAAGTCCTCCTCTCCATTCAACGCATCCTGAACAAAACAGGCGTGATCGAACGCTGCACGCGGCACCTTCGGCCTCGCAGCCCTGACAACGGCGACATCGATCGGACTCGATTTGTTTACCTGTGAAGTGGCATCATCACTCGGGTCAAGATTGGCGGCACCACAGTCCATCTGCTCCTCCTGCTGCTGGACCGGGGTGCCTGATGGGAAATGCACACCAGCTCTTAAGAACCCGCTCACACCGCTCTCCTTTTGTCACGTTTAGAAACCGGAAATCAGACAAAACAGCTCCCGTCAAGTAAATGAAACCGAAGACTCAACGCGTTTACTTCTCGCGATGTTCGATCAAAACGGTCCGGTGCAGCGCGGCGGCCACCGGCTACACACACCGTAATAATAATAATAATAATAATAGCAGCGGCGACCGTAGATCTGATCAAACAGATCATATGAGCGGATTTTGGCCCTGTGACAGCAGACGAACGTAAAGACAAGAGAAAGCAAAACACCGGACGCTGCATGATTCTTTGTGGTGTCGGATTTCCCCTCGCTCAGTAGTGACAAAGTCATTCTTGGCTGTGAATTATTTTATGACTACGAGGAAGCATTGATGGGAGCGCAACTCTTCTTCTTCTGCTTCGCTCTGTAAGCATTCTACGCGTCTTGTGGGTCAAAGAAAAGGAGCAGGCTTCCTCATTCTGACCTGATGCGGGTTCACGGTTCTGCTGTGATCTGGTTAACAATGCAAACAATAACAGTCAAGGCAAAGTCTCATCGGCTTTATTAAAGAGTGAGTTCACCGGTCTCCCGTTGCAAGGAGTTGCTATTTCACAGGAATATAGAAAGTGGAAGAAATATCATTCTCACATGTAGAGAAACACCCACTGCTGAAGCGCAGCTTCTTTTTGCAGAAGCAGGTATTTTTTTTAATTATTTTTTTAATCCCCACTGTAACAGGGTTTCCTCCTGACAAATATACATGAGCCAAGATCAGTGAACAAAAGAAAAAAAGAGAGTCTCGGTTTTTCTCCTTCAACAAGAGACCTTAAATTAGTGGGGCTCTTTTCAAGAGGAATGCACAAAAACAGTATGATGGTGGACTGGAACTTTTAACCTGGAAATCAATACCTACACAGCAGCACTGAGGGAGGAGACGGGTAAAAAAGAACAACACAAAATGTTGGGGGTTTTGAAATGACTAAAGAAACGCATTTACACAACACCGCAATGGCAACGTGCTGAATCATCAACTCAAAATGAAGAACATGCATCTTCACAAAGATGAGCAGCGTGTGACAGCTCGTCATCACAAAGAGGCCCCCAAAAAGATCTGTCTGTGACATCCAAAAAAAGCTGGACTTACACACACACACACACACACACACACACACACACACACACACACACACACACACACACACACACACACACACACACACACACGTTGAGTACCAAGAAGAGGAACAAGGTGCGAGCACGTGACGCGTTTAAAAGACACAACGTGATGCGAATATAACTTGAGCAAAAGAGAGATCACTGCGCCAGTCGTGTGCACCGACCAGGAATGCGCCGCTAGGCCGGATCTCCTTTTCATGTAAAGCAAACCTAAAGTTACACCTTCGTCTGTTGGGTTTTCCTCCCGCCGTCACGGACGCGAGCGGCTGTAGAAGCTGGTTTTCGATAACGTCAATACGTTATTTACAGAAGCGTCGCGGCACCGGCCGCGCAAACTTTAAAGCGGTGCAAGCGAGGGTGTAAACTGGCAGGAGGGTGACTCTCGTTACTCGATAAACTGTTCGAACCCAACGAGAGACGTTATCGGAAACATTCATTTATCAGAAAGAAACCCCGCTAAGTGAAGCGAGCGTCGGACCGTGTCCGCCATCTCTCTATCTAACTAATCTCGGACGGGATCTATTTAACGTGCGGTCGAGTTCAGAAAAAGTTTTGAAAAAAGTGGGACGTTTTTTCTTACCGCTCCCGAGTCCCAGCAGCCTGCACAAATCCCTGGTGAACTTCATGAGCGCGACCATCCAGCATTATCCTCTCAAACACACACACGAAACGTACTCGTGCCAAAAGCGTGCGTGAACGCGGCTGTTACATCGGGACAATAGATACGGAATCTGCGGGAATCTTTGGTGGTTTCAGTCTACTTCCTGACGCGGGGTCCTCCCCGAGGCGCGCGCCTTAAAGCTGCAGGACGCCTTTATCGATCAGGTGAAGCTTCCAGATGGCACCGCGGCGGCGGGGGCGCGCGCGCAGCAGGATTCTGATAGTACGGGTACACGTGGAAGTGTCATTGTATTGACGTATGGTTTTATTGTCTATAAACAAGCTTAAAGCCGAGAAATCCTTCAGTACATTAACTCGGTGTTGGTGTGTTGGGTTTGACAAAATAACCTCATATTAATGGATTTCTTAGAAGAAGAGCAAGTTTTACGTTATATTTTGTCAAATTACATTAAACACAACATTACAAAAAAGTGTCAGGCTTATTCTTTTGGGGTTCTCGAGACCCGTTTGGAAGCCCATGCATAATGATATTGGTCCTTAGACTAACCTGAAATAAATATAGTAACTTTTACAGTACATAAAGTCATGTTTTTTTTACGGGACATTAATTTTTATTCAAACATTAATTTTACTGTTATTTCGTATTTTGGTGTGTTATTTTTCCACCGAAGGATATTTTACATGTCTTTGTAGATTAAAAATAAAAATTTATATAATAAGTAAATGATTGCTGGATTTTATTTAGCTGATTCAAGGTCCTGACACTTTCTGAGAGATTTGAATAGAACAGTCATTGTTAAAGTAAAGTTACCTGAAATAGAACTGAATAGAAAATGAAAGACATCATCTTAAATTTGGTTTTATTCATTCATACAAAGTCATAAAAAGTCACATTGTACTTATTTAAAAAGTCCTTTGTCAACATTCATGTTGTGCTGGTATTGGTGGTTTTCTGCTGACATAAGTAATGTTGCCAAAGGATTTAGTGCAGCAGTATTACACCAGTATCTAAAATCAGGAGTGATTGTCTGGTGTACTTTTGACATGGACAGCCTATAAGTTGAAGCAGTGTCAGTTTCTCAGTCAAATTCACACACAATTTTTTTTTAAAAGAGCGCCGATGAGCTTGACGCACGCTGATGCCGCTTCATGTTTCACTGACGTTTTCTATCATGCAGGACGATGAGCGCTGCATTCCAGCCAGGGGAACCCATCACACCACCACCTGAAGAAAGGGCGGGGGAATCAGAATCACTTCACTCAGCAACCAGACACCCGTCGGTGACTTTCTTTAATTATTATCAGCAATGAGGATAAGATTCAATTGAAGGGTCTAAAGGTTCATTAACTGTCCTCCTCTAAAATCCGACAACATAACATGTTAATCATTGCACAATTTTCACACAACAAACAGGCACATTTGCATTCCGATATTTAGCTCACGGTTCAGCATTAAAAACACACCTGGGTGAGAGCCACTGCCACACAGATACAGTCCTTTTATTGGGGTCCGGTAGTGCGAAAGAGAGGGCAAAGGTCGTGCTAGGTAGAGCTGGTCCAGCGACATTGATCCATGGAAGATATTCTGAAGAGACCAATGAGTGACCAAAGTATTTCTTGATGTGATATATTACGACATAATGATAAAAGTAGTCATTTGTTCAATGACAGCCTCATAAAGTTTTTTGCTCAATAACCCTTAGCCTGTGTTACTTTACACACCGGATGTGAACTTTAATTCTGACGCATGGTTGTGGTAAAACTCTCTGGAACCATAAACTATCTACAACATGCAAAATGACTTCCTCATCTAGTAGAGCAGTGGATCAGCAAATGCTGCTCAGCTTAAACCCTCTGCAGTGTGCATGTACCCCTCCAGTGAGCCCAAAGATCCTCTCCAGGTCGGGTGGAGCCAGGATGTCCTTTCCCAAAATGGACTTTTTAAACCCAGGGGCGTATTGCTCCACCCAGTCAAATGCTGAAGAGACAGGAAAACACAAGCTTTAAGTGGGACAGGTTAATAAGTATTAACGTCAAACACTTTGCATTTGGGAATTTCAACGTTTGAATGTGCGTTGCTTCCTTGTGAAATAAACACTTTCCTGTATGAATCTGCATTATATCATTTTTTTAAAAGCACAGCATATTTTGTGTGTCCAACCCGTGTCTGCGTAGTCTTCCCTGTCCTGGTCGGTCCACTCCCGGCCCTCTATGCGGTAGGGGGTATATTGGGTGAACAGTGACACTACATGGCAGCCAGGGGGGGCCAGAGTAGGATCCAACACAGAGGGGATGGTCATTTCCAACATGGGTCTAAAGGAACACAGGGCGTGATGAGACGAGATGATGGATGTGCTTATGGTGGAAATTCAGCATAAAAGGATTTTTTTAAGAATCTGTTGGAGCAGCTAAATGTTAGCAGAATAGGCATTCATTCAATGGTACGTGTCATTCACAGGTCCAGGATATGTGCACACCGTAACACAGTCCGTTTTGGAGTCACGTTGACATAAATGTGTGGAGGAAACAACTATTGCGAGGCGCATAATGTTACAGATTGTAGACTCATACATTACAATGGGGATGTTTGTCTCCTGGACTATCTCTTGGTATGGTCATCTTACCAGCGGGGATGATTTGGTTGATAAAGAGTGTCATTTGTTCAGTGTGAAGATACGTGTACCTTGCTGAGGGACGTCCATTCACGGCCTCTTTGTATGCTGTCTCCAGAAGTTCTACGCTTTCGCAGTTGAGATGAATGGAGCACTGGTGGTGGGGTCCCGGTTTATCGCTTGGTGTCGGAGATGCTAGGAAGTTTGGTAGCTTGTCCACTGCCACTATAAGAAGATCACAACGGGTCACAACAAATGAAAAATACATTATGTGTCGTATTTTTCTACATTTCTTTACCTTTACAGAGTGTGCTTTGTTTTTGTGTTGTGCTCTTTGGTGCTATGGCCATGAGCGGTATTTGCAAGCGTGTGTTTGGATCTCACTTTGCAGGGATCCAAACAGTGTGAGCGTCTTGTGATTCGTCAGGTGATCGCTGCCCTGCAGGCTTTCAACTATTAATCAATCTCCCTTGTGTTACCGCATGCCGATACATACATACTTTAGAGGCATAAAATCTTCTGGATTATTGTTGTTGTTATTAGGCTTCAGCTTACTTGATATTTGAATTGCAAAATGGTGACTCTTAATGCAGGGGATATGTTGTGCTAACGTTGCGAAATGCCTTCATCATAAAGCTAAGACTTTTAAAATAAGTTCTACAAAGAGTATGCCGTCAAGTCCATGCACTGCAAAAATACCAGTAGCAGGTGAGGACTTCCTGAGCAAAGAGAAACTGCACACTTGAATGTGTTTCATAAGCCCTAAACTAAATTAGTTTTACCCCAATATCTTGGAAGACTATGTATAGGACTATTCTACACCATGAAATAATAGAAACCTAATGCCTATTTTTTTTACAGTTAACTTGCTCTTTCTCCGGGGCAAGTTTAAAGAGAAAAAGGTCCACTGTTCCCCACGAGTTTTACCATAATATAGTATTTTGATAGCGAAAACCGCAGAAAACCATTGCGATTATATTTCTTTATTGTTAACAGGAACCACAACAATTTGTAGCTCATTCCTTTTTTGCAGTGGCGTAATGAGCATGGCGGAACAGATTTACCATTTATCTTGGTCACAGGTGAGGTGTAGTCTATCTGATCGACGGCTTTGATGAACTCTGGAGAAAGGGCAGCCTGCGGCGAAAACAGGAAGTAAATGATATTATCTGGTGCCACGGTTACATGTGGTGTTTGTTCCTCTACATTACCTGAGGTGTGAGGTTCTTGAAGGTAACATATGGGGTAGCATTTGATAAAACAACTTTACTGTGGATCTCTGTGCCGTCCTTCAGTACCACCCCTTTGGCAACGCCATCCGAGGACACCAGGACCTGTCCTACATCCTACCAGGGACACACATTATATCTGCATCAAGACCAGAAAACAGATGCTAAAAGTACATTAAAAGTAAAGAGAAATGCATCGGAATCAGTGTGATTGATGAAAAACAAGTTACCTTCTCTGTAAAAATGTCAACACCACAGGATCGAGCCGAGCGAGCAATCGCCTGAGAGACTCCTCCCATGCCTCCCTCGACATAACCCCATGATCCCTTCTCCTTCTCCAGCTCTCCCATCACATGGTGCAAGAGCACATATCTTCGAGGCAAGGTTGGTGTTTAATGCAATACGGTTAAACCTGTAGTTATGAATGTTTTGTGTGCCACAGGGGTCTCTAAAATATGTCTCACCCACTACCAGGATTACTTGGACTGGTCATGGCTCCTATCACAGCATCAGTGGCCAGCGTTGCTCTCAGTGGCTCCGACTCAAACCAACGGTTGAGAATCTGTGGTACAAAGTACTAGTTGGTCCCAATGCCGTCGACTGAAAAGAGAAACTAATACTAAAGTTAGTGTATTTTGTGACAAACCTTCATTATTGGTGCAGTTATAATCTCATAAAAGTCTGGAATGTTTCCGCCTAGTTTCCAACCTTTAAATTAACAAGCCATGACTCAGTTACAGAACAGTACATAGTGAATCATTTCTTATTCTGGCATGAAAATATCAACGTTTTAGGCCCAACGCACCACATTTGACAAGAGGCATCAGTGTTTTAGCTGCATTCAGCCTCTTAATAGGTGATCCAGAGGTAACACCTGCGATGTCTACTGGAGGTGCGTCCAGAAGAGGGTGAATAGCTCCAGCTAGCTTCTCAAGGTACGCATTGAATGCTGGAAAAGCCTGGTTACATGTCAAAGAATGCACAAACAGCTTTTTTTAGTTGTTAGTACTGTGACAAGAGCTTAAAATCATCTGCACTGACGTGTAATATGCAGAAATTTGCACAATACAGTCAAGCGTGTGGCTGTCATGATGCTCAAACCACCTCAGCGTCCTTCTTTGAGAACTTGCCGATCTCCATCTGATTCATGGCCAGATCTGAGCCCAGGGTGAGAGACCTTGGGGGGGCACCACTCACCCCCTCCTCCAGCATGGGGGTGAAAGCATGGGGGTCCCTCATATACACCCTCAGCCCGTGTTTCTGAAAATATGCGCGCACAAAAAATGGAAAGCGGAAAAACATTACCTCCCACTTTAAACCTTCTCAAAAATGTTTTGCCGAATTCATATATTTCACAAGTTGCTATAATTACCTTGAGCTCCAAATCTTTGTATATATGTGGCCTTAATAAACTGAGCAAATAGGAACACCTGGAGAAGTGGAAACCTGGATACAAAAGATTCCTGTTACTCTAACATGGAATCAAATAAAAGCAGATGTATTTTGAAGGTGACTTGATAACATATAGTGTTAACCTGTATACATTGCAAAAAGCCAAACAGTGTGTAACCTATACTGATAATTCAACATACAATCAAGCCTTAATACAGCGGTTCTTAAACTTTTTCTGTCACGACCCACTTGAATTTTTATTGAAATAACATTTTTACTCCTGCAATCACTCTCAAGTAAACCAGATTGCTCCATCAGAAAAAAATAAAATAAATAAAATCTACAACTATCTTGTTGGATCAATGCAACTGAAGTTCAAGCCGTGCAAAACGCAACAAATATTAGGCAGGAAAAAGTTTATTGTGGCTGTAAATAACCTGTTTTGCACTGAAAATATTTTAAATGTCATAACAATAAAGTGCAACCTATGAAAAACAAAACAAAATTAGTGGCGATATGTAAGAGCCATTTCATACTTATAACGTATAGTGGCTGAATTAAGCCTGCTTTCCACTACGCATATTGTTAAAACAGGGTTGCCACTATCAATTCATGCTCATGTTGACTTTGGATCTGTTTTTCGAGCAAGTAGTTCAACTTGGATGTCAGCCAGACTCGGAGGCCCATACCAGGAAAAATTTCCTCTGAAACGGCTGCTCCTCCCAGAACATGTCGGCGCTCCAGCACCGCTGTCTTCAGTCCTCCCTTCTGCAGATAGGCGGCCTAAAAGACACACGCACACTCATGCACACAACTTCACCTTTACCCTGTTGAACCATAAAATGTACTGCAGGATATTGCAAGTTTTCGAGGGCAAAAGCGCTTTAACTTACTGCCACCATTCCATTGTGTCCTGCAATGAAATGTAACAAGTGAGATTATTATTATTACTATTTGCATATTTTTCATAGATTTGTCATACTGTAGCGCAGTAGCTGTGATTTCTGCACATTTCTGCATGATTGCTACAGTTTCACAGATCTCACCTCCTCCGATCACCAGTGCATCGTACTGGGGTTTTAAAGCAGTTTGACTGGATCTGGATCTCGTCACTGTCCCCAAAACAGTCAGAGCTCGCGGTACCCGGACGGTCCACATCGCTGCAGCCATGGCAGAAGTGTGAGGCAACGAAAGACCGTTTTTTCGGTGGAGGCAGCCTCCACTTTGTTTTGTGATGCGTATATAAACCAGGCACTACGGTAGGAACTGACTTCAAAATATAAGAACTGTCAATGTAATGTAATGTAATGGGACACGTTGCATCCATTCAATACTTCGGTCAGTACATTTTTCATTAATTAAAACATTAGTCTAAATAAAAAAAAGAACATGAATGAATTTGGATGTATGAATGAAAGTCAATGCATACATAAAAAAGAAAGGTATCTAGTGTACTTTGAGGAAAAATCTACTTCCAATTGTGTTACTATCTGCTCAAATATATCAATATGAACTATATTTCCAAAAATGACTGACTTGTCGAGTGATTCGTGGAATACATTTGATAAGTCCTATGACGTTGGCCGGAACTTTACTCTTATTTTGAAGTCAGTTCTGACACGCTCTTGCCGTAATGCCTGATATACACGCGGCGCAGGGCAAAACAATGTGGGGGCTGCCGTACTGTACATCCCCTTCGAACTTCGATGCTGTCTGGACCCCTGCTTTCGGATGGACCCGCGTGGATATTATAATTTATATTGACTTCATCCCACATGAGGAGTTGATATGTAACTGAGTCCATTTGAAAGCAGAAATGTATTTTACATTATAGAATGAGGCATTTTGCGATCGATACAAGACGTTCATCCTTAACTTCTTTCCTCTGTTTTTATTGTTCAAATGAATGAGCAAGAGAAAAGATTTCCGTTTTCTTCATTTTTTAGCAGAAGCCCCACAACATAGTTTAGCATTTGTTAACTTTTCATGAAATTGTTATTATTATGTTCTTGCTTTTATGTATCTTTCATTGAGCGATCCTTCGATCCATCTTCATATCCATTTATCTATTTGCCTGTCATCATCTAGCTGTCCACTTGGTGGCACGATGGTCCTATTTGATCTGCACAGACCCCTCTGGTTGTCCACCAACACAAGACTGATTCAAATTGATTCATTTGATTGAAAATCTGTTTCAAAATTTAGTTGCATCTTTAAATTTCAGTAACAAATCATTTACTGAAATGTGCAATGTATCACTAATGTCATCACTTATTACACATTTCAGTAAATTTGTATTTTACTGATTTCACATTTCATTTGTGTGTGTATAGTGTAACACATTGCTGAAGAGATGGGTAATCAATTCATGAACAAAATTAATTCAATGACTTTCATAACCTTCTTATTTTTCTTTTTTTTTTAGATCTCGGGAATGTAAAAATATGTTGTGACAATAAGATGGGACCACAATGTTCTCGTGTGAACCCCACAGAATATATGTAACTTGTTTGGGAAGTTGCTTTTTTTATAATCTACGTTTAAGACAATATATTAATACCAATTATAACGATCAAACGGTGCAGTTCAAGACGTCTTCTCTCAGCCGGTTTGGGGACGGCTCAAGTCGTACCACACTTATGGCCCACCTTGAGAGTTTTAAGATGAGCTCTTAAAACAAGAATGGTTTCTTAGTGCAGCTTTTGAAGATGTCATAGTGGCCTAGTGGTTCACTTACCATGCATTAATAAGATAAGAGGCCATAGATCATCTGTGAGCCTGAGCAGCAGTCCAGGGAGTATAGATGGATTGTTAGGATCTAAGTATTAATTGGTCGAAAAAAGAGCAAACAGCAGAACAGAATCCAGTTATTGTCTCATATTCTCTACATAATGTTGATTTTTGACTATGTTTTGCTTAGACAGTGTAAAATAATTCCCGTGGCCTGTATAGATTGTGCACTCTCTGGGCGAGGGGAATGAAATGAGGTGTTATTTTGATCTAAGGTTTCCTGCCAGACCTAACAGACCTCTCCCTGGGTGTATTAGAGTAGCATTAGTTTCAGGGAAGAGAAATTACCCTGATACCCTGTCTGCTTGGTTTTCCTTTAAGGAACGTCTGCGGACAACAGCCAATCAACCGTAACTAGATCAGAAGCAAGAGATTTTGTTCTTGTAAGCAGAAATTAACACTTCATTCCCCTTTGTCGGCAGAAATTCAACACTACAGCCCTCGGAGGCTCTCCCAGGGAATAAAGGAGAAAATTGAATTATGTCATAACACACCAAAACGCAATTACCTCATTTTCTAGAGAAAAAAAAATCTTTCTCCTCCAGGCAGAGAAGTTCACTGCTGGAAATGTTTGCCCCGGAGCTCGATAAATAAAAGCTTTGCTTTCAAAGCACATCATAAAAGGTGGGAAGAAAATATAGGAGTCTATTCCTACACTGAGGACATCTCCAGTAAGCTACTTTTAGCTTTTACCCATGATAAGTCACTTGTTAGGAGGGGTCGTCCAAACAGGAAGAAGGCCACACGCTAAAATGTGAGAGATCTTACAATAAAGTTGTTATATACTAGATGTGTTATCTCCCTTCTCTGGGCACCTATTAGGTGATGTTATTCATATTTTTACCATCTGCCCTATATTCAAGATATATAATCCACTTGCTCAGGGGAAACAAATATATATATATATATATATATATATATATATATATATATATATATATATATATATATATATATATAAATATACAGGGTATTTCAAATATATAGAAACCCCCCCATACATACTTTGAAGATATTTCCTAAAGGAGACATTCAATTACAAATCACAGAAACGCGTTTTAGTTGCAATACACCTGAGAATAATGGGTTAATGTGTAATAACACTTGGGTAGTCTCAACAGCTGGATATGTGAAGGTCTGCAGCACGGGAAAAAGCCTAAATTAATTCATGTTTAGGTTTCAGTGTGATTTGAAGACTGTGTTGAAACAACGTGTCTATCAGAATCGTTTCGAACAATTCAAAAAAATTGCTGCTTTACGGGTCAGGGGCAATTTTCTTAGATTTTAGTGTCTAAAGTTTAGACAATGTGATTTTGAGGGTTTAGGCTCTAAACCTGTAAAATCTCATTGAGAGGTACAATGATAATTAAAGTAGTTGCAAAGAGCCCTACACTGATGCAAGGTCATAATATTTTGTTGTGGTCCTGAGATTGTCATGTCAAGGGAACACGTTACATGTCATTTCTTTATTCATATCTTAAAGTATACATCCGTTTCACTTGATGTGGCATGTTAGCCTATCTCAGCACAAATGGCTTTTGCTATATTTTACATAAAAGTGCAATAACTAACATTGTTATTTTACTCATTGTGATCAAATTATTACTATATAACGGGAAGGAGGTAAAAATGCACATTTAAACTTTTTGTCATGCCAGAACAAGCAAACCAGCTAAAATATTTAGTGTATATCTGTAATGTAATTCTAAGTACATTACACCGTGTTCTGTGGTCACACCCTCTTCTTTTTAGTAAGTTATGCAAATTCACTTTTCATCTCAGTTTGGATGAACATGCGACTACAGATAAGCAGTAATAAGTGTAAACTGATTCATGCGATCACAAGTGACCTGCCTTGACCTACAGGTATGGCGGCTTTCCCGGCTGTCCTCGCCGTACAGAAAGAAGTACACCATGTACGCTTCCACTTGACAGGGTTCGATCATGAGTGACGTGTCCGTCACCCAATAGCGGAAGCGGGACTTCGCCGTAGTAACCAATCAGAGGCCACTTCCTCATCGCGGCCTGTCGCGCATCCGTGTGGTGTAGTTGTCCGCCACGGCCCCCCTCGCGTTGCCCTGGCTGGGAGGTAAAGAGGCCGGGAGGGAATGCTGTAGCAGGCAGGCCGCTGTGATACCGCCCCACGGGAATGTGAATCCCCCCCCCCTAAAGTCGCCGCGTCTGCTTGCCTCAAAATACGATTTTACCCGGTTTCTCATGGAAGCAGATGGATTTGTGAGGAGGCGTCGGATGACAGCGGAGACCGCAGGCAGTGATCCCGGGGTTGCTGGTGCATCTGCCGGGGCAGAAGTTCGATGGCTGGGGGGAAGATTCTGGGGAGTTTCGGAAAGTATCGTGGGAAGCCTGACACCCCGCATCGGAGGGGAAACGGAGCTACAAACTGTCGATTTCACCCGCAGTGCACAGGATGCACAAACGGAGGACACTGAGCCGGACTATGAGGGTTTGCCACAGGGAGCCTCCACCAGCACCCACATGTTGGCTGGAGCCGTGGCCGGGATCATGGAGCATTGCCTCATGTTCCCCATCGACTGTGTCAAGGTAGCGCCGCTCAGTGGCTTGACGGCGTTGAGCCGTGAACGCCGCCCGAACGTCGTTTTATTCCGCGCGTGTCATCGCTGCAGCCCAGCGCGTATGTTAGCATAGCGTGCTAGCTCGCTAGCTAGCCCCAAACACGCCGCGGCGCTGCGGGCTGCGGGGACAAGGTCAGCCGGGCGCAGTCGAGCGTTTCACGTCGCTGCCAGCTAACGGGTTAGCATGCTAGCTGCTGTGCATTAAGCTACCGGCCGCGGCTATGGCGTCACGTAACCGTTAGCCGGGTCAGAAAGAGGAGCCCGTCGGGTCGCCGTGTGTGAAACAACCTCAAACGCGTCTGCTGTCAAAAAGCCCCCCACCAACATGACGGTACGCGGTTAATGTGCGCGGCTGTTGTGTAGAAACAAATCGAAAGTTGGCTTAGTTCAAACGTTGACAAGAGGAACACGTTTTTCGATTCCATAATCACTGTGAGGGGGGTGGGGGGGGGGAGTGCTACTAGTAACTTAGCCTGTCAATATTACCACAAACTACTCTGTAGTTTTCAGACCAGTCGGCCTGAACTCCAGCACCTACTCTGCTAAAAATATATATCTGTAGTTCTAGACTTATAGACAAAAAACAGGCGTTCTGCTTCACGCTGTAATTAATTGTTCACAGGGGTCTTTTGATCACATGCAACGTCACGGGTCTCATCATGTGCTCTTCTATGTTATCTGAGGGGTTTTTTTTTGTTTAGAACTCAAACAGGCTATGGAGGCCCGCTGTGTGGGTCCAGGGGGTCACTCGCTCAGTGCGCGTTGTATAATACGAGCAAAGGGTCCAGGTGAGAGCTTTGCATCGTCAGCTGTGAATGTCAGAGAGTGAGGCTCCATGATGTCTCCTACACCTGTAGTCTAAACTGTCTCCGTCCGTCTTAAACCTGCGTGAGACCAATGTTTACAGTATGCCGTGTCTTTTACGGCGCCGTTGCATCCTGGTGTCTTTCCCGGCAAGCGGTGAGGTCCTTGTGACTAGACACAGTGTGTAGTCCACCGTGATGCAGAGAAACATATTACTTTTATTATTTAGGTTTGCCGTTTAGCTGTCCCTCTGCCATGCCAAATAAAGCCCTTTCCTCCTGTACAACAAGCCTCTCACTTAAGAGATTGTTGCGTAATTATAGTTTGGAAAAGGCTGTCATTTGCACTTGATGTTTCCTAAATCCCAGTAATAGGGGGTGGATTTCAAAAAGCGTGTTAGGCTGTACAGCGCACAAGCCTGGAATTAACTTGCGTTGCATTTGTTATTGAAAGAAACCCACAAAGTCTACTTTTAAAAGCTAGTTGTAGTGTTTTGCATGTCCTTGCTTTCTGGATGTGCAAACAACCCAGAGGTAAACACATCTGGGCAATAGTTTTTGCATGCGAGATGTCCTTGCATATGCATCTGGAGGGGGCACTCATTAATAAGCAAGCCAGTATTCAAATAGCATTCTCTTTTCTATGTTGTCCTGCAGAGAGACCTGCATATGTATACTGGTACCGCTTTGAGCCAGCTCCTTTTGGGCCCTGCATTCCACAGCCTAAGTGTAGTCCCACAAGGCCACGGCTTCGACACATGCATGCTCATTCACAGTGAGGAGGAAGTTTGTCACTTCATACCAGTTTGGTATTCAGCGATTGTGTCGCCGTCACTCCCCCGAAGACCGACGCGCTGACGCAGTTCAACCCAAGGCAACCCTCTCGAAATACCACATAGCAGTCGACTAAAACTCTGATCAATCGCACTTCTCTGGGATGTTTGTGTGATCTTATCACGAATCTCCGTGTGCGGGGGGCGTCTTGTGTTTAAAGGTGTGCCTCTGGGTCACAGGCGAAAGAGGCATACAGGAAGTCAGTTTATGTCCCCTATGCCCTTTGAGCTGTAACTCCATACTTCCTTCTATTCAGTTATCCTTGTACGGCGCACACACAGTTGAACTTTCCTTATTTGACCCCTTCTTCACACTGGACTCTTTTCAATGCCGAATTCCTTGCCCTTGTGGATGGGGAGAGAGGCCACCGTTGACTGTAACTTTGCTCCATTCCACCTGTTACTCTTTTCAGACACGCATGCAGAGCCTCCAGCCCGACCCCGCCGCCCGCTACAGGAACGTGATGGATGCTCTTCGCCGAATCGTTGCCACGGAGGGAGTCTGGCGACCGATGAGGGGGCTGAATGCGACCGCAGTCGGGGCAGGGCCTGCCCATGCACTCTATTTTGCCAGCTATGAGAAACTGAAAAAGACTCTAAGTGATGTCATTCACCCAGGGGCTAACAGTCATTTGGCTAATGGTACCATAAGACCTACACACACACATGTACAGATCACGTATGGCTACTTTGAGAACCCTTATTACTGTGATCTCTGTAAAGCTGCTGACTCGGCCTGATCTGCGTATAGGGAAGGCATGTCCCCACCAGTTCTAAAAAAAACAACAAAAAAACAGGCAGGCCGTCAAATTGAATGGCGCCTTTTCGTAGCTCCGGTTGTACGTTACAAGGAAGTGCCGGGACCAGCTGTTGATCTGTCGTCCATCTTGGCTGCGAAATAGAAAGAGATTCCACCTAAGATTCAATTTGCAAACCTCTGCCCTGAATGTCACCCATTTCCTTATTCCTTGTTCTCCCTACTCTCTCTCCCTCTTCTTTTCTTTTCCAGTATAGTGGGAGGCTGGGTAAGTCTCCTTTCTCCCATCTCATCTTCCCGCTCTGTTGGTCCCGTCTTGTAAAGCTTTATGGGTTTTGTTTTTATCTCTATAAAGAGCGGTGAACTGCCCTGTCCACCAGGTGTCTGTCTTTGCTCAGGTTTGGCCACCTGACATCACTCAGGCGTGTTCTCTAGTTTTACAACCCAGCGAATTGCTAAACATGCACCACTTCTGCTATGGTACCGTGTTTTCAGCATGACCTCTCCAGCTTTTATGAATAGTGCAGGCAAGCCTTCTCTTTAGTGGAGTGTTTGTTTCCTCCTATTTTCCTTCTGTATGCTTCACGATTATCTGTTATATTTCTCCTCATTTCCAGTTCATATTTGTTTCAGGAACAGCTGGATGTGCGGCCACACTGCTTCACGACGCGATCATGAACCCAACCGAAGGTAAGCGCCACATTTTACGCGGCGGCCATTGAAGGGTTTTCTCTCTCAAAGTGCATACGGACGTTCATTATTTCGGTGGCGGCGCTTACGGGTCCCCGTGCCTGGACCGACCGTCTTCACATGTTGCCTTTAACCCGCCGGTCTCTCATATTGACTCTACAGCTGCTTCTAGTCCACCTGCCTAAACATTTCAATAGAAGGACACTGGTCAGAGTCCTCGCGTGCAGCTGTTGGACGGGGAGCAGCTGCCTGAGCGAATGTTGTCAAACACTCTACATCTCCGTGTGTTTGTTGAAACTCGATACGCTTTAAGCACGGATTTACAGTAGCTCGCTAATCTCTTGCCTTTTCTTTCTCTACGTCTTCGCTCTGCCCCGACCCCCGGACGCACCGCTTCTCCTCCCTGGATTCGTCCACCCGTCGGGCCCTAGTCGTGAAGCAGCGCATGCAGATGTACAATTCGCCGTACCGCGGCGTGTTGGACTGTGTACGCGCCGTGTGGCACAAAGAGGGCGCGGCTGCCTTCTACCGCAGCTACACCACCCAGCTCACCATGAACGTGCCCTTCCAGGCGCTCCACTTCATGACCTACGAGTACCTCCAGGAGCTGCTGAACCCCCACAGACAGTACAACCCCTCGTCCCACATGTTGTCCGGCGCCTTGGCCGGGGCCATCGCGGCCGCGACCACCACACCTCTGGACGTGTGCAAGACCCTGCTCAACACCCAGGAGTCCCTCGCCCTCCGCTCCCTGTCTTCTGGCCAAGGCCAAGGAGCCCACAGACACATCTCGGGCCTGGCCCACGCCTTCAGGACGGTTTACAGGCTGGGCGGCCTGAAGGGCTTCTTCAAGGGGGTCCAGGCGAGGATCATCTACCAGATGCCCTCCACGGCCATCAGCTGGTCCGTCTACGAGTTCTTCAAATACGGACTCACCAAGCACCAGCACGACAAGAGGAGAACGCCGCACGTGGAGGCTGACATCTAGATGTGGCCTCGGTTCAGTCACCTCTGATATCGTTCAGTCCCTGATGTGAGGAGAAGGTGAAGTCAATAACGCACATAGAATCTGACTAAAAGAATCCTCAGTTGTTCCATGCTTTTTTTCAGACATAGGAGATAAGAAAGGCCTCTTCAAAGATTGTTTGAGTGGTTTAATTTCTGCCAAGACAATTCAAGACGAGGTGTCATTTGAGTCAGAAACAGTATTATAGAAGTAGTCCATCTTACAAGCTGTTCTGGGGACCACAACGTTTGTCCAAATGTCAAGAACGTGCAAGTTGGAAAGGTCGTCAGCAGAGGGCGGTAGTGTTGCTTTGTTAACTCTTGTAGACCCATAAACTTTGCTGTCCTAGAACCAGTTTTCTCCCCCAGCCAAGCCATGATTTTGCAAATAAAATGTACACTGTCTCCGGATCAGGACCCCGGTCTTCTCTCAAAAAAAACTTTTTTTAATATCTTCCACGCTATTCTCCCAGTAGTCCAAGGCAAGTTCACTGTGGGCTCCACACAGTTGTTCTGTCTTTTATGAAATTTATCTTTAGATCCGATCCAATTTTCAAGGGTTAAGCCATTTGGAATAAAAAGCTGATTGACGCAGGCTGACAACATATTGTTGTTGCACACATTCATTCCCCGTCTTGGGTCACGTTCAGATGCTTCTGTTGAGGTGAAATGAAACCCATCCAACCATGTAATGGAGAAGACCAACTGTTATATCTTGATCAGTTGAACTGTGTTATTTAAAATGCAGTCCAGTAGTATTTGAGTTAAATGATTTACAAAAAAACATTATTGACCAGATTTGGCGTTTCTTTTTTATTTTGCTATTAAGTCTTTCAAATGTCCAAGCTTATTCCCTATAAAATTATTGGGCAGAAATTACAAATATTAATTTTCTCTAATTTATTAAATTAATCATTTTGATTCTTTAACCCCCCCCCCCCCCCCCTCACTCCACCTACTCTCCCGTATGGGTTAAATCCCCCCTCGGATCATCCAAATAAACACCATTAATGCCTTGTGTACATGTTTGGCAGAGCAAACCGAGGCACCATTAAAACGGCCATTTCTGTGCATTGACTGCATTAACATCAGCCCGTTGTCTGCTTTTCAACTACTGACTTTGAATATCTGTTCTTGACAGCAAAGGTTGTGTTTATTCTACTGTGCCCAACAGTAATTCACTATACCAAAAGATATGTATCTTTACCCCCATTGAGTCCAAATAAATGGAAGCTGTCATTCTTGTTGATTGATGCCTGTTTCTGACACTGATTTGCACTCGATGAATAAAGACTGAGCGGTGGATCTCTACTCACTGGTCTTAAATGATGGGAGCCAATGATGTTTTGATTTATTTAACTGTTTCTGAATACTTTGAAGATGAAAATGTGTTATCTGTTCAACCGACATTACAGAAACTTCAGGTGCTCATCATCTGGGTGTGTAGAAAAGTTATTAAGTCCTTATGAATGGAACCAACGGGACGGATGCCTCAGGCCACATCTGTATTGCCATAAAAACTTGTCTGTTTTCAGGTATTTACTTTTAGTTTGCAGCAGGTACAGTTGTTTAGTCTTCCAACACAGGTGCAGGTTTCAACTTTGACCTTGAAGACTGAAAAGACACTGAAGACACTTGGTCGCCATAGAAACAGGCAGCAGAGTGAAGTTTTGGATTTTGGCAAATGCATGATAACCTAAACGTTGAATAGATTTGATATTAAATAAAAAAGGGCATCAGTGCGTAAAAAGAAGAAATATTCTAACTGACCAAACCTCTGTGGAGGTGGAAGACCTCTGTACCTTTAGTACAGACGAGCTTTGTGACGTGATCTCATGTGTGAAAAGCATCGGCTGTGATTGTAACTAATTCAAATTGTGTCTGAGTCACACAATTACCTTCCAGGAATTGTAAGAATCCACAACTGTCACGATAATACGTTGATGGTCCACGCTGAAAGAAAGTATGATGATGATCTTCTGAATTCACCTCCATCACCAGTCAATGACATGAGTCCCAAACACCATTTGACTGGAACAAATGACATTACACCGCAGTCATGTGATGATGCGTGGAAATAGGGCGATCTGCACCGAGCAGGACCTTTGAAACAATTAACTGATGATTGTTTGGAACATTTGTTTTCAAATCCAAACCAGCAGCATTACCTGCCTGCATTATCTCCCTAAGACGACACAAACTCTTTACACCTGTTCAGATTCAGAGGGATTCAGTGGAGACCGGATGTCACATTTCTTTCTCAGGTGAGTTTCGCCTGCTTTATTTAGTGTGTGTCTGAGCGGGAGACTTGGTAAATTATTGAGTCTGGTCATTTGCCTCTTTCTGCGTAACTCTGTTTATGTAAGAGCGCCTGTGTGTGTGTGTGTGTGTGTGTGTGTGTTTGTGTCCGGCATGTTGGCAAGGCCTTGCCTGATTGACCACAGGCCTCTCCAATCGTTTTACTCCAAACGTCCAAAAGTACCTTTTTAGTTGATAATACCACAATATAAAAGTACTTTGTTAAGAGTAAAAGTGCAGCTTTCAAAACCCAAAATAAATGTATTGGCGAAGAAATAAAAGAAGAAGCACAAAATGTAAATACTAAAGAATTGTTGGGCTACTCTTCTTATGGACACTAATGATGTCTTATTGATAACCAGGAGGGGGTTTTGTATTTACATTTTTTTTTTGCCGTGCCGTAAGTTTGGGGGGCGGCAGGGTGGCCATTCTCTGACCAATGGTGGCCGTGGCCCCCCCTGGCCACCACGTGGCCGCGCTCCTGCATCTCGCCAATTTAAAGTCTGGAGGATCGTGTGTAAAAATGTTTGTTTGTGAGGATACAGGTTCAGTTATTCTGACTTAATCACATGTATGTAAACAACCCCTTTGCTGCGCTTTGACAAGGCCATGCGACACGTAACATCTTGATTTATTAAGTTGACGTCTAGTTGGTTTTCCTCTGGCTTTGTTTTTTAGGTCTGTTCATATCAGCTGCGAGCTAACAGACCTTTGTGTATACGTCTGATCTGAGGGCTGTCTTTTTTTTGCAAGCATTTCTTTTTTCAAAGTCCTGCTCAAATGTATTTCCTTCTTGCCGCGTCTGTGTGAGTGTGTGTTTGCTCTTTCAGTGAAGATAACGAGAGAATAGCTGATATTTGCCTCTCATCATGGCCATCTCTTCCACACGTGTTGAGTAAACAACGTACACTTTGAGAACCAAAGTTCAGTCTCAACTTTTGAGACTCAAAACTTCCACTTGAGCTGCAAAAACACATCATGTTGTTGCCATCGACGGATGGAGGTAGCCACTTGACTGTATATCATAACCCTGTGGGTGTGTTCCTCGCCCAGCTCTGGCTCCATCACGCCACGGCAGGAAGTGATTAATAACGGGCCCATTAGCTGCTCCATGTGTGCCAACTGTGTCCTTCTCTTTGGATGAGATGAATCGATGCGTGTTTTGGATGCCGTGACGGGTCTCCCGTATTTTGTTTCAATATTGTTTGCATTCACAACGCTTGTAGCACGTCTGCAAATCATTGCAAGTACACAATCTTTTAGGGACGATCACAAAGCTGTAAGCTAGATATTCCTAGAAGAAAACAAAATGTATATATGAAAGTTAAAAACAATAAAGAGAAAGAAGATATCGATACAAAATGTCCAAATGATAAATGCAGATGTAACCATCATGTTGCATGTACATTATCCATGTTACATTTGACTTATTAAAGCTATTAAACACTCAACTGTCTGCATTTAGATCTTTCCTCGACTTAGTTCCTCTCATTGTTTTTCTTTTTTCTCATGTAAACTTGGTGTTGTTGATGCATTTTTAGTTAAAATCATTTAAATGTCATTGAGGTAACATATTTTTGTCACTACTTCCTTCTCATTGTTCTCTCACACTCAGTAAAGTAATTTAACGGGGAGAGAGAGAGAGAGAGAGATTGGCCTTTGAGGAGCTGCAGTATGTACACAGTAAATACTTGTTTGATGATTCATAGAAACCACTTCAGCCGTCACATTTACAGACGTCTCACATTATAACAACACCGTCTTTCATTGCAGTGACGAGTAACAAGCCTTTCACCCCAATTTTACCCTTTTAACAAGAACAATGAATGATTTCATATTTACTTAACGTGTTTGCCTGCTGGGTGTTTGCGTGTTCTGCACACGTGTGTTCATAGATATGTGGCTGGTGCCCTCTAAACAAACCTGCAACCCCTTTTTCTTCTCAACTGAATATATTGCCATTTCAAGGCCATCTTGTCTCACTTCATTTGGACAGTAACACCCAAACGCGGATCGCGTGCATTTTTTCTTTTGAAAGAAAAATAGACCCTTACAAGTTAATGACGGGGCTGGCAGAAGCACATGCATGCACTCCCCTGTGTATTGGTGTAGGCCAATGTTTTGGAAACTCAAGCCTCCGGTCGAAGCCCCTTACAGCAAGCACCTGTGGAAGGGTGTGTTTCACACACACACACACACACACACACACACACACACACACACACACACACACACACGGTCAGACACACGCACACTCCCACGGTACTTAGGAATGCGAACGCCTGAAGTACTCTCGTCCTCGACAACAACTCTCTCTCTCAGTCGCTCGCCTTCTCTTATACGCTCTCCGTATTTGTGGCTCTTTTGTCACGTTTCTTGTCAAATAACCCCCCCCGTTCCCCACCAAATCATGACCGGACCACTCAGCGTGAATTACAGAGTGATACAGGATTATGCCCTAATGTCCACTGTATTCCTTCCTTGCCAAGCAGCTAATGGACGAGGTGTGATCACAGGCTCTTTGTTTAACCCGCTGAGATAGACGCACACATAGTGGCGCAGGTTGTGATCTCACGGCCCTTCGGGGTGCTGCTGGATAAAGGAGCTGTTGTTTTAAGCCCTTCGGCTGCTGCGGTCTCTCCCACTCCGGGCACACATGCAGCAGGTTGGAGGAGGAGAGACCTGAAACCAGAGCAGAGAGGCTCCAGTTAGAGCGACCGGCGCTACACAGTACATGAAAGAACATGGTGATGGTTTCATGAATTTTTGGGGCCTGAAGGATCTAAATTTTGTCGCTGCAGTTATTGCTTAATTGGTATTTGTGTGAGATCGTTGTGCCTACTAGCTAATTTCAAACTAGTGAGAAGATTAGATTCTATACCTTTCTATACAGGTTTGTACTGTTAAAACACAGTGAACGTGCCCATAAAGACCATGCTTGTGTGCTATTGGCTGCTTGGAGATGTCTGATGGAGCGTTTGAAAAAAAACAAGCAAACCATTTTGTAAACAGGATGTTTCTCTAAGTTCTATAAATAATTTTACAGCGGCCGGTGATATATTTAACTTAACTGCAGGTCCTTTGTAAATCAAAGTGTTGCCGTGTTTCATTCCCGCGTATATGGAAAACATTGTGTTCCAAAATGATTCATGCAGTTTAAAATGACTCAACCTAACCGAGGCTCTTGTATGTTACCCAGACGCTGCAGGCATCATGTTTCCACCTGGTTCATTACTATTAGATGTTGATTAGATTCGTTCAGATCTCAATTATGTGCTGCATCGGGCAGTTCTCGGCTTTGTCAGTAACCCTGTTTCGCCCTCAATGTCTGTCTGCCCAGTCCTTCTTGCAGAAATAAAAAAAGAAAACCTTTTTTCAAGCAAAATTTCGTCACCTGGAGTCCAAAGATGGCAGCATCAGACTGAATTATGAGGCATGGCAAAATGAAAATTCCGGATGACAGAATATTTGCCATCATGGAAGAAAGATTAATCAGCCCACTGTGCCAGTTGTGGCTTGACTGTCTCCCATGGTTCCGTGCTGTGGAGAATTAGCATGCGGGGGAGACACGGCTCCTGTCATCACCTAAGAGAACAAGTTGGGAGGAGAAATTCTTCCCACCACCACCACCAAGGATACGAGATGATTGCTAAAATACCCACACAAACACAGATACACTCAAGCGCACGCTAATTCCAATGTGGGAGGAAGCCGCAACAGAAGAGAAAACAGCTGTTTTGATTATGAGCATTTGTATGTGATGTGAAGCCAGAACGCAGGACAATATGGAGACGTCTGTGGCGTCATTTTGAAACAGGATCCTTCTCACTTTTCCTGCTATAGAAGAATAACATGCAAGACCTGCAATGAATAGAACGCGCCTCGATAAATCCAAGTGTTTATAGTAAAATGCCATTGCTAATGGGCCGGAATATGGAGGAGGAAAGAGGCGTATGGGAGGGAGGAGGGGGGCGATCAGGCTCCCAGGGCGGGTAAACTGATATTTTCATATGGGCAAAGTGTGATGATGGAAGGAACATAAAATCAGTGGAGGCTAATAAGAGTTAGAAAAGCTGTGTGCAACGTTGGACGTGGTGAGTAAAGGGTCATGCTTTCATCATCAAAGTGACAAATAAAATGCACACATACAGACACACAAATATGCACACATATCACCCCCTGGGCCTTTGGCTGTGAGGCCGTGGCAATGTCTCATGAACTGCTGCATTGTTACAGATGACTGCAGGTGTCCACCACTTTCTCCCACTTTGCCCTCAGTTGAAAGTCTTTTTAAAGGTAAGCAAGGTCATAAAATCTCCTTACAGGCGCTTCAGAGAGCTCCTACCGCAACATAACACACACACACACACGCAAACGCAACCATAGCTACACACATACACACACCCGCTGTATTCAGAGCATGTGCACAAATGCAAAGACACACACACACTCGCGTACTGAGACAAAAACTAAAGTTGTCTGTCAGTAGGTTGGAGTGTGGACGAGATTCTTTCTGTGTGTGTGTGCGTCTGTGTGTGTGTGTGTGTGTGTGTGTGTGTGTGTGTGTGTGTGTGTGTGTGTGTGTGTGTGTGTGTGTGTGCAGCGTCCCTGACTGCACCTGTGTGCAGTCAGGGACGCTGAGGAAGAAACAGACCTCCTGCCCTTTGAACGTGATCTTGAAAAGAAAGCTGTCTTCTCTTCCTGTCAAAAATAGCTTAGCGGCCGTGCCTTCGAGCGCCAGTCGGCCCAAACCGGTCTGGTGAAAAGCTAAAGCCATTCGTTTATTCAATGGAAGCATCCACACCAATTCAGAAGTCATCATTAGACAATAACTTGAGCGACAGGTGTTTGTAGCAGTGAGCTATATATACCGGAGACATTTTAATTTTCATTAAGGTGGGTAATTCATTTGAATCCATGTTGTTTTTGCTCTGCAAAGTTACTGATATTCTAGATGAAGATTTAAACACTCGTGTTTAAAAATATTTGTCTTTGGCAAACAGCTTCAGGGATGATCTGTCCAATTTACATTGTATCTGTCTGTTTGTATCGGGTGGACTGGTGTGTGCGTGTGTGTGTGTGTGTGTGTGTGTCCAGACCTCCACAGATAGAGTATTGGTTCAAGGTTAGGACATCATTCTTCTCACTCTGCATCTCCGCCCTTACCCCTTGTGAAATATATTCCTCCTGCTGTTCGGTTAATGATGTGGTCCAGAGAGCAGAACATGAACAGGCCTCAAAATGATGAAGGCACAACAACCAAAACGGCAAGATTGGATTTAAACTGCAAGCAGATTAAATGAAAGTTAGTTTGAATTGGTGTTGCGATGATGAGTCAACCAGCAGGCCTGTTGACTGTTTATGCACCGTTTTCGCACAGCAGGGATAAGTCCCTCTCGTTTGAGTCGTGGAGAGAGAGAGAGAGAGACCGAGGGGGGAGAGGGAGGAGGGAAGCTTGAGAGGCCGTAAGTGGGCCTGAGGAGTTTCTTTATCAACCCGCTGATAGGAGTCGTCTCTCTGTGTGTCAGAGCTGCTCAATGCTCTCCTTGTCTCCGCTTATCACCGCTAATTAAAACATTTGGATTCCTGCGGCCGGGTCTGGAGGAGTGTGTGTCTGTCTGAGCATGTGTGTGGGAGACATGAGAGCAAAGAGGAGTTGGAGGAAGGAAATGTGGCAGCTTGGAAGACTTCCTGTCCATCTATGGACAGAGGAGCTCAACGCGCACTCACCCTCAACCGGTGAAAGACGCACCGCTTCTACAGACACACACACAGAAACACTACAATTTATACAACTGTTATATATTGGATTTCCATTTTATTTTGCTGTAGTGTACTATGGATGTATGGCATTTTATTTTCAGCTTAATTTCGATATTTATTGTATGTAAAAGGTTTTCATTTGTAAATAAAGCTGAGCATACCGACTTGTAATTAACATATCTTGAGTTACTTTCCCTTAAGAGTTTTACCTTTTGTGCTGTTCCTTAATCTGCTTCCACTCAAAGTCTCAGCTCTGAATATCCCGTATCTCCTCCTAATGGACGACACGCACACTCACACACTCACACACTCACACACACACACACCAGACCTGTGCTCCTTCCTTTAAATGAGTCTGTTTTTTAAAATTCTGGGTGGGCTCATCTTTCTATTCTTTCTAATCCCTTCGTGGCCTTTGCTCCTGCTCTGACAAACACTCAGCTGGGATCGTTGCATTTCTTTGCACGCACAAAAACTATGACCAGTGGGGGCAAGACGAGTACCGGGTTCCATATACTGCTCAGCCTCAAACATCAAACAACGTTTGTCAAAAGATGTAAACCAGTTGTCAAAAGACTCTCGCTTTGGCGTCTAATTTGGAGGAACTTTGTGGACCGCGTCATGCAACAAGTCACCGACTCCGCTGATTTCTAGAATTGGTTCAAATTGTGTACAAAGGTGTGATTGGCTCATCCCAAATGCAACCAGGGGGGCTTGTGAGTGCATGTGCAGGCGGGGTGATGGATGTGTCTTCCCCAGGGGAGTTGATTTCTTTTTGTTTTACTGTAAATGTTTACATTCCCATATACACTGATGCTATCTGCTAATAGTTTCTGGAACAAGCCTGAAGTGTCCTCTGGGGGAGACTATTTGCAGCACGTGTGTGTGTCTGTCTGTGTGTGTGTGTGTGTGTGTGTGAGAGACCAGGTCAAGGGGAAGCAGATCTGTCTTTAAACAGAGGTATTAACAATGACCCCTCTCCTTCCTGAGTCCTGCCCCTGTGTCTGCCAAGGGCCAACGCATTAAGGCACAGGGCAAAACACACACTACTTCTTCCTCTTGTAAATATTTAGCTCTTGTTGTAACTGTTTCAGATAGTTCCCTTCAACAACTGAATCTCAGTCTTGCGAGAGCTGGAAATCTCCTCACATCAGCCGTCGCAAGTCGCGCCCGCAGCAGTTGTGTGCAGGCGACATCGTCTGAATCAACGAGACCCTTGAGGAAATCGTCCCTGTTACAATTGGTGCATGGGAGGCGCCTGTGTAATCGCTGCTCCGGAGCCCTGTGAGAATTCCCCATCAATAGATGTGGATCTTTAAAAGCAAGGCAGGCGTGGATTAGGTCAGGACCGTCATTCCTTTAACGCGGCCCCACCTTCCACGCATTCCTCCCAGTTGAGACGTCTGCAGCGAAAAGACAACAGGAAGTCACCTGTTACAACCGGTGTTAACGCGTCCTTTTTAATGCTTTGTCTTGCTGTGGAATCTGGTGGCGATTGAAGAGGCAGAGGAACATGTTCTTCTGCCTCCCTTCACTCTCTACGTCTCGCTCTCTCTCTTCCTCCTCTGAGCCTTTTCCTGGGGAGGCCGGCTTATAAAGCACGAGTCAAAAGTGTTTACATATTTGAGCATTACATATTTATACGTGCAGTAATGTTTGAAGGATTAGTGGGGTATACTGCGTGAAACAGCACACAATTGATGAGACCCCGGAAGATATCTGAAGGGCAAAGAAAAAAACGCTGTCTTCACTTTGACGCATTTTGCTGTGCAGATGGATGGTAGAAAAGCTCTCTGGGAATGCCAAGATTCAATAATCTATCAACTGTGCAAAAGCAGTTTTACGCTCGCTTGAGGTGTTTATGAGCAAAGGCCCAACAAATTCTGTATTTAACTCGTGCCCGAGGAGCGGTTTCTATTGTTGTTCCCATCCGTGTTCCCGGGTATCTATTCATATTGTCTTTGGCATTGTCTGTTCACATGAGATAATCCAATTGAAATTGAAACAACTTTCAGAAGACCTCACATGTTTTATTTATAAGAACACATGAATAAGCCAGATATAATATCAGACACAGTTGTGATTTAAGTGGAGATCATGACCACCACAGCGTTGAATATCCGGGTTGTCTTACTGACTCGTTTTTTCAGTACCTTATCTCTTCTCAATGGAAAATGTATTCAGTGTGACATCACTGGGTGCGGGAAAAGAAAACGTTACGCTAGACAGCAATGACTAAAGCACTATTCACCAGCACAATGTGAGTAATCAGAGCACAAAGAAAGCAGCATACCTCAGAGCCACAGTGCAAGACCTTTTCTGTTGCAGCAACCAAAGCACCCCATGAAAATAATTAGACGTAATGTAGCGCTGTTATTTCAAGTTGCACAGTCAATAGAGGTGTTTGTGCAGCATCCTCCCTGCCCCAAAAGCTTTGTCAACCACTTAAGATAGTGTGAAGTGGTGTTTTGATGTAGGAGATAGATGAGTTTTGGTCCGGTGCCAGGCCAGAGGATGGCACACGGTGTTCCTCACCGCCAAAGCAGCGTGTCTTGGAAAAAGTGAAACAAAAATAATGTCTATTTTCTTATTTTTCTATTTCTGTCCAGTAGAAAACCTATTTTGTCTATTTATTGACAGTACATCGGCATGTCTATTGCCACGCAAGAGTACTTATGTTTGAAAACCAAAGACTTAGTTTTTTTACTAGTGCAGCAAGCACATCTTTTGGGCATGAGTGTGTTGACTTTTCAGAACGAATGCCTGCTGCCTTGTGCAACTTGTGCTGAAGGGCGGCGCATCTCCAATGTCTGCTCAACCTCTCCGATTCATGCAGCCAGGAGGCCTCTTAACAACAAGCATCTCAAAGGAAATGTTCCCCCTATAAACTTATTCGAGTTCAGTGGGTACATTTTGTAATGGTAATACTGGAATCAGTAAACTAAATTAGCTGCTTTCTGCATGGACCTTTTAACATCCACGCTCACACACACACACACACACACACACACACACACACACACACACACACACACACGCACGCACGCACGCACGCACGCACACACACACACACACACATACACACACACACATTTTAAAGGGTAGCCCAAATAAAGAATGTAGTCCTGCAGGAGTTATGTTGGTTTTCATTATCAATAAAGTTGTCCAATAAACATGATACATGCAAACTTAAAATGTCAGAATGTTGGTTCTGCTTCTTGCATGTTGAGATACTTTCGCACATTGTTTTTTTTATAAATTCCTCTCTACTCCGTCTGGTCCCTATTGGATCAAGGGGGTAAAAAGCAACGTATAGTTCCGATCATATTATTGTTGACTATGAGCCATGACTCGTTTCATTTCCTGTACACATATTTTGTCAATTATTTTTAAAAGATACAAAAGTTCACACCCACTGATATTTTAATGTTTGGTATAAACCTCTAATTAAAAGGTAAAAACCTTCATCAAGTGAGCTGAATTTAAGATTTAGAAACACTAAATATTTTATTTTTTCAATCAATGCAATCATTGCAAAGTGTTGACATATTCTGGGTTTGCATGAAAATTGCTGGCATTTAAATTGTAGTTATTAAATTAAACACTCCCAAGATTGATTAATGTTTAAAGTGAAAATTACAAAAAAAGAATGTCCCTCTAAAAATGTCGCTCTGTTTGTTGACTGTACAATTAATTTTCCCATTCAAATAAAACAAAAAAAGCATGAATGATTTAAAATAGTGTAATTAAACCATAATATATTCACAGAACTTGTCTAATGAACCAATTCGTCACTACGGGCTTACACAGAATGTCCTAATATTATTATTTCATTGATTAAGGCGTACAGGACCATTTATTAACCCCTGGCCAAAATGTCGAAGGCTCTGGTTTGAAACACTCAAATCAAACAGACATCCAAAACGAAAACAAAAAAGTGAAACAATCAGGCAGTTTGAGCAGAGAAGGTAATCCATCGGGTGTGCCAACACCTTGATTTGGGAGAGACACCAAGTCACGTGAGCATCCCTCCACAGGACATGCCGTTCATGCTCCAGGGCTGGCAGCAGTGGTGCAGGTAGGGGTGGTACTGGTAGGGTTGCTGGTACTGCGGCACAGCCATCGGGATGTGTACTCCATTAGCCTGCTGGTACTGCTTCAGATTGTCCCTCACCAGCACTTTCACGGCCACTGTCTTCGGTGAGCCGTACGCCACCAGCTCGGCTGCCGTCTGGCGCCGTTTGGTTTTATACCTCCGGTTCTGAAACCAGATTTTCACCTGAGTCTCTGTGAGATTCAGAGCTTCCGCCAGGTCGGATCGTTCGGGGCCCGAGAGGTACCGCTGCGCGATGAAGCGGCGCTCCAGCTGGTAGACCTGCGCGTGAGAGAAGGCCGCCCTGGAGCGCTTCTTCGTCCCGGGCCTGCACTGCTGCGCGTCGGGGGAACAGCTGGCCGCCTCGCCGCTGTGGTGACATCCTTCCTGCGCGCCCTCTGCCTCCCCTGTCTGCCGCGCGGCGTGCGGCTGCTGCTCTGCATCGCCAAAGGGACAAGGAAAGAGATGACATAAAGCGTTTATTTCTGCGAAGGTGGCTCAAAGCACCACCTGGTAGATGGACCTGGTGCAGATGTTGGCCGTTGTGAGGTTTTCCTCCGTCAGTATATTGGGAAATGGTGAATGAATGCAATCATTGCAAATGCCGCTAAAAACATGTCATCACACAGTTTATAAAAAAAAAGTTGAATTGCGCAATTTTTAAAGTCTAATCTAATGAAAACAAACGAAATTGACAATGTATCGTCAATGTGCGCTGCGGTCTTTACAATTCCGCACTGCCAATTGGAATACAACCGCTCACCTCCGAGCTCGGTCTCCGGTCCCGTGGCCTCTTCGCAGTAGGTGTGAGATCGGAGGTGTCCGATGGAGAGCCTGAGATCAGCAGGACGTATTTCCGCCTGGATGCGGTTCTCGTTCGCGTTTGGATGAGTCAGTTCGGGGACTCTCTCGGCGCGCCCGCTGAATCCGCGGCGCTCCGGCGCGCAGAGCTCCTCCGTAAACCCGGTACCGAGCTTCTCCCGGGCGTCACGTCCCGTGAGGATGTCTTTGATGGAGAAGGACGAAAAGCTTAATGTCATGATTAAAACAAGCGCACGGGATATTTCCTCGCGCTCGCGTGTGAGTTATTCGGAGGCATGGAGAGATCAGTCCCCGGCGATTCGATCGTTTCTCCGCTTGCCGTGGTTGTTTTTCTAATTTGATTGTGGTCATCTAAGTCCGGCGTGCTGAGCGAGCTGCACCGGGAGCCGTCAAGTCCTTTAGAAACATCTCAACAGAAGCTTCTGTTAACCTTTTTTCTCTGCCTGGTCCCTCCTCCGCAACGCCCATGATCCACGCTGGCCTCCACGCTATCTTGAGTCCGACTGACACATATTTAGTAGAAGATGTATTCCACTTTGGTGACGTGCTTTTTATGAATTCGTTGCGTTAAACAAAAACAATATTGTATTTTAAAATTGTTTAATGTGTTAGATCATGCTCAAGGAGATGGACACTGTTGGTTATCTCAGTCACCTTGGATATTGGACAAGAGGGAATATTATCGAATAATTGTTTCAGCAACATATTTATATGTGATATGTGAATCCAGCTCAGCAAAAGGCTTTCAGAAGCTTCCAAAATCCTGATATGAAGTATTATACCAAGTTTTGCTTCCAATCGTGTATTTTGTACTTTTAACGCACAGTTCTAAATGGCTCAATATGGCTACATTTGCTCCCGCGCGTCACTTGTATGTAACATCCGACACTGCGAAGCTCAGGATTTGCTCCATGCACACAATTGTCGATATTTTTTAATCAAACACCTACGACGTTTTAAATATATTAATCTGACCTTTTTGGAGACCGCGATGTTTCGTTCAAACAGGCGCATAGCGCCGCCACGTGGTCATGTCTATAAATATAGAAAGCAGAGAGGTTGGTAAGAAGAAAAGATGGTAAATACCCCCCCCCCCCCCACCCCCCCCCGGTGTAAAAAATCCGGAATAAGAGGGGCTCTCCCGAAGAGACCGCGAGACAAAAGCAGGGGCTCTCCCCCCCCCCCGGTTTTTTTTGGTCTTCTTCCTCTGACTAAACAGAAACATTTGTGTTTACCACAGAGCGCCAATCGGCTCCAGCGTCTTCATGTGAACCAATGGGAAGACCGCCGGCATCCTCGCACCTATTCAACGTTTTAGAAGAGCTGTTTCCTTTTGTATAGTGCTTATATGTGACTGTTGTGTTCATGTCTACACACGCGAATCCGTTTGTAAAAGTATCTGGACTATATGTGGACATGTTGGTGTGATTGTGCGTACACGGCTTCCACATTCCAGCCCGATTTATTCATTGTGCGAAGCCGCTGGTTTGTCTTTTATGTTCTAGAATATTAAATGTAATTCATGTAAAAAAAAAAGAAGTGTATATATAAAGAGCCTATAGCCCAGCGTCTCCGCGCACTTTCCCTCACACATTGGAGGCCCTGCTTCCTCTGGGCTCCTTGAGTGGTTGCCATTGGAGACTTTGTTTTGGGGAAACTCCGCGCTCGGCGCGGCGATGATCCGAGCTGCTATCTTTGGAGGCGGCAGATAGCGATCGCAGCGCCTGTCAGAGCCGCCGCGGCCAGGGCCGCGTCCTCAGGCATCGCCGTCCTGTCGCCAGCTCTATTTACACGAGGGACTGCGCAGCACTTAGAGCTGACACCAGGTATGTCCCACACCGGCAGCGCAGTAGCCAGGGGAAGTGGCCCAGTGAGGCTATCAGAGGAGACAAACACTCTGTTTACGTTGCCATTCATCTCCATCAATGGCGTCTGCGTATTCCACCATGCCTGGGAGCTTGAAGGTGTCTGCTTAAGTCCAAATCTCCAATTGACGGCGTGTGTGTGTGTGTGTGTGTGTGTGTGTGTGTGTGTGTGTGTGTGTGTGTGTGTGTGTGCCCTCGAGTGTAAAGTGAGGGGAAATGTGGGTAATTATTATCATTGTATAGACAATTCTAAACTAACCGGCGATGTGTCATTTAAATATTAGGATTATTTGGAATATGGATTGAAAGTGTTATTTTAAATAACACGATACATGTTTTACTTAATTCAGTGTCATACCGTGATGAAATCTTTTATTTTGTTTTTTTAGCAACAATATGTATCATCCAAAGTTGTGTGAGTCTCCGCTCTGTGGGTCCCGGGGATGTTGGCTGTCTGGTTAATGTCCATCTGTGAATCCTGACCGGACATTAGCGCGCCTCTAAATTCTCTCTGGTTCTGGTTCTTGTCTCAGACCAAAGTCTAACACAAGCTTTTCTCACAGGAAAAAAAAACGATTTTAGACGATGAGAAACCACGAAGATTAGTTTAACTCAACATGAATTTATTTGAGTTTCTCGTGCGGGTTATTATGAGGGTTGAAATGTAGCACCTGCTTTCAAGCAAAATCACAAACGTGTTATCGGGGCTTCATTTCTACATAAAAACATTGCTACTCAGTCGTTCAAAGTACATAAAAACAGTCACATATCATTAGGTTTGTTGTATCATTTACTTTCATCTTCAGGGAGAATAATCAGCATTAATTGTAAATTGTGGCCGTTTTAATCAGTTAACATTGGCAGTCTAAATTACTTTTAGAGTAGAACAAAGGTTGCTGGCCAAAAATAAATCACACTAAATAAGGAAAAAGCTTGATACCTACGCATAATTGGGCTTTAGTGGTCTATTTTGTTATTAATTGCAATTGATTTCCAAGGCTCTAATTGAGTGTATGGGCCTTAAACCCATATGTATTTATTATGTATATACAGCTTCATTTTATTTTTGTCAAACATTTCATCCATTCTGAACCAAAAGGCCACATTATACAACACACAGTCAATCCAAAAACAGCAGGTAAAAATTATATTTCTAAACATTGTGGCTCAGAGGGAAATTGGCATATACTATATGGTTCGTGTCTCATTGGGTTCTATACGCCCCGAGCTCAACTTCTTGCGTTTCCGAGTTTTGAATTTGTCTTTTGTTGCATTGACTTGACCACGTTTTCCTCGGTAGAGTCCTTTTAGCCAATCCCAGTTCACTCTCCCGGTTATCATCGCGCGTAAAGGCTCACGCTACCATGCCCGTATGCCCTGCAGCGTCCCCTGGCAGGGTGTGACCAGGGTTCCTTGGGGCGCCGAGCTTTGCGTTTGTGCGCCGAGGTTTCCCAAATTCATGTTCACAAAAGCGTTAGCGGGAGGGTTGTTGTGCGGCAGGGCGGGTAAACTGGAATACGTACAAGAGTACGTGTTAGTGTACACCGAGTTGTTGTAGCTGTAGGCCGGATAGCCGTTGTAGCCGTACGGGCTCGGGGCACCGACTGCGTAAGAAGTGTTGTAGTTCTGAGATCCAGTCAGACAAGGCCGCCCGTCCCGGACCAGCACCGGCACAGCCACCCTCCTGGGCGGCGGGGGCGGCGGGTGGTGGAGGTGGTGGTGGTGGTGGTGGTGATGGCCGGCCATCTCCAGACTCTTGTCCTGCCGCTGCCTCTTGCATTTGTACCTCCTGTTCTGGAACCAGATCTTGACCTGGGTGGAGGTGAGTTTGAGCGAGCTGGCCAGGTGCTCTCTCTCCGGCGCGGACAGGTACCGCTGCTGCTTGAAACGCCGCTCCAACTCGAACACCTGAGCCTGGGAGAAGAGCACGCGGGGTTTCCTCCTGGTCCTCCGCTGCTTGGCGGTGGGTTGCTCTGGATCCGGGTCCTCGCCCTCGCCCTCCCCCCGCAGCGCACCGCAGTCCTCTTGCGTGGGGGAGACACGTTTAAATGTCAATTACAGGGACAACAAGATCCAACGCGCCATCGAGTCCCACTAATATCCGCATAAATTAATTTATTGAAAATGTTTTTCTTTCTTAAAATGTAAATTAGAAATTGGGAGTGAGGGTGGAAAATAACGCATTACTCATAATTTGGATGGTTTCCAAAGCACAATATTTAGCTTGGAATTTGAATTTAAATATGTATTTTGAAAAAAAGAATAAAATGCACTGGATTGGAAATGTCTTAAGCCTTTTTGCAACTTGGCCGAGATAAATAATAGAGGAAAACGTTAAGGACTGAAAATAATTTCCCAATTAATTTGACATTAATTGACATTAACCATTTTTAGAGCTTTGGAAATTAAAGTTGAAACTAAATCATTCGTTTTATTAAGATTCTTCTGATTTTATTTTAGCTTACTGCACATTTATTTTGAAAAAATGTACATGTAATTCATGGGTTTATTTCCAAAGAATACTAATCACTTCAGATATAAAATCACTTAAATGGCTTCAGCTATTAGCGAATGAATAATTTGTACATTTGCAAAAATAATAGCAATCTTTAATTTTCATATCATTTGTAACTCAAAGCTTAGCAGTTCATTCACCTATTTGGTGACTTTATTTTAATTTTATACATAACCAACAAATGACAACGCATACGTATTTCTCCAGCCGGTTTGGAAACTTAAATGGAAGCCTAATATTTTACTTTCGGAAGAGAGGACGATATGCTGATAAACGAAAGAATCTCTTCTGTCATCTCGGTCCGTACAACTCTACAATTTATACCAACAAAGATGATGATCATCACCGTCACCAATATCATCATCATCATCATTATCATCTTCATCCTCATTGGGGATGAACATCATTGTACTCACTGCTATCGCGGTCTTCCTGCTCGGTCCCCAGCTGGAGGTCCGGGGAGCGGTTCTGCGCCGGGTTGCCGAACATCTCCGCGGGCAGACCGGACTCTGCCAGTCGGTCCTGAACCGTGAGCGTGTTGAGGTACGACATCCTCTCCTCGCCCTCCGAGACACCGGAGCTAATGGGACTCGGACTGTCCCTTCCAGCCAACATGCAAGAGGGCGGAGAGTGAGAGCGGAACGGTTTATTTGGGAAAGCTCCCGGCTGTGAAAGCGCAGCGGAGAGACCGAAGCAGGAGATAAACTGGAGCTGGTGCTGCTGAGACTGTTGCTGCAACTCCAACTTCAGAATATCCTTCACAGAAAAAGGCGTGGTGGAAGAAGTTACGAGCTGGCTGGGAAGCATTATCACCACTATCGGAGGGATGACAGATAACGGATGGTCAACGGGGCCAAAATTGGACCAATTTGTCTCCGAACGGCGCGTAAAAGAAGTGAATACCGCGTGCGTAGGCGTGAGGAATGGCGGTGCAGTGCGTGTTCTTCGTGCAGGCGGAGGTGGACTGGTTTTCTTTCAGCTGTGACATCCCTCTCCCTCGCCTGCGTGTCTGTGGCTGAAGGGCTGCAGCGCAGAAAGAGAGAGGTCGATCCTGTTTGGTCGCCTCAATTGAGTTATCTGCAAAAAGAGCTGGGTCAGCCAACATGCTGCCCTCTCCCTTTCAGTGACGTCCTGCAGCGGGGGAGGGACCCTTCTCTCTCTCTCTGTCTGTCTGTGCGTGTGTGTGTGTGTGTGTGTGTGTGTGTGTGTGTGTGTGTGTGTGTGTGTGTGTGTGTGTGTGTGTGTTTAAGACATAATTCCTCATTTATAAAATTATATCACTTTCGATTCCCCTCAGAACGTTTATGGTGTTAAATGTTTTGCAGTTATTTTTTTTAAATATGTTTTTTAACATAAAACCCTATCTGAAAAGGCAGCACAAGAGCCCTTTTAATTGTTGTTAAACGTTTGAACACCCAAATCCTTTTCGTTATTACAAAAAATGGTTTGAGATCATCCAGTAAACTCGAGTATGTTTAATTACTCCGCTTGTCTCTGTTTAATTGCCACAAAACATCACATTTCTTCACATCATCACTACAGTGCTTTTAAGATTAGGCATATCTTCGTTTCCTGCCTCAGCAATCCATGGATAAGATAATATGCCGCAACTGTGGGAAGTGAGATAAAATTGGCAACCGAAGGAGATATGAAGAAAATAAATGTAGTGCTTCATTTATTTCTCCTTACTTTTAAACATTTCTAGGGTTATTTTCCTCCAACATTTGGCTACGATGCCTTCCCTTGACCTCGGGTCAGTATTTATAGCAGAAAGCCATGGGTAAAACGTCCAAGACTGTTTCCTAAATGTGTTTGGTTCATCTCATGTGCAGAAACGAGCAAAAGCATTATTTTAATTGAAACGGTTGACTTTTTAAAAAATCCCTTCGAATACAAATAATACAACCTGCTTTAAAAAGTCACACGTTTAGTTCTAAAACGTTATTTATTGTGACCTTTTGACTCCAGTCACGGATTATCTTCATCAAACTATTACCAACTGTTTTTTTTGTTTGTTTTTTGTAATAAAAAATAATAGATGAGCGAAATGTGTTAAGAATCTGTCTTCGGGAATTGTACCTGTGTGTCAAAGGGCAAACGCGCCGTAACGGGACACCTTTCCTCTGGTGGCCTATCATGTGGCCAAGTGCAGGCGCCAGGGTCTGAAGGCCCATTTGCTCCTTAACCGTGTGGAAAGAAAAGGAGGGCATGCCGACATAATCTCATCCGCTCACCGTCAACAAGGTGCTGTTTAGATTAGGCCCAGAAGTCTTCCCCTTTTTTTCGGGGAGATCCATGTCTTTTAAAATGATCCGTTAGCGAGGAGAAGCACGGTGAAGGCATTCGCTCTGCGTTAGTGTACACAGGGCTTTAGCCACGGGCCTGTTCCAACCCCCCCGCTGAAAAAGAGTAGAGAGAAATGGAGATTATGGATGTTAAGTTAAGATAGCGCCTTGGAAAAAAACTACACTTAAATACCTAAATGTTTTGGGCTTTGTCCAGATTCACTAATAAAGACAAAGCAGGTCATTCGAACAACGTCGATGGTGATTTTGCGCGTTGTACTAAGAATATATGAGGTCCAAACGGGAATATATTGACTCGTAAAATAGGCATAAAGGCAATAAATCTGTTCAATCTTTCCCCAAATATTTACCCAGTCCAGTTTATTGGGTGCAATGATTCAAAGAGACAACAGTCCAAACACGACATAAAGTGAAAATAGCCGAAGAGTTGAAATGATTGAAATGAACAAATGATCCTGCTGCGAGGTCTCAAACGCTTTTAAGAGACTAATATGAAAAAAGTGCGATTCATATTAACTCAAAGCGCCATGGCGCAGTGCCGCAGGTACCTGACGACCTAATTAAACTTTCAACCCTAAACGTGCGCGCACGCGCACACCGTCTCGCGCGTCCCCGACCGACCATCACCTTCAGAGGTCCTCGCGTGCCACCGACGGTCCGAAAGCGGCCGAGCAGAGAAGCGTGTTTACTGAGCGGAAGAGTCTGTTTCCTGCCTGTAACAAAACACGACTGAGTGTCAAGGAGTCGCTCGGATGCCAAATTGCGACCCCCCCCCCCCCCCAACATACATCATCTTCATTTAAAAAATCATCGTGATAAACTGGGCAAGGTCAAGCCCACGGGAGGCATCCGCACGGACAACGCATCTGTTGGACTCATAACAAAGACAAAAATAAATTATTTTTTCCACTCATGGCACATTTCAGCGATTCCTTTGCAACACACTGCTTCTTTAAAGTCCATGTCTCACCAGGTTAATTCTGAACGTGTTTCGTCTTGTTTCCACCATCTCTCCATAGCCCTGGCGGGGCCGACCTGTCTGCTGGGAGGCGGAGTGGCAGGTGTTTACTCTCATCATCGCTCGCTGGCCCACGACACAGATGCATGTGGGGCTGAGATGTTCTGACCTCCAAACACAGGAGGAAAGTCTGAAGACTCGGTAATGACGGCAATAATCTTTCCCTCTTTGCTTCTGTAGAGCCGAGAGGGCCATCGACATATCTGACGCTTAAGGAAAGCGTGCACCATCGGCCTGGTGCACTGTACATGTGGAGCCCTTGTGTGTGTTTTGACTTGACAGGAGCACTTAACACCTTCCTACAAAGGAGCTATTGTTGTTTACAGCAGCAGCATGAGGAAGTATTTTTATCCATGCTGTGCTCGAAGCCGTGCTTTGGCTATAGGACCTTTTCCCCAGCATTTTGCATTGGGAGAGCATGTTGCAATGTGGAAGGCGTGAAGCCACAAACATTAGAGGACCATAACAATGCAGAAGAGAGCACAATGCAGAGTTCACGTGCCTCATTATGAACTCCCCGTTATCTTTTTATTCCATGGTCATCTGTGAGAATGGCATAGGACCAAACTGTTGTGTGTCAGTAATGGCTCAGCTCTCCACGGTCCCGGAAGGTGAGTCTTATCAGCAGCACATGTGATGGTGTCAGTAGCCGGGACCCAGACCGCGCTATTGTGCCCCTGCCTGGGTCCGTGTGACGGATGACAGCGCCTTCTCTCTGGAGGAAATGAGGAGGCCGGCGGGAAGCCTGGGCCCAGATTTTAGATTTTTTAGCAAAACCCCGCTCTCGCCCACTTGCCGTCGGCCCAGAGTGCAGAGTATTCCGCAATTTCAGCCGAGCGGTGCTCACTCAGTCGCATGTCACAGCAGCCCCCTCAGGGCTCATTGCGTTCAAAAGGTTAGATCCCTTAATTAGATTGTTTGTTCGACTGTGAGAGTGTGATGTTGAGTTCGAGAACCTGCTCTGTGTATCGTCGAACTTGGAGACCGAGGAAGGAGGAAGTGAGGTCAGGCCAGTCTGGGTTCCCTGCCCTCTGCCCTCCCTCGGGTCTCATAAATTAGCCTGCTGTAATTCTCTCCCAGACGGCCTTGCCCCAGCAGGTGTGTGTTTGTATACATGAGCGCTAGCGGGGGGGATGTGAGGGCCGTAATGTCTGTGATCTACGGTGTTGGGAATGGAGGAAACATGCAACCTAAATATGCTTATCCTCTCTGCTTTCACACAGGCCATGAAGATAAAGACACTGCGTGGAGGCGGGATTGACTGAATAGGAAATGTGAGCCCTGATCTTCCCTTTAGCTGCATTTAAATTCCTTCCTATTTAGCATTGGGAAACATATCCCAAATATCAAAAAGGTTGAATCAAGTTCAGCTTTTACCGGAGGGATTTTCTGCAATAGCTCAGGCGCTAACGGCTCCCTTGGGAAAGACAATGTTGTCATGAAATACAAGCATGCATGCATTTTGGCTTCAAAAGGTTAAACATCCTTGAAAGAAAATGCTACTGTCAGTCCAACAACCAGGGGGCCATTTTAATCAAAGTGACAGTTTGTTTTGGCAAACCTTCGGCTACTTATGGATACATTTAATTTTGTGTAAACTATTTCTGTACAAAACAACAAGCGATGCAGTGCCAGTGAATAAATCCCCAATGACCATCTCCCCATCTGGATTAATAAAATGTCGCATCTTCAAAGTTCATTGTAGACGTAGTCAGCTCTTTTTGCTACCTATCATGTTTTAGGCTCTATGCAGACAGAAAATAAGCACTGAGGGTCACAATTACGACGTGAGTCTTCCTCTTCCTGTCTTTGTTTCTTTGCATGCATATTTGTGTAACGCTGAGGTCTGAGAGCCGGAGTTTTGCCAAAAGAAAACATCAATCAATTAGAATAGCACACTGTAGACCTTGTGTTTGCGGTTCCACCCAACCTTATGGGGTAAAGGCCACATCAGTGAGAAGCAGTGAGTGACAAGCATATTAGCAGACCTTTATAGACATTATCATGTCCAGCGTCATGATCAAAGTCAAACCGTACATCGAGTATGTGAATGGTTTAAATTTGCATGCTTGCATAATAAATATAACAAGAGTCAATCTTCTCTTAAGGCAAAAGGGCACATACACATACTTCCCATAATGTTACTGTATCCCTTTGTTTTGTGTGAGTGGCACATGCAGTTGGAGTGTCAGGACTTTCCTCAGTTGCCCTATTTCAGCACTATAATTGTATCATTTGGAAAATTATTTGAAGATTCAATAAGAACACACTCCTTTCACTCAATTTCCAAAAAACTCTTGTTGTATTTACAGAGCGCGCAGTGTACACGTCCGCATGCACCAGAAACAAAGGCACAGATCATGTCCTGATGCATGCAGACATCAAGTAAAGCACACACAGCCGGGTGCACGGCAGACACACTCGGCGGAATGCGGTCGGACGCACACAGCACTGATGTCTGTTATTGCGTGCACGCTCCATCACTCATTTGGCTACACGGGGAGAGAGACAGGGAGGTCCTGTGCTCCTTGCTGTTGCTGTGTCTAGTCCCTTGTTAAAGAATTGATGACACCGTCTTTGGAAAACAAACAAGGCGGGGAGCTAAAAAGGTGGTCACTCACCAAAGATCTCTGACCCAGAGACACAGAGGCCATCGCAACATGTGAGCAAGCGTTGCCGCGTCCCCCTCGGAATGCGCTTGCAGTGTGCGCGCACACGCTCCTGCTTGTGTTTCAGGGTGATACCGTAGCCGGAATGCGACCGTGTCTTGTGCCTGAATGTGTGCCTTTGTGTGTTTTAGTGGCGGCGTTCCACAGCAACAATAACCTGCATGCAAAACAAAAACACTGTGATAAAGGAAACCTTGTTGGAAACACTTTCTTGTGTGTGTGTGTGTGTGTGTGTGTGTGTCATATTTGTGTGTCCTTGCTCGATGCCAAAATAAACGTTCCGCTTCTCGATGTCGATGAAAATGCAGAGAAGGGGGGGGGGGGGGGGGGGCGCCAAATGTTTTGGCTGAAGAACTCATTGACGTGGACTTGACATACTCCCCCTGTGGGCGCTGCCGGCCGGGGGGGCCGCGGCTGTCACTCCTTGGTCTGACTCACACTTCACATCACAGCCCACGCCGGGGTCCCGAGGGCCTCCCCGGTACGAACACACCTAACCCTGCATTGGGCCCCCGAGGCCTTCTTTCTGGGAGCGCAAATCCCATAATTGCCGGCTCTGACAGTGATAGCGAGGTACCCTCACCTGGTCGGAAAAGAATGAAAACATCTACTGTCAGAGACAAGCGAGGAGATGAATGGGGTGGTGCCAGTTAACACAGGACACACAGGAGAGGGAAATAGTGACTGAGTCAGTGAAAAATGGTATTAAGTTGATTCAAACTACTTTTCTAAAAAAAAAAGATTTCATTATTTAGGAAATGTTTCATGTTGCAAGTCCAGCCAGAGTATTTTCTCAAATTCTTTTTTGTTATCTTGCTTTACGTTATCAGCAAGGTGACTCATTTTCTTCCCTGGAGTCTCAGGAGTGTGAGGATCAATATCAGTTTAGAAGTTCAAGCCAAATCAATTTGTTTTTAAGTTATTTATTCATTTTTATGGCACAGGCGTTGCCCAGCCAACAGGGCACCACCAACAGAAAACATCAGCAACTATAATGACAGTAAAAAAGAAATCATTTTAAAAATACCTTTTGTAGCTTTAAAAAAGAATATAGGCACATCTGTAGCACTTATTGTGTATTTAGCACATTCAACTAAGTGGGCTTCTACACTGTTGGTGGGCAGCAATTCATTAAAGATTCATTAATATGTTTAACAACTGCTGGCTTTAAAGCACTAATACATGTGGGGAGCAACGATAGAAGACGTAAAGACAACAGTCACATTGTCCCTTTGTAACTGTAAAAAACAGTTTTGAATTTACACATCATACGCTGAACAAGGACTCATTTCTTAGTTGTTTTTTTGCTCACCTGGTCACGGCTTATCTAATGTTTTCCCTTTGTTTCGCTCTGCTGTTCTCTTCCAACTACTGAGAAAAACACATCTGTCTCTTTTGCAACAATATGCTCGACTATGTTCACTAGTTACCTCGATAACGTCATCTTCACCACCAAAACAGTAAAGGCCACACAACAACGGGCCGAATGACACCCAAACACAGCCGATGGGAAACTGCAGAGTCGGACCATGATTCTCAGAGCATTCGTCACTTTGAGCGATGCCAATGTTACCAGTAACATGGACCAGCAGGCGGCCTATTTACTCACCGTGTGTGGGGCAGCTGTGGAGTATGTAGGGTGTGCAGGGCACCGCAGGGTTGGGGGTTCGAACACCGGCTGCTCCATGTCCCATGTCAAAGTGTCCCTGAGCGAGACACCAACCTAACTGCTCCCCGGGCGCCTTTTACAGCAGCTCACTGCTCCCTCTAAGTGGGATGCGTTAAATGCAGAGAACATTTTCCTGTATGTGTAAAATAATACCTGGCAATAAAAATGGCTTCTTCTTCTTCTTCTTCTTCTTGAGCGAGCATTTGTTATTGTATCAATAGTAAAAGTACTTGTTATACAGAATGGTGCCTCTAGAGTGTGATATTATACAGTGTATCACGCCAGTGGTAAGCAGCATTGTAATGGTTAAGCCCGTGGAAGTGGAGTTAATTTGAAGTACTTTGAGTTCTGCTCAGCAGACAATGTCAATGTCTCAAATGGGTTTGATTATAAAATCACTGGTCACAAATCACACCTCGCTGGAGATGGTACAGTCTTATTGTGTTACACCATCACTAGGTTAACTACACAAACAAGGGCAAAACAATGCAACAGCCCCCGCGTTACCAGACAGAAATGTAAAAAACCCCAGCGTGGGCTTTAGCCTGAGTGCGGTATAGTATAAGTATAAGTATATGAAGCTTTTCAACAGTCATGATCCTGGTGGGCCCTCATTTATCAACCACTTCAGTCCCTGCAGACCGCTAGCGGGGAAAGAGAGCACCGTGGAGCCGGCGTGTTTACACCATAGCTCAGCCGAGGCCCTCAGGACAGAGCAGATACAAATGTTTGCTCATACTCATTCACACATCCTTACGCGCACTCGCTCAAAGCCTGTCTGCCCATATTGGGACGTGCGCCTTTGCTTTATTTAACACGGCTCTGGCAGATTTCTTGTTTTGCGAGTGATTTGATCTTGATGTATGTTTTTGTTTCACCCATAAAGTGGAAGATATTGCTGCACAACAACACCTTAGTTGAGGGCCGCGGTGGGATCGACGAGGCCGCGGCGCCATCTGCTGGTAATTCTTATTATTGCAGTAAAAATCCCCAACCACCCACTTTCAACCTTTGGCGTGTCATCTGTCAGTCATGTTACGGGGCAGTTCATTGGTCCACCGCCTCCGCGAGCGTGCGTTTCCTTGAACTTTGATCGGACGGCGAACAGCGCTGTGATTGGTCGAATCACCTTCCCGCTCTCCGGATTGGTCAATCCTCTCACACCCACGTCACGCCCCTCCCGGCTCCTCCAAGTTGAAGGTGAAAGCGCTCCCTTCGTCCTCCGCCTTCATCCTCGTGAGAGCTCGCTGCTTATTAAGTCTTTACTGAAATACACAACAACAACAACAAACAACAACCATGTCGGTGTTCTGCGAGGTGCCACAAGCAGCCCCCGTAGCTGTCTTCAAGCTATCGCAGGATTTCAATAACGACCAATTTCCCAATAAGGTGAACCTGGGAGTGGGAGGTAAGTTGTCCACTGTGAGTTTGAGCCTTTTCCATGGCAACGGTAACCGGAGCAACCCTAAATCCCCAGGTCGATGTAGCTTGCTAACATCGGGTGCGTTTTTTTTTTTTTTTAGCTTAAGACAATGATGCATCGAATTTTGAATCAGACAACTGCATAGGAAATTCAATTTTCATCGATGTACATTTTTTTTGTGATGGTTGGCTGGTATTTGCCAGCAGATAGGTCTGTACCACCCACCTGCCCCTCCGCGCAGCATTCCATAACAATGATGTCATGCAATATTTTGACAAAATATTCTTGTTATGTAATATTGTGGCACAAAGATGGAGTCATCTCTGTCCTCTCTGGTTTCCTCACCTTCTCCTTCTGCACAAAAACCTCTCCCTCTCTGTTATTTATTTATTTTTATTTTTTTACCGTTAATCTTATTAAAAGTAGTAATCCTCGCTGTTTATTATGTGAGAAACATTGCTCAGGTCTGTCATGGCAGTGTATTAACAGCACCGCTCAGCATGACACGACCGCTCGAGTCCCAGGATTAGTGCAGGAGGCTGAGGCCTCGTAATCCCCATCCCTCTGCAGGACACAGATGGTCACTATGCATGCTGGGAAATGTAGGCAACACAATGATTGGTATCGGAAAAAGTCATGAGCGGCACGCAAAACTGTCAATTGGCAGCTTTTCATCTCATTTCATGAACTGAATATCTTGTGATTTTGTTTTTTTGATATGCCCCGGAGCACATAACCAAGCCTTTCATGCCAGTGGACACAAAAAGGGAGAATATAACTCACTGTATATGATATTGAGCCTGAAAGGTACAGTGAGTTGCAAAGCAGGCTGATGGTGTCTGTGCTGAGAGTAAGACGGCTGTTGTATACTTTAGTCCTTATCAGGGAATGATAGGCAGTTGAGTTGGCTAAAACAGTCAACAGAGAAGTCAAAGTGCGTTATACGCCGAGCCGTCTTTCTGAGTCACATTTCTGTTATTGTTACCCAGGTAATGTCTTCGACTATTCTTGCTGCGTTCTTAAAATGTAATTATTGAGCCATACATCAAGGGCATGACTCACTTGTTCTTTCATTTTATTCTTCAATATTAGTACTGTAATTGGTAAAGTATAATACTTACATTATTTTTTGCAGCCTACCGGACAGATGAGGGCCAACCGTGGGTTTTGCCTGTGGTCAAAAAGGTTGAAAAAATAATTGTGCAAGATGGGAGCCTGAACCACGAGTACCTGCCCATCCTGGGCCTGCCTGACTTCAGGTCCTCTGCTTCTAAGATCGCACTGGGAGAAGACAGCCCTGCCATCCAGGAGAACAGGGTAAGTGCGTTGACACACTCAATGTTTCCATTTTAATATTATTTGATATTTAAACCACTGTCTGTTTCTGTCACTGCCAGGTAGGGGCGGTCCAATGTCTGGGTGGAACAGGTGCCTTGAAGATGGGCGCTGAATTCCTTAGTCGTTTTTACAATGGCAATAAAAACACAAAAACACCGATCTATGTGTCTGCACCTACCTGGGGTATGTGCACTCGTACACACACACACACACACACACACACACACACACACACACACACACACACAGTGTACAGAGTGGAAGCCAACGCAGAGATTAGCTTCTCATTCATGGCCTTTGACTTGTCTTATGCTTTATTCAGATGTTTAATTGCCTCAGATTACAGATTCAAGATGTTCTATTTTTAGATATGGATCTTGTCAGTGATCCTGCTTAAATGTCAGTTCCTATGTGGGACACAGTGTTTACCTCTGTATGGAGAGCAAACATAAACAATGAAGTGAGAACAATGGTGTCAGACTTTTGATTACATTGCGTTTCAGAAAACCACAACGCCGTGTTCGCCAACGCCGGCTTTGAGGATGTCCGTCCATACAAGTACTGGGACGCAGAGAACAGGGGCCTCGACTTTGCTGGTTTCCTTGAAGACCTGGAGGTAAGCTGCTTTTTGACGGGGCTAAACGGGGTACGACTTTATTTTGGGCATGACTCATTTTCATTGGGAGTTAACAGTACTTGTTCCATTTTCTGTCTCCAACAGAGTTGCCCAGAGCACTCCGTCTTTGTTTTGCACGCATGCGCCCATAATCCAACCGGCACGGACCCCACACAAGAGCAATGGATGCAGATCGCAGAAGTTATGATGGTATTGCACCCGTACACGTACATGTACACGCACACAAATACACGCCACCACATACCGTGTCGCCTCAACTATCGCTATTAACACAACCGTCAGTTCAAACAGTCACATTGTTTTGCACGCTGAATGTTTATCGCAGTATAAAGATTGTCTTATCTTTTTATTTTCTAGAGGAGGAAGCTGTTTGTGTTCTTCGACTCTGCTTATCAGGGATTTGCCTCGGGCTGTCTGGATAAAGATGCCTGGGCGGTCCGCTACTTTGTCTCCGTGGGCTTCGAAATGTTCTGTGCCCAGTCGTTCTCCAAGAACTTTGGCCTCTACAGTGAGTGAGGCCCGAGTGCTTAAGTGCTGTAGATCCCTGTAGTTTGGAATAGTTCAAGGGTGACATTCTTTGGACTGTTTCTAATCTTAATGACAGTCCTGTGTGCTTTATATGCGTAACGTTTGATAGTAGACTAAAGGGTAAAGGGTAATCTTTGGCCACATGTGCACAAAAAAATAAGTGTTTATACCACAAGCATGGAGCTAAAAAGTACAGTAGATTTGTCGGTGTTGCCACCTAGAGGTTAAATCGAGTAATGGCTACAGCCGTGTTTCATGTGCGACGTGTGTTTGTCCCATCAGATGAGCGTGTGGGCAACCTGACCATTGTGGCTCGGGACGCAGACAACCTGAAGCGAGTTCTGTCCCAGATGGAGAAGATTGTCAGGACCACTTGGTCGAACCCACCGTCTCAGGGAGCTCGCATTGTTTCCATCACTCTTAATTCACCCGAGCTCTTCACTGAATGGTACAGCACAGGATACATCTCTTCATAAAGAACACTGAAAACACTGCAGTAGTATGCGTTTACAGGCATAAAGGTAACGCTGCAGTTCTTTCTCTGTTCCTTCAAGGAAGGACAACGTGAAGACCATGGCCGGCAGGGTTTTGATGATGAGGGCTCAGCTAAAAGCTAAGCTTCAAGGCCTGGGAACACCGGGCACCTGGGAGCACATTACAGAGCAGATTGGCATGTTCAGCTTTACAGGCCTCAACTGTGAGTACGGACATACGGAGCAAGCGTTTCTACGACCTTTTGATACGTCCCTCTCGTGTTGTGTTGGTTTTTGACAGATAGCTGAGCCTTGATGAACAGTATAAACTGTCAGAAATTTTAAAAGTTGCATGTAATTTGAACACATCATGGAAAAACTTATAAAAGTGCATCACTGCTCAATGCTTACATTTCCTGAAGAGAGCCTGAACACCTCGTAACCGAAAGAAAGCCCTCTATGTTGGCTTCTACTGGCCAATTTCAGCACAGATTCATTGCTCACAGTGAAGCGTTATCAGATCGGCAGTCAAACTTTCAAACTACGAGGGCTGAGCTGTTTCATTATTCTGCGGTTTACATGCTTGCCGAACCGCGAATCCACTACGGTCTGTTACGCTTCTGTTTCCCCTTGAGACACACACATATCTGTAAACTGTAACATGGATTATCAATGAATAATGAAATCTGGTTGTGGTGTCTTCCTGCAGCCAAACAAGTGGAGTACATGGTGAAAGAGAGACACGTCTACCTAATGGCCAGCGGTCGCATCAACATGTGCGGTCTGACCAGCAGCAACATAAACTACGTGGCCGAGTCCATCCACGAGGCCGTCACCAGGGTCCAGTAGAAGACTACACTACCCAGAGTTCACAGTTCCCCCTGCAGCCCGGCGCTGAGCCACCTGATTCCAGGCACAGGGTTTGTGCTGTCTTTTTGCACAAACGTAGACAACCTGTCCTGTCAGTGTTTTGCTGAGCTATGCTGAACACTGCTTAGATCTATATCTATCCAAACGCACAAACGGGAATCATTCCTTCTCAGAATTGTGTTAATAATTTGCCCCTGTCTTTCCTGTTTTTTTGTGGTTCCCCATTTATAGTGTGTACTTTGTGTGACGTCAGAGATGTTCCAAACATAATGTTATTTTTATGTGTCATCACCCGGACCTTTGTGCGTGTCAGCCCACATGTCACTGTTTTACACTCACCGCCAGCAGTGCTGATTCATCTGGCTAAAAATGTTTAATGCGCTCATGCTGTTATGATTCATCCATTCCAAGTGTGAAAAACACATTTCCAATCTGATCAACTGGCACATGTATTTAACACGCTCATTGTAGCTTTAATCAATGGTTGATGTCGTAATAATTCACCTCTTCTGTCTTGACAGATGTGGCAGTATTAAGAGATGAGAAGTTTTCACCTTGAACTATGCCATTTAAAAATGAGTCTTTTTGTTTTGGGTTGAGTGAGCAGAAATGGCACAAAAATACACGTGTTGTGTGTCGCTGTTTTCACAGCTGAATGTTGCAGCGGGACAAACGAATGTTGAGTTGGCACACTGTTCTGTCCGTGCGTAGCACTAGTGCGCTATTATGCAAGACCCCACTGTCATGGACACAAACACGGTAATGATCAACCAGTTTGCTGCGGTACGGTGCACCAATAAACCCGGCACACGGCTGCAAATGAAGCTAATGTGATGATTATCTACACCAATAAAGAACTATCAATAGCATGTTTGTGGGGGTGTTGCATGTGTTGGAACTGATTTAATGATGAGTACGGGGGAATCTAGAATGAGTGATCGGAGCAGAGCAAACTGCAGTGTACACCGCTTATAATATGTTGACTTACAAACATCAGTTAGAGAATAAAAACAAATTGGACAAGAGTAATATAATTAGTTCAGTCGATTTATTAAGAATTAGGTAAATCCTTCTGTAGAACGTGATCTCTCTCTTGATATCTTTGGGTAAAATAGACATAGATATATATTGTATAATCTAAATTTTACATTACAAATGGCAAGTTTGCTTCTTTTTATTAGCGCACATAAATATACATACCCTAAATAAATAAATAAATAAATAAATATATATATATATATATTATATATAATATAAATATGTTAACCAACTGCAAAACCATTTAAAGCCTTCAGCTGAGAGACTTTATGATGATCCTGTTTGCCTTCCCGTTGCACGTTCCTTGTACATAGAGGGGTCAAAGCGAATTGCTGAGTACAGAGTCCTTTGTACTTACATGGACTCACCAAGCAGAACGAGGTACGTCAATGTGTGTGTGTGTGTGTGTGTGTGTGTGTGTGTGTGTGTGTGTGCGTGTGTGTTTGACGTAGGTGGTCTGTGTGTGCGTCATATTACTTTCCTCTTTCACGTCTTTCTCTTCTGGTTCTATTGGGAAATGTACCTGGCAAGATTTTTCCCCGACCTGACCTGCAGCGACGGTGGATCCCATAATCCTCTTATTATTCGGATAGTTGATCATTTCTAGAAGAATTACTTTATTGTTTTCTTCAGTAAGCAAGATGCTGTAGCCCCCACAGGAAAACTGCAGCCTTGCTTTGCTGTTTATTGCACTTATTGATTTTTCTCAAATTAAGCTTTAAATTCATTTTAAAATCTTAATTCACTTGAAATTTCAGTAGGTCAGTCGCTGCACTTTTGTGAGGAGGAGTTACTGCAGATCTTCCTGCTCCTTCATTCCTTTACTTAAGCATGCATATGGAAAAAACAGGTCTTTCTACAGGGCTTATCTCTACACTAAAAGCAGCATAAAACAAACATGCAACTACTCTTTCCACCGAGGACACTCTTTAATATCCTTCTGGGTCCCCAGACCCCAAAACCACAAGCTTACTTTTAATTGGCGTATGCAGGTTTAGTAAATGAACTTTACCTATGAAAGTTGCTAATGTGCGAGCAAACGGCATGAAGGGGGATCGCCTGCACGCTTTCTACTGGAGGAAGACAAACAAGAGGCTAATGGTTTCCTTCAGAGGTGGTAACATCAGGAGAAAAGGTAGATCATTGAGGGTGTTTGTTTTACATGAGCACAAAAACTGCCCGTGCAGCTACATATGCAGTGTGAGACGTCCACATGTAGGACAAATGCATTAATGTGGGAACGATACGTTTACTGAATGTGTGCATTCATGTGGCAGCAAAGTCATGTAAGATTATATTGCTTATATCTATTACTTTTAGTAATTCTGACACTTCTGTATAAAAAAAAGTATTTTCAAAATGGAGCGCACCTCTGAACTTGCTGGAAGTTTAGTCACAGCATATAATAAGTACTCATTCAGGCTGAGAAATAACTCATGGCTTTTTTCATAATATGGTGTAGAAATTGTGCTCTTGTCTTTTTGTTCGATGGCCGGTGGGTCTGGTGCTGTTGGCAGTAGGTGGCATCCTCATGGCAACATTAGAACGATTTCCTGTGCAAATAACATTATTTTTATGTGGGAACTGCCTCATGATAAAACAATAGTAATAAAAAACTGTTATAATAATAACATACCGGTTGGTCTAGTAAAACCTGAAATCTTGCACAGAAATGACCTTCCGTGTTGAGAGATGTGGTCGAGTCCAGGTGGCTTAAATGAGATAACATTACATATGAAGTTCCCCTGCTTACAAAAACACGAGATTAAAACCGAACCTCCATGCAGTCCAGTGTAAGGCTGGATGAATCCAAGACTGTGTCGTTTGAATTCCTCCAATCAAGTTTTTCTTTCGTACGCGTCCCGCTTCTTGAATCAGCGGTGACTTTAAGGGTGTGAGGTCAGGCAAGAGGTGGGACGGGGGGCCAGTGGGGACCTGAGTGTGACCGGTGGCCACATCACATGACATGGCTGAGTCTCTTGTGAGCGCCGAGCCACAGCATGGAGGGCGTCTACGAGGGGTTGGTTGCCTAATAAGGAGAACCAGGGGGTGATGAAGAGTAAGAAGCTTCATCCCTCCTCCCCGGTGTCACTTTGCTAGCTCGTCACTGGTGGTTGCTCTGAACCTTCCTCCAAACTCTTCTCTCCGTCCCGAGACTTTTTCCTCATCTTGTTGCCTGGAACCGGAGGAGAAATTCAGGTCATCGCTTGTTAAAACACCCGCCATCACCCGTAGCCGCATCTGATTATCTCGATATCTTCTTCCTAACATTTTTTTTACCTCCTCACATTTGTAGCTGACTGAAATAAGTGGCGTTAGAATTACCAAGCAGCACAGCTACTAAAGTAAATGAGTCAGATCTGGTGAATCTGCTCGGCTGAGAAGGCGAGGGAAGCTGTGACGGCGCGTGCGGGGGCGGCCTGTTGCATCGGTGTTTGTGACAAATGGCCTCACTCACTCAATTTGTGCAACAGTTTCTTCCCGATGTTCTCCTCCGAGCTGGACGGGGAGCTGATGAAGGGGGAGGTGGAGGGTTGGGAGTCCGTAGGCACATCTAAGACAGAACGTTTAAGAGACAAAAGGAGTCAGTCAGAGGCGATAGGGCAGATGGAGGGAAATGACCCATTCAGTGATGAGTTGTGAGCGGCCGATAAGGTGAAACAGCATCTGGAGTAACTGTTCTTTCAATTGGAACAATGTTATTCATTAAGCGCTTCATACATCTTGTTTTTTAAAGTTAGAATTTACAGAAATTATTTAACTGTTGAGTTTTAACTAAGCCTTTTTTCCTTCGCACACCTCCACTCACTCACCATTCTCCCCATAATCTTCTGGCGGGTCCTCGTGGATGTAGGGAATCTCATCCATACAGAAGAACACCGTATCATTTGGACTCCTCTGCCCGTCGGATTTACTTCCTGCGAAGAGGTTAAAGTTAAATCATCAGCCTTCGACCGCCTGCGATCGTCCACACTACAGCTGCTGGTTTGGAGCTGTGCCTGTAGAGGGAGGTAAAGAACTTTCTATTTGCAGGGCGATGGCTGTTTGAGGGCCCAGTACGTTTTAAATGATAGTGGATTAAAGGTTTCAATTCCAACCAAGCGTGAGCTGCAACCAGTGGATGAGATTTAAAAGGTGAAATCTCTTGTTTGTGAAAATGAAACCTGCCCGTAGTTTTATAACCGGATGCTACGCGTTTCTTGACAATCGGCAGAACCATCTGTGCAGGGATTTTTCTTAATGACACCGTCGCAAAAACCGGCTGGCGTGACGCACACATTGTTAAACAGATGGGATGTGGGAAACCAGTACACATTGGATGATGCCATGTTTGTACCAGTTTTGCAAGTGAGTCGCTATGTGTGTTAATCTATTGGGGATAGATTAAACTTTCGGGCTGGAGAAGCATCAAAGCTTTTCCTTATTTAATCACGTCATTGGTCTGAACAGCTTTTTCCCCCCTTGTATCTAATTATAGATTTCTCCTGACCCAGTTCAGCTTCCATACTCCCCCGTCGCTCTGCATCACATTCACCTCTCAGACACTCCCACCTCCCCGCCCCGTCACGGCTCCGCCCCCTTCATCTGTCACTCACCCAATCAGCTCATCCAGTGCGCCCATTAGCTACACCCACCTCATCGGCCCAATTCCTCTCACCTGCCCAGTCTCCTTCATCATTTAAACACCAGTCACACACTGCCAGGCGATGGCTAAACACATCAGGGCTGCTGTTATTGTAGAAACTAAGTGATTGGGAAAATGTTACAATAAATGAATGTATTTAAGAGAGATTGGAGGAACGATGGTATTACTTTGACTACATACATTGCCATGTTAGAAAATGTTTCCATTAGCATTTAGGCCGTACATTATCTGTGCTGGAATCCACACAGGAAGTAGTCTCAGTAATTTAAGGACCTAAATCAACTCCCCATCATAACGTGAAGACAACATGTCCGCGCCACTTACGGACGATCCGGTTTCTTTTATTGAGCTTGGAGGTGTTGCGAAGGCCACCGTGGGGATGCAGGTGTGCGAGGCGTGCCAGCCCCAGACGAGTGTGCGTGAGGGGGAGAGCGATGCTGTGTGAGCGGACCTCCGGCACGGCGCGCCTCCCTTTAGCATCAAGATCCAACGGGTCCGGTGTCTGAGGGGAGCTGTCCATCCTGCTGGCCAGGAGGGCGTTCTGGTAGTGGTTCCTGGTGATCTGTTGGAATACAGAAAGCTGCAAAGATCTGCATGCATGGCGGCGTGTCTAACTCCTAGTGCGCGTTGGCCCGGGAGGAAATGTGGACTCCATTGGGTGGACGGGGAAAAGAGAGAGCACGGCCATTATTTAAGGCTCAAATATTCACGGTTGAAATGGAGCTTGGTGATTAAAGGAGAGAGGAGTGTGTGGAGGGCGGAGCGAGAGACAGGATGGCTGCGTTCATGGAGATCAATGGGATTACAACATATCAAAGGCCAGCGCTGCAGCAGAGGAAGAGCTGCATTCATGGGACATTTTTTAAAGTGCACATTCTTGCTTGTGCTCCCATTTTTTGCCTTTTTTTCTATGTAACTTAGTTTGTGTGTAACCTTAATGATCTGCAGGTCTGTGAGCTGTCGGACAGAGTAGTCCGGTAAGTAGACCCCTCCTCCTGTAGGGAGCTGTCCCACGCTGCCACTCAGGAAGGAATCTGATCGGTTGAGGCCACTGCTCCGGGAACCATACCTCGGTCCTTAACAGAACGGAAGCAGAAAACACACTTTTAGCTGTGTATTTCTACATACATACATACATTATCTCCATTGGGTCGAAACCAGTCAGAAAGTAAGACATTAGTTGACAACTTTATAAAAATACTTTTGGGATTTTCAGCACTTGAAAGTAAAATAGATTTATTGTGTCCAATTTAGTGAGCATTGTTTTTTTCACAATCCCATAACATGCCCACAGCTTACCTCTCAATCTACAGTATATTCTGTTGGTGTCATACCTGCCGAAATCTCATTTTTGACTTAAATGACATGCTATACAAGAGCAAGTCAGCACATCTGCACTCCTATGATCACACTTTTAAAAGGCCTTTACTCTGCACGGTTTTGAATTAAACAGTAAAGAAAATGCTTGAGATGTAACAGCTGTGCAGCTCCTTAAGAGAGAATTTTGGATTCTGTAATGTCCTAAGAATGGATTCAGCTTGCTTTAGTTTACCCAGGAGAGAGAGAGAGAGAGACGCTTTCTGCAGTAGTCTTAGATGGATTTCATATAATCCTGTGCAGGTCATGTCCTTCCACTGGGAAATTCTCTGAAAATCTCTTTTAATTACTTCCCACGGCTGCAGCTGCTTTTGACGTGAGATTTTAGCAGTAAAAACGTCACTGCATTAATTTACAGTCATTTAGTCATCATTGTAAAAAAACGTTGTTACATTGTTTCTTGTGTTCAATAACTTACCAATAGGCAAGGGCGAGATGAGTGCTGGCATGCCGTAATAGGAAAACGCTCCGTTTTCGAAGCGGAGAGCCTCTTTTCCTATCTCTACCTCCACCCGTCCCTGCAAACCACCAAACCATTTACAAACATAGCTAGACGCTACCGGTGTGACACAATACATCAGCAGCAAAACAATTACAAGCACAGAAGATGATACTGCTCCATAATGAATCTATCGCTCCTGTTACGAGTGTTATTTTATGGTTTAAAAAGCAGAAGAAGGTGGATTGACCTGCAGAATGAGGACAAAGAAGTCCACAGGTTTGTGTCTCTGGAAGAGGTAGTGTTGAGGAGCGTGTTTGTTCTTGGGGTTGAACTTGAGGTCCTGCACAACACTGGGATGTTTGATAAGATGCAGCAAGATCTTCTCCGACAGGTGGCACAGCCTGAAAGGCTCCACTTCTGCAGGATAAATGTACACACACCCACACACACACGCAAATTAGATGTCCTTGTCCTGATTGTATTCTGCAATCAACTGCGTGCAACCACATGTACGCGGCAGCTATGACACACACGCAATGTTACCTGTTGCCAAGAAGCGGTGCGTTGCCAGCAGCAACTGGGGCGAAATCTTCACATTCATCTCATTCTCTGCCAGTTTGAAGATAGAAAAATCCTGCAGTTTCTTCTCGTGGTTGGACACGCGTCTTTTGTTCCGATTATCCGCTATCGGCAAAGAGATTGAATATCACAAAGGAAAGCCGGCGCTAATTTCACATATGATAATTCTTAGTTTGTAGGTACAACAACTTATTCTTGTTACCACTACAATAAGTAGCTACTTTGAGGTGTCACTGACCTCCTTAGTTTCTACAGATTTATTAGTAAATGTATCTCCAGCAGCAGAAGACGTCTGATTGATTAATGTATTTATCCTCTGTCTGCAGACGCGAGGAGCATACATCCCATTAAATACGTTGCAGCTGCAGCAAGAACAGCTGTTGCTGTAAAAGCCTGAAGTGCAAATTCCGGAGGGATTAACTCCCTTGTGCTGCATGTACAGTACACACGGAAGTACAGTCTGCACATTTTATCATTTTAACAGCAAGTGCACCAATGACTGCAAACTTCACAATTGAATTTCGATGGCTTATGGGATTTGTTTTTGGAAGTTACTTCCCCACTTGTGTGCAAGCACTGCTGTACGATCCAAGGAGGGAAATGAAAGCATGGAGCAGATTAAATATGAAATGAAGGGAGTTTAACATTTGACTTCCTTTCTGCTGAGAGCCTTCCCAACTAATTAAAGATGAGCGGATTATGGTGATTATCTGTGAGACTGGAACATTGATTTGCGTTATTTAATTATGCATCAACAAGAAGCTGGGAGCCACAGAGGAGAGAGCTTGGGATCAAAAGTTTATTGAGAAAACCGGAGAGGAGATGGTGGATTGTATATTCCGTTATTCTATAAATGCTTATCATTTTAAAAAGTGCTAGTTGCAACAGCCATAAATATGACCGTGTACTGCATTTGTTGAATTGAGCATTTCTCAGTGATGTTCTGAACCACGCAGCTGAACAAACTCAGTCAGCTGCTGTGACAAACTGAGAAAAAAATCTATTCACTGTGGCAACTGGAAATATAATCAATTGATTCACATTGAATGCACCAGTGTCCTAATCCGCTGATTAAAGCATCACACTTACTATACAGATCCGTCTCATCCACGATCTCCGACTTGATGATCTCTTCTATGACGTCCTCCAGCGTGACGATGCCCATCACTTCATAGAAGGGGTCCCCCTCACCTTCGCTGTTCACCCTCTGCACCACGGCCAGGTGGGACTTGCCTGCGATCATCAACCAAAAAAAAAAGGGTGAGTGTTTTCACAATGTTGGTTTATGCTGAAAACTGCCAATGCAATTGGGTTGAGAGTCAACAGACTGCAACTGGATCTGTGCAGAGATGCAAGTCAGCATTATTTCACCAACAGAAGCTGAAAGGCCGCAAAACACGAGAGAACTAACTAAGAGCTGGAATATGACATAGTTCGTATTCGGCCCGTGTGTGTGTGTGTCTGTGTGTGTGTGCCTCAGACGGGGAGAAGGTAGCTATTGGGGATTATGGTAGAGACCCTTTGACAGTGATGAAGACTCGGGCCCTTACGTAAACACGGAGGTTATGCAATCGGTCCGGGGATGCCTACATCTGCTGACTAAACTGCCCGTGCTGCTGCCACCCCTGTAAACACACAGACACACACTTAACACATCCATGAGCAAACCCGGCACTCCCTCTCAGTAAGCGTTAGGCGTAACGTGACGTGGCTCCAAGGCGCAATGACAAAGGTCGCCAGCAGGGTCTCCGGGACGAGTCGATAAAGCAAATGTGACAAGAAGACGCCGCCACAGTTGAACATCACCGAGAAAGCTGAGCAACTAAGCAGAACACATTCACGGTTTATTGTGACACATGACTTTTGATGTTCGTCTCACCAAAAAGCCTACAGATATTAACATTAAATCTATGTACTAAATGCACATTTCTTCTTTGTCATCGCACATTTCATCCCACATCGAATTAATCATCTCTACCACCTTTCTTGGACAAAATCAGTGGCTCATATGAGACGGGCAGATTTGGGGGATCACTGCCTGGCAATAAAATGGATCAAATACTTTAATCCACTGCGACGAGACCAAAAAAATCAGACTGACTGACAGGCGGCCGTCTCCGAACAGGAAACTCTACGGTGAGTGCAGCTTCTCCGAAGAGCTCAGGTGAGTCACAGAGTCGCATCTGCCTTCAGCTGTGAAGTGCCTGAGCACTGCATTACATCACCCAAATGTTACATAAGACCGTCGCAGCCTGACACACACTTACCACACTCACACACACACACACACACACAGGCCCGCGGCAAAACTGGATCTAACATAGATGTCCTTTTTCTAAATGTTTCTGCTCCACCAATTTCCCAAACTCCTTCAGCGAATGTTTTGTTTATGAATGCAATCGTAATACACTTGGAAATGATGTATGGTTTCTATTACTTTTTTTTCCTCTCCCTGTTTCACACACGTGCATACAAGGCAGCAACTTATGCACACTCCTATATATAGTTACTGTTAATATTATTTTACATTTGAAATGTATGATCTGTTTATAACATGCGGTTGTTGATTAAGCTTTCCAAAAGCAATTAAGATCTACCCTAATTAACTACAAAATGACATGTTAATGCCGTTAGAAACATGACTGCATACTGTAATAATGTAATAGCGACTGGAGCCATTCATACTAAACAAGAAAAAATAACCTCAATGCGGCTCCCACCACTGATGGAATATTTCACCCCAACGCCATGAAAGCATAAATGCAGTAAGTAAAGAGCATATAGAACTCTATGTTCCACTGATAGGTGTGTTTTCTGTCCTCTCTGGTGACATTTACGTCCTTTTCTCCAACACAGACCCCCTCCCCTTTTCCCTCCCTCCCCCCAAGCCCAGTGAGACGTCCCCACAGCTCCCAGTCAGGCTTCCTGGGCAGCGGGAGCCTTTAATCCATGCAAACAGGAGGTGAGAGGGGAAGGGAAAGGTCGGAGCTGAATTTTTCATGGTTTGCTCTGCAGGTTTGGATGGCGACGACCCGCAGAGTGAACGAAGCTTCAAAGTCCTCCACAGGCAAACAATTAGTTGCAGACACTCAACGTAAAGGGGAACTTTCTACCTAAGCGTATAAATAACACAAAAGAAAGAAACGCTGGGTCGGACTGGGGTCAATGGATCACTGGTGTCAGACCAAAGCTATCCTTCTTAATCCTGAACAAAATAAAGCCGTAGACCTGGTGACCTGTAAGTGGCATTATAATTTATATCCCTGCCAAGGTCTCCACAGTGTCCCCCTTTCACGTTCTAATCAGAGTCACTTCTGCCTGACCGACCGCGATTGAGCTCTCTCTGTCAATGAAACAGGTTTACATCCTAATCCCCCCCCCCCCCTCCAACGTAAGCCAATGTCAGTGAAATCCTTACATAACAGCCACTCCAGCAGCCTCTCATATGTCTCCATTTTACCGCGTGACAGTCGGACGGGGAGCGGTTTGAGCTGTTCAATGTTATCATCCAGACTGAACGGGGTGAAGCGACACGCGTCTTTTAAAAGTAGTGAACATGAACGCTATGAATGCACTTATCGGCAAAGACGCTTATCAGCCCAAAGATGTGTGAGCCAGAGAGGGACAGATATTATATTCATTGCCTCTGACGTTGCAGCTGGTGCTGCTGTCTTGCTAAATTCCTCGTTGACATTACTCTAAAGTGCAGATCTGATAACGGCTGCACTTTCACAACCTACATTTTCAAGGTGACCCCATTCTGATCCTTGGTAGCCTCTTAACTGTTTTTTGGCGGGCTGAACCAGGCTCACTGTGTGACACAGTCTCAGATTTCACACGAGGCTCCCGCTGCTCTCGGGATCAAAGAGCTGAACTGGCCCCTGGGAGCCAGTCGACTGATGACTTCTGCACTGAAAACAAGGTCACTTCAAAAACATTTGAAGGAAGCAGGGGGCAGCTTTGAGATTGTTCCAAGATATCTATATGGCGCCTCCCACCCTCGGGCACTGACATCTCGCTCATAAGTTATAAGTTCGGCAAAAACTAAAGACACAACTGCCTGCAGAGTTCTTCTGAGCTCTGGAAGGATTTCAAACGGAGTTACCTCTCTTAAATTCCTCCAGCATCACGTCCAGCTTGGTGTCATTGAAGACGCAGTGCATGGGGTGCTTGTAAAACTGAGTGATTGTTTTTAGGGGAGTGCAGTCGTCTGGATCGACGAAGGCCAAGTCTTTGACAAACAGTATGTCCACGATGTTGGACCTCTCGTTCTCGAAGACTGGAATCCGGGTGAAACCGCTCTGCATCACGTCCGACATGGTGCAGAAATCCAGCGTGGCGTCCGAGGACACCATGTAGCAGTCCGACAGCGGGGTCAGCACGTCCTCCACGGTCTTAGTCCTCAGCTCCAGCGCTCCCTGGATGATGTTGAGCTCCTCTTTGACCAGGTCGTGGTACGGATCTGTGACGCGCAGCATGGCCACCAACTTCTCCCTGGTGTAGAAGCTGCTGATCTCTTGGTGCAGCAGGAGGTCAAGAATTTTTGAGACCGGGTAGGCGATGGGGAAAAAAACCAGCATCAGCAGGCGGGTCGCGCACAGCGTCTTGGAGGCGATCGCGAGACTGTGCCTGGACGCCAGCGAGTGAGGTAAAATCTCGCCGATGAAGAATATCCCCAAGGTACAAGAGGCTGTTGACAGAGCAGTCATTCCTAAAATCTGACACATCCACACCACAAAGCAAGTATTTGTAAGCACGTTTCCAAGCACCACAGTGCAAAGGATGTAGTTTCCGTGTTTACGCACCGACTCTATCTTCCGCGCGTATTTCTGCTCCTTGTCTGTGCCACTGTTTTGCAGGACCCGCAGCTCCACGGGGTCCAGAGCCAGCATGCTTATATTCAGACCGCTGCAGAGCGCAGACAGCCCTAACAAGAGGACTGAGACACCTGCCTGGAGCCAAACATCTGCCCCCGGAGGTCTCTCCACCACCGCCAACCAGAAGTCTTTGGTGCCAAAATGCTCCCATTTCGCTCCATCGAACGCGCACATGGAGTAGTATTTGATCAACTCGCCCCTGCGCAGGTCTTTCGCGAGCAGTTCCACCAGAACTGAGTTGTGGCTTGAGGAAGATGTGAAAGAGCCCAGCAGCTCGATGTCAGAACTCCGGGCGTTCTCCTCTTGGCAGGGATTCGCTGCGGACTGGAGCCGCTTCGCTGTGTCCCCGCTCCCCCCACCTGGTTCCTCTATGAACGCGATCCACGGAGCAGCAGGAGCGGCGTCGGGTCTGCCGCTGATGTTCCGGCTATTGCGATGGTCCGTCGCAGGAAATGCGGAGTAGTAAACCCTCAGAATGAAGCGGGTCCCCTCCGTCGCCCTCAGTACCCCGTCCTGCACGGACAGCTCTCCCTTCAGGGTGTCTTCCGGTCGGACGCCAAGCAGTGCTGCTGTCGGGGCCGGCAGAGAGGAGAGGCTGACGGTGAGAAGGAGGAGAGAAAGCTGGTGCGGATGCAGGATGCAGCAGAGAGCATCCGCAGCATCCGCAGCCATCATGCTGAATGCGCTGCTGAAGGGCGCGGGAGAAACGGGTCACGTGGTCTGCGGATGGGATGGATGCAGCAGCTGGGTGGCCATGCCTCAGAGAGAGAGAGAGAGAGAGAAAACAGGAGCACTAGAGTCCTTAAATATGCATGACAGATCGTGACGTAGGACTGCCTTATTTGCTTTTTGCCACTTTCTAAAAATAGAGGCAGGAAATGCCGAGCGATGAATGATTTATGTGACACTCAATGGGTTAGAATTCGATTCAAAGCACATGCAAATGTCACCATTAAAATTTTTTAGAGGGACACCAAACATCTATTGAGATTATTATATTGCCAAGTTTTAATCAACAAAATAGTAGGTTTTATTTTTGCGGCAATATTAGTTGGAGCAGCAAGTATCACACAGCTAAATGTGTTTTTGCAGAGTCCGCCAGGTGGCGGTATTATCACCTGTTTCTGAAAACAAGTCGACCTAATGCCTCAGATGTCAGGCGTATTACACGTGGTGATGTGTTTGGATGTATTTATTTGTCATACGGTATCGTTATTTTTTCCACAATGCACCTTCCATAACACATCGCATACTTGTCCAAGCCTGCAGCTTTTTGTGATCACAAACAACGTTATACTGCGCAATGCACAAGGAGTATACGGCACGTAAAGCCACGTAATCGTCAAGAACACAAAGTCGAATTTCGGATGCTTAAAAGTATATTATTTTTAGTCATTGATCAGTTGTCGGTCCCATGTAGGAGAAGTCCTGCCAAGTAACACTTCACACGGACATCCACAACATTTAGAGAACTACTTTGTGCACAATAACAGAGAACAGTAAAATCCAATTTATCCGACAATTTTCATTTGGAATAAATGTTCTCGTTGAAGTTATAATAAAATAAAACTGCACTTTATTTTGTATTAAACACTAGCTGTGTTGATATTTAAACGTTGATGTTGACGGATAAAAATAATAAAAAACGTATCTTCACAACAACAATCAAAGAAAATAACCAATATTGCGCAACAGAATCTCTGCTAAACAATGTATATTATATAAGCCTATTAGAACTATATCTTCTATATCTGATCAGTATTTGTGTAATAATATATTTATCTATCCACGATTCCACTGTAAAAGCCGACTATTGTTACACAGACCAAATTATACTTACTATAAACACGCGTAAATGAAAGTTCGACCAATGTCCATTATAATATGAAATGCAATCAACTCTAATAACACGTATGTATTGTTAAGTAGACCCCTTTAAAGTGCACCTGGCTCCAAGAGTTCCCGAATGTATAATAGCAATACTCAAAAGGGCAGGATTTAACTTTAAAAAAATGATTCATGTTCAAACCAAGAGAGAACATCTATTGCCTGAACATGAATTATATTACATTTATAACTATCGTATCGGTTTTATCTTAAATTCCTTTAAAAATACTCCAAAAATACTAGCACACCATACTTCCACAAACACGTGTAATTATTATGTTTTTTAATATATTTATTTTGAGGTTTCGTTGCGTTTATGTTCATATTTTTGTTAAAAAACACGCCAGATTTGTCATAGTTATTCACGAACTCGTTGCATATCTATCAGTAAAATGACAACAATGTGCTTATAAATAAAGTATAGAGGAGGACGCGCTGCTGGATGACTCTCAGGTATTTATTCCGGCTTTTATCTTTGTGTCACAATAGTGTGTCTTAGTGTATCTGGCTCTCGGTGACCCTAAACTCTGCACATTTGCCCTTTCGCGTTTAATTGAACAATTAATAAAGCACTTTATATATAAGCGTTACGTCTTTAAAAAACACACATGTTTTTAATGGCTTTATTGAGAACTTTGGCGCGTAAAGCTTCCAACTTTAACACGTCGCATAATTGTGCGGTTTATTGGCTGTACGCGAGTTGATAGGCCGAGAGGAAGTGTTGCAGGATTTATCACACAGTTTGCTGCTCATCTTCTGTTAAAACTTACTTCTTCTCGTCTTCTCACAGGGGACAAAACGGTAGGTACAAATCACCAGTATACCAGTACATACAGCATACCAGGCCTCCTCTCCATTTCAGGATTGATTCAAATATTTCAGTGTTTTTTTGTTTAACGGTTTTAAATGGGATGGCGCCACAGATCTGTTGCATCGCATTCTCCTCTTAGAGCACCGAGGTCAACCTTCCCGATGCCCCGATCTCCTAAAGCTGCACACAAACTAGGCCGGGTGCGTTTGATTTAATCTTCACGTGTATATTCTCACTACGATTTGTTTTATTTATTCTGTTCTCGTTGTCCTTTGCTCATTCATTCGTCATCTTCTTTTCTGAATGTGCTGGAGGCTTCGAAATAAAGTTTGACTTGATTTGAACTGGCCGATTGCACTTTTTTTTTTAAGAAAGACGCGCAAAAAAACAAAGTGCCACGACTTATTCTGGACATTTGTTATACGTGATCGTTTGAAGCAGAACAGCAAGAACATGAGATATCCTGTTGAAAAGTTTGTATCTTTTCTATTTTTGAAGCATGTCTTATTCTCTTTCTCTATACTTGTTGGTTTTCTGTTGGAACATTATGCAGTTTTTACTTAACCAATAAGGGCTAACGGCAATTAATTAAATCAATTATTTGCAAAAAAGAAAAAAATGTAAATATGAATTTAGGTAAATTCAACCCCCCTCTTTATTTTGTATTTATTTCTGTTTTTCCGAGTTCATTTAAATCTCAATCATCCTTTTCTCAAACTGAATAATAATCTTTTTGCATGTTACTATCTTCATGAAATGAAATGAAATCCTTATCAACCACGCTTCTTGTTCATTGCTCAACAGTCTTTCAGATTCACCTTTGGTCAGATGATATTTCGATCACTGTACTATTTCACCCATGATTTAAAAACAATGACTTATCATCCGAATTGGGAAGATAACCATCACCTTCTCAGTGGTTGGAGCTGCATGTTGTACTGATACCTCAGAGAACCTTTGAGGGGCGGTGCTGCCTCCTCTCCTCCCAGCTTTTGGCTCTCCGAACTGGGAAGGCTGGCTCGGGGCGTGCGCTCTTGTGAGCAGCTCCCAACATGCTAAGAGGGGCGGGGGGCAGATGGGGGTGAAACAACTGGACAGGAAGACAGATCCAGATCGATTAGGCCGAGGTAAAGAGACACCATCGAACTTCGCTGAAGAAACGTTGTTTTTGTTTGTTTTTTCTGTCCCCGTTAGGCGTCTTTACGCACACTCATCATCCTGTTCTCGCGAAAACCAAGAAGATGCCCAAATCCTTACCGCGTGCATTCCCAAGCTCCTTCCTGTGGCTGGCATCTTTAGTCGCTTTGATGGTGCAGTCGGTGCTCTCTTCCTCCTACTCTTCTTCCTCCTCCTCCTCCTCCTCCACATATCAGAGATCCGTGGCCGGTGGGAAGCGGCCGGGCTTCACGGAGAGGACGCTGGTCCTCCTGGATGTCAACACCCGCAGTCCGATCCGAGTCCTCAACGACAACTTCCTTTCCGTGCAGCTGGACCCTTCGATCATCAAAGACGGCTGGCTGGACTTTCTGAGGTACCAGAACCACCATCAAAACCACCACTCTGTGTCGGACCCCTCGGATGTCCGGTGGTTCTTTTTATTCATTACGCACGCAGCCACGTTGTCTGAATTGTCCTGGAGTGAGCCAGCATGTTTCCTCCTCACTCGAGGAACTGTGGCCCAATGTTCCACATTATTGAATGGCTTTCCTCGACTAGCAAGGTCCCGAACTATTGTATAATTTAATAAGGAGATGCTGAGAGTGAGCGAAGGGTTCAGAGGGTGTCTTTCCTTTTTTTTGCTGTTACAGGGCGTATCGTGTAAACAGGCTGTCTATTTAAATGAGACAACATTGTGTGTCCCTTACACATGTAGAACAATACAAAATGTCAATTTGAGGTTTTATTATTTTCTCTTGAACGACTAAAAGTCCACTTCGGTCCCTTGGTTTCACTATTCTTTTAAAATGACTTTTTCAGTCACTGTTATTCAATGCAATTCTGAGTCTAAATGTTCACACGTGACGGGACGGACTTTTAAATGATGGATTATGAATCATGGCATTTTAGAACTCAAAACGTGGCAAATACGTATTTGAGAATGTTTATCATTTGATTTCGCACAATGTGACTATTGACAGTATTTCCGTTTATGAATCAAACACAACTATTGTCAGAGATAAACATGATCTAGAAGATGATACAGGGCAAAACGTCAAGTGCACTTCATAAATTGGACACCACTTATCTTCAAAACGTGTGCAGAGCACGCCTCCTGTAAAATAAAAGTAGACCGTTTTTTATTTTCAACATCACATAGTCTACCATTCCCTCCTACACACTGCCTCACAACTTTCTGCTGTTAGTTCCTTTCTGCAGAATCATCCATGTAATAAATATATTATGTACATTCCAACCTCATCAACTTTAATCGGAGTAATGTTTGTTTAGCCGGAAATAACGCGCTCTGAACTGCAGCCTGTTGGTTTCACTTCATCCTGTGTTATTTAAAGTCGTGTTATTTTACTGCCACGTAGTCTGTCAATAAAAGTAAAAGTTTCTCATGTAGGTTTTTTGTAACATATAACGTCATATGCATATGATTACCAGCCTGCATGTGTTATATGTTTCATTTGCATTAAGCACAGAAAAATAAAGAAAAAAAGCTTTGTTTTAGGCGAGTTCGTTACCGATTATTGGGAATCTGCGTATTTCTGTGTTTATTCAGTTTGTCGAATCCAAAATAGTGGTGCGTGAAACCATTTGACCATATGTGTGTGTGTGTGTGTGTGTGTGTATGTCTATACTTTGCTGTAGCTGTTCTAATCCGTTTTCCTTCCTTTCCTTCTTGGACCTGCTAATGTTTAATAGAAAAACATGGCTGACGTTGTGCGCTTGTTCCGCAGCGCTTGAACAGCCAACAAAGTGAAATAACTGCATTTTGTATTTCTGTCAGGACACGTTTTTGATAGTTGGAAACGTAAATACTGTGACTGAAACGAGGCTGAATCGGGCGGGGTTGGGAAAGGCCGCTTCACTCATCCGCTCCTCCGTGTCCGCAGCTCCAAGCGCCTCGTGACCCTCGCGCGCGGCCTGTCTCCGGCCTTCCTGCGCTTCGGCGGGAAGCGAACCGACTTCCTGCAGTTCAACAACCAGAAGAACCTGGCTAAATTCAGAGGCCCGGGGCCAGACTACTATCTGAAGAACTACGAGGACGGTGATTACATGTGATATTTCTCTCTCTTGTTGTCTCCGTGTGTATTTTTGGGGACGATTTATATTCGTCCGTTCCTCGTCTGCTCGTGTTTTGTTCATCTTTAAATGAACAGTCGGACGCGCCGGGTGCATTTTAGGGCAAAATCATGATTTTCTCCTATTGTTACATCGGTTATCTAATTTAAAAAAGACCAGCGTTGCTTTTTTGAAAGTTTCCAAGTAGTCACGTTTTAAGGGCGAACCCGACGTAGACTGTCCGACCACCCTGTTCTCCGCGAGAGGTGCTCCTTATATTTACACTTAAATGAATTGGGCCGAACAAAATATTACCTCTCAGTTCAACTCAATGTGCATACATTTAAATGAGCCTCTAAATAAATAAAAACTACCTCCGACATCACCACAACATTTAATTAACACCTTTTAGTTTCAATAAAACACGAAACTAAGACTTCGGGATCTATTTTAAGGTCCGTGAAGTAGACATCATTAGTAACCACTAGCAACTAACATTCCAACTCAACGTGTTGTAGCATCCATGGATGTTGTTTTGTAACATGGTTTCATATAACATACATTTTCGTACATTCCAACAGTGTGTATTTCCCCACTTTGCCATTAAAAGTACCAATAAAAAGTACTTGCAAATAAAAAAAGAAAGAAAAAATAACAAACAAAAGTGGGTTTCTTTTATACATTGTTTTAAATTCCTGAAGACAAAAATATCAGATCGGTCTTCATTTCTTCCATCTGTGCCGACTTGCAGACATAGTGCGCAGTGACGTTGCACTGGACGAGCAGAAGGGCTGCAAACTGGCCAACCACCCCGACATAATGCTGGAGCTGCAGAGGGAGAAAGCCGCCACCACGCAGCTCGTCCTGCTGAAAGAGCAGATGTCCAACATCTACAGCAACATCACGATAACAGGTAGGACATTACACACACTAAAAGGGTCTTTTTTTGGTTCACTGCTTTTATCGTAAAAGGATTTTGTCCATGTTCGCCCGGCACAGCCTGTGCTTAGCGGGTCATGCGCGTTCATGTGGAGCGCGTGAGAGCGCAGAGGCCCGTTTTTACACACACACGAGGTTCAAAGCATGCAAACGTAAACCATCAGCTTTCTGAATGACAAATGTAATTTGTAAAAGGCGGAATGTGGGGATGGATCGAGGAGCGCTGCAGCGGAGGCTAGTAAACAGAGCACTGGCATTTTCACTGGTTACAGTTAACTCAAACCGACCGCAGAGGGAATTCTGGAGTCCTGATTTTGGGTGGGCCGCACTTCTTATCTGTGTCTGTGATTGACTCAACGAGAAACTGCGAGCACGTGAGGGACTGTTGAAATGAATGCAGTTTTTGGCGTCTATAACAAAGACGGAGTCACTGTCGATCATCAGCTAAACTGTTTGCATGGATTTAAAGAGCCGAGTAGTAAACATCTCGTCTAAAGAACAGAACAAAAAGTTGGGCTCTAAACCCCTGAGACAATGTAAAAGGAACCGCGCTTTTGGAACAACACACCAAAAAAAGCCTTTACGACTCTGTTGCCTCTTCTTACAGAAACACAGACGTCTCTCTCTCTCTATCCTCTTTAGCATCTTGAAAAGACAGTGGGTGGCGAGGAGCCACCCAGAAGGAGAGTTTTGAAAGCCGAAAGAGCTCCTGGAAAAATAATTGTGGACTTGGAAGTTGAATCCAATCAAAGAGATTTCATTATCTATTCGCTACGCGGGGGGGGGGGGCAAAGCCTTTAGATGGATAGAAAATGTAGATGTGGAACGCTGTCCCAGTAGATCCAGAAAGATTTAAAATATTTGGCCATTGGTTTTGTGAAGACATTGACAAATGCGTTGATCAAAGAATCCAAATTCGACATCAAGTGAACGCAGTTGAACGTGTCACAAACATGCTTATTTATTGTTCACACACCGCCGGTGACTTCACACGAGTGGGTCCGTCATGTGTTCTCTATGATTTCGGAGGGTCTCGCTTTACTGGTGCGACCGCGCTGAGTGTTGCTGCAGTGAGTAATAGATGTGAGAACATCTTTTAGCTGTGCAATTCAAATACGCTCAAGTTCAACAGTCAAAACATGGCCATATTACATTTATCAACGTAGGAAAACACAGAGAGCAAGATTTTGGCAGTATGGGGCCAGTTTAGTTATTAATCTTGTTGTGTTGCAACTACAGAAAATTAGGTCATGAAAATTAGGTCACTTTGAGTGACGTGAAGTCACAGAAAAAATGTCTCTCAAAATTAGGACCACATTCCCTATAAACCCTGCGGCTTACTGTCGCAAGAAGGATCTTGCTCACTGTAGCGCGGCCTTCTTGGTGATAGTCAAGTAAAAATGAGCATAGACATTATTTTGTTAGAGCTCCTTTAAGCTTGGACTGCTGCGCGGAATCGAATCTAAATACGGAACTGCGGAATTCCTCAAAATAAAAATGTATTATGGTAACGTATCACACATTGACATAATAAAACCAGTGGTGATAATGATCAACACTGAATGTTATTTCCCACACGCTAGATTATTTCACCAATTGATTAATGAGCATATTGAGTATCTTGTCTTTTGATATACGTGATCACTGCGTGATGGCTGTTTTGAGCTGGTTCTGTAGTAGATTGCTTGGCTTGGAGTAGCTGTTGAAGCCACGCAGAAGGATGCTATTTACCCAAAGCTGATATATTTTTAAGTGAAATACTCATTCTTTCAAGCGCAGACACGAGCTGCAGGTTTGCAGCTTTCTTTCCATGTCACAAAGAGGCGTCTCTGGTGGAATCCCACGTCGGCCTCTTGTTTGAATAACTCAGAATGTGCACTGATGATCAGCCAAAGAGGTCCTGGAAGTGTGAACATGTTTACCTAAAGGGCTCATCATTACCCTCAGTTAAACTGAGTATGTTGTGTGAGCTAGAATCCATGCATCTCGGCGGTGGAGGGGATGCAGGGTTTATGTTTTTTAAATAAGGTCTGGTAACAATCAGTGAAGATTCATTGTGTGTGTGTGTGTGTGTGTGTGTGTGTGTGTGTGTGTGACGGCAGTAGTTGTTTGAAGGACCTTTAACAGTCTTGCTCCATCCTTTTCCACTCACCACTGTCTGACCTTTAACCCAGCCTTGTTAGAGCTATCAATAATGGAGCCACTCTCAGCCAACACACACACACACACACACACACACACAGACGTTCAGCTCGGGAATGAAGTCGAGAAAGTATCCCAAGTTCAGACAAGGTCATGGTCAGCCTTATTCCACATCTCTGCAAAGGAGTCTCTCTCTCCACCAGGCATCGCTTCTTCAGCTCTCTCTCCTCTTCCTCATCACTTCGCTTCTCTCCACAACTTGACACCTCTCCCTCATTTCCCCCCTCGTGTTTACTGTTGGTTTAGCTGTGTATATTGTGACTTCATGTGAAAGTTTATTTGACACTTCAGAGAACGAGAGGCAGTCATTCCGTTCAACTTCTGACCTCAAAGGCCTTACTCAATTTCGGAATTCCTATACCGTGTTATTGTTGTAGTCTAAGACGGCGATCAATATTTGAGAACACGGGTAAGAAGAACCCCCCCCCCCAAAACAGAGAAACTGGAAGAGTAAGAGTCGAACATGGGATGTTTTCAGTTATAAGGTCTGCAAGCGAATAGGAAACTTCTGCTATTTCTGTTAGAAGTAACAAGAATTTGTCTTTAAACGCTTCCGTTGACTCACAGGAGAGAGGAACCATGGTGCACAGCTGGAGAGGGTAATTCAGATAACACCTGAACATCTGTGTATGAGGGGGGATTGGGGAGAGGAGCCATCTAAGTGAGATGGGGGGGGGGGGGGGTGAGGATGGGTGAAGATGATTCTCTATGTGAGAGTCAAGCAGTATTTTCCATCAATGGATTTTCTTGTAGGAGCTGCAGCACAAAGTCATCCCTTTTAATAGACGGAACTGAAACAAAGCTTGCACCACACCACGTTATCCATGGGGGGTCATACTGGTAGTCTCCCCATTAGTGATATCCACCAGTTCTGTTTTAGAGCCATCGCATTAATGAACATCGTCTTAATGAGCCAAAAGTTAGCGTCATAATTAGCCAGATGTCAGTCAGAACCTTCTCACTGGGAGTTGCAGGGCTCCATGGAAAGGAAACATGAGAACGACAGAATGGAGGTGTGACGCAACACTAACGTAACCCTGCTTTCACAACAAACGCGCAAACGCAACGCAGGGCGGCCATCATTTGGTAGGTGGCTCGGCACTCCTGAGCAGCTGCACAAGTCGGCAGTTTGCACTCACCTTATTTTCCAGCAGTTTTCTTGGCAAAATCTTTCTGAATTTAACTTTTCCCCCCGAAAAACATGCTGATGTTCTGGCCTGACGGTACACGGAGGACATGGATGGTTGGGAGTTCAGTCCAGTCACAGACCTGGAATTCAATATCCACATTTTATTGACCATCAAATCTTCAACTTGAACATTTTTTTCCAGTTTCGTACTTCTAACAATTCCTAAAACGTAGTCTAATCCCAATGTTCACATGCGCCATGCGCGGATACAAGCAAGAATTAAGAATCTGTTGCCTGGGGACATTTTCACTGAATGTTATGCACAATTGTTCAGCGTTGAGTCATTGCGTGACAGAAAACGGAGGAAATGTGAAGTTTGTTTATGTCTGAACTGTTCTCTAATCCGGCAAGACATGTGTCCGAAAAAATATCAAATAGGATGGCGACACCAAGGGTAAAATAGTTTAGAATGCAGTCATTTTTGTAGCATCCCAATAAGCTGTTTAAAAACACATTGGGGCTCCACTTCATTCGCCAACAAACTACCGTGTTAAAGCCCTGTTAGTATGTGCACTATGAGGACCACACATTTCAATATTTTGCAATCGCTTTGGCTGAGTAATCGAAGGGACTGGAGGGAAATGCAAATGTGACCCTAACACTACTAACAAGGACATGAGAACAACGCGAGGTTTAGAAGCGGAAAAGACACAAAAAAAAACGAAAGAAAGAGGATTTTTCTGAACATCTGTGAATGGATTGAAAACGTTTTCATCAAAACAAACTGGCGCAGCTGGCGACAGTCAGAGGGCCCTCTAGTTATAACTCTCTGTTTGTACTCGTTTGAAGAAATCCAAACATATCGTCTTGTAACAGGGAAAACGGAGCGTCCTTCCTATTCGATCTGCTCTGCAGCTCCTCCCGGTCCCTCGTCCGCTGCTTCCTCAAATTCTCATGTTCAAACCTCATTTGTAAGAAAGGAGCAGAATAGTTCGACCGCTATCTGCCTCGTCTCCCCTGATTGAAGATGCCCCAGTGAGTATGCGTGCACTCTCACACACAAGGTGTGAATTGTGTTGGCCGTGTTGCAGCTGCCTCAGTGCCGGGTCCATTTCTCCAGCTCGCTGCAAAAATGCAGATTTATGAGTTTCTCCCTATGACGGCGCATTACAGCCAGTTTGCCGTCGCAGCAGGAGAAAGATAATACTTTGCTTTGATTTGTGATGATGGCCGTATTGGATCTGAGCGGTTGCTGTTGATCTTGGAAAGTAAAGAAGTAAAACATGGAGCCTTAAAGGTTGAGTGTATGTTTTTAACATTAGGTTTGCCCGAGTTTTTTAAAGAAATGGACCCGTGAAGCTGCTGAGTTGTTGTGCCAACAATGGAGCCAACAACAACAACTCATAAATCTGCTTCATGTAGAATACCCACATCATTGAGCTTTGGAGAATCATCGAATGCATTCAATGATCTCACACAGATATATTTAAAAACAAAAATATACCATCCCATATACCATCAGTTTTCTTTGACTATTTTAAATTTCATGCAGATTTTTTCTCTTTTAATATGAATTGACTCGGTGAGAAAGGGAACATGAGATGCACAGCAAGAGGAGAAGTTAGGCCAACGGTCTGTGGTCA